AACCAGAACAGGAGCCACAGACATATATCCCTCCAGGATTTAAGCGGCTGGGGTCAAGATATTTTTATATCGAAAATAATAAACAAGCAAATTGGACTATGGCAGAAGAAAGCTGTCGTAAAATGGGAGGTCATCTTGCGGCCTTCCGAAATCAAAAAGAGATTGACGACTTGGAACCGCAAATCATGAAAGAAAACTTGTACTGGCTGGGCATTAACGATCGGGAAGTATTAGGCCAGCATTTATCTGTGGCTTCCGGTAAGCCACCACTATTCTTTAATTGGCCCACGGTTATATACGATGACGGCCCGAGATGCGCTTGTCTCCATTTCGCCAAAATATGGAAGCGTTTTGTATCGCTTATCGTCAAGAAAAAGTTTAGATTAAACGGCTAATAATAAAATGATACCAGTAAAAAAAAAAAAAAAATTGAATTAAATTCTGCTGCATTTCTTGTTGAATTCTGTCCAGCTTTTCCTGATTTTCTTGTTGAATTCTGTCTAGCTTTTCCTGATTTTCTTGTTGAATTCCGTTTAGCTTTTCCTGATTTTCTTGTTAAATTTTGTCTAGCTTTTCCTGATATTCCTTTATTAGCACGGTAATGATATTCAGCTGCTCCCGAACATGGTGATTATGATCGAAGAGTGGACTATGCGGCAAGACAGAATGCCCCACATTGATTGGGGGTATCCGTCGGCACCCATGGTCCGTCTTTCTGTGTTGTGTCCCTATTTGCCGATGTTTCTTTTAGCATTTTTTCCATATTTGCTGAAATTTCTTTTTCAATTGTATCCAACTTTTCAAGTGTTTTTGTTTGAATGGCGCCCATAAACGCCAGTTTTCCATTTAGATTGCCATCTTGAATATACAACTGCTGCCTGAGATCGGCAATGTCATATGGAGAAACTGAGCCCGTGTTATCCTGGCACTTAGAAATCCCGAAAAGGATGCAGGCGACAAAGACGTAGAAAATATAAATTCCGTTCTAAAACATTTCGAGAGCGATATGCTACGAGGGCGAATGTTTAAAATGTTTAATAACCCCTTATCAGCAAGAAACATTTTTGCATATTTTTTTTTTTTCATAAAAAAATGTGGTTTAAGTAATTCTTTGGTGGGCACCGTGACGTATCCACTTTTGATTACTTATATACGAGTAGAGCGGAAAGTGAGTTGACTAGAAAATTCAAATTGTAGATAAAGTGTACACTTAGAATTAAGACGCAGTTTTTATACCCTTGCAGAGGGTATTATAATTTTGGTCAAAAGTGTGCAACGCAGTGAAGGAGACATCTCCGACCCTATAAAGTATATATATTCTTGATCAGGATCACCTCCTGAGTTGATATAGCCATGTCCGTCTGTCCGTCTGTTCGTCTGTCTGTTTCTACGCGAACTAGTCTCTCAGTTTTAAAGATATCGAATTGAAACTTTGCACACACCCTTCTTTTCTTTGCACGCAGTATATATGTCGGAACGGCCGGGATCGGCCGACTATATCCTATAGCTGCCATATAACTGATTGATCGGAAATGCCATAACTTTGGTGTTGGGATTTTTTATGAGTATTAAGAATGCATCATATGAATAATTTTTGAGAATATAATTTGCAGAGTATTCTGCAAGGGTATATCAACTTCGGCTCCGCCCGAAGTTAGCTTTCCTTTCTTGTTTACTTAGGTTTAGCAAAAAGGCATAGAGATGGGGAAAAGTGCTTTTAAGTTGTTATAATAGCAAATTTGGGATTAGTAGGCCTAGAGATTCGAGAAAGTTGGCCATGACTTTCAGCTCAAGCCGAACAAAATCTTGAACCCGACGTGGCTTAGGAAGTAGGACTCTATATTCATTCGATATCCAACTCTCTGACCAGTCGTTTCGGCCTCTAAAATTTCCTAAATTCCAAATTATATTTCGAAATTATTCAACCAAAATAGTAAGTCCGTAAAAGGCGTGCAAGGGTATTTGTTTAATCGGGCTAATCTCTCGCCAACAGCGCTAAAAAGAACTCAACATGTGCAACGGATGTGGATGCTGTGGACCCTGTAATGAAACCCCCTGCTGTGGCCCGCACAGTCCCCCCTGCGGCGCTCCGTCGCCCATTCCGTGTTCTCCTGCCCCGGGCATGTGCTGCCCCCCGCTCCCCGAAGGCGGCATTCCCGATCCGCGTGTCTGGAACTACTACAACACGCCCGTGACGTACCCATGTAAGTCCGGTCCTGGGGTAGACCTGACCATTCCCCTCCCGTCCATCTGATCGTCCATCTGATCGTCCATCTGATCGTCCATCTGATCGTCCATCTGATCGTCCATCTGATCGTCCATCTGATCGTCCATCTGATCGTCCATCTGATCGTCCATCCGATCGAAATAAAGGAGAGCACGGGACGAGGGCGGCCAGCGTGCGTGCCACAGCGTCTTGGAACTAGATCCCCGCGATCAGTTCTTGGTGTGACCCTCGTTCCTTCCCCCAAGCTCCCTGCCCCAAACGCTACCTTGTGAACAAGGACAACATGCCCTGTGTTTGGTGTGCCCCGTGCAAGGCCCACTGCTACAACACTCCGCCCAAATGCTGTTGCTAGGGCGTGGAGCCCCGGGCTTGATCCCAATCCTTTCCACCCTACACCTTGCTGCAAGTAAGTAGTTTCCAAACTCATAGACCTTACTGATTTCTTTCTGCAGGTGGATTTTAAGTGGCTCCGGAAAAGTCTTGACGTCGGACACGTTGGGTGCCGCATTTTGGTTGGAGTCTCTTTCGAAACCAGCTTCAATCGAGATGAAGAACGCCAAGCTGCTGATTTTCCGATTGAAGCGCCCCATCATTTGGCACAATTTTTGACTGTAGATTAATTAAATTAAAATAAACCATAAACCATTTAAAAGTTCAATCAGTACTCAATCCTTTCTGGTAACAGGTCGCGATTAGAAATTTACAAGCAACAGCGACGTGCAGAATTTTTTTTAGGTAATCATCGTCTAGTCGCTTAATCCCGATGAGATGCAACCCGTTACATTCACCAATTTACTTGGCACTTTCCGATTCCTGTGTAGGCCAATACCTCGCTGTAAAGAAATCGACAACGATTGAAATTAGTGACTACTGATTAAAAGGAAATGAATTTTTCTTTTTCGTCTCGCGAAAATTTTCTATTTTGTAACATTCTACAGGTCAAATCCATTTAATAGTGCTTGCGGTTTGGATTATAACTTGCCTTGGTAAAGATTTATCTACACCGACTGACTTGTTAATTAAAAGCTGTTAAACATGGATCGTATTCTTACATCTATCATGAAAAAGTATTTCTGGTGCTATTTTTCTGTATTGTTTTTTATACACCAACCAACTTGATTCCCTCGCGTTTTGTAATATTACATTGACTTAGTTTATTTGATCGAAAAAAATGTACAATTACATCCGCTCACTCTTCTTTTAATAGTTTTGCTCAGTTGTCATTTCAGTTGCATTTGCATTTGTGCTACAGGGCGGATCATGAATATACAATCCGACGATAAGAACGATGGAAATTATTATAATTGCGATGATCAGAATACCAATCAAACCATAAACTGCAATTGTCTGAGGACCCGTCATTATTGAATGGCTAACGCTATCCGCACCTGCTTAATAAAGAAAACATTTTCAAGCTTTCTTTAAATGGCATTTTAACTTACCAACGATTTTTCCAAAAGAGTTCCGTTCTTATTATGCTTTAAAATAATTTCTATACTTAAAGATTTGTGTTTAAATATAATATAACCCTTTGAACGTAAGAGCTTAGGCAAACTGATGTATATAAAATATGTTAAAGCGCAAAACACATTTCCACGTTTTTATACCCTTGCAGAGGGCATTATAAGTTCATTCAAAAGATTATAATACAGGGAAGAATGTATTTTATTTTAATCCGCGGACGACAATGCTAAGCAAATTTGATGATTAATATTCTTATTAGAGCATTTTTAAGAAAAATGGAAACAAAAGCTAGAAATTATTGACCAATTTGACTTTTTTTGTGTGAATCACTGTGGACGGCAGTACACGAAATAAAATCTGCTGTGATGGTTCGATCGCAGATTGCAAAATGGAATTGTAAAATTTAAAAATGGGAGATGTTGGGGCCAGTGGGTCAACATTTTCCAGCCTTCCTTCATTTTTGTCAAAAATATGCGTCGAACGACATCACATCGGATTCACAGATCCTGGAACGATTTTTTTTTGTCTTAAGCAGTTCGATCTAAAACATATTTGTTCTACGACTCTTTAAGAAACAAATCAGCTAAGCGGGAAAACATTTTCGATGAATTGTATTTGAAGTTGTAGCCGATATTTGCTGTGTAATGAATATTTTTAACTACAATTTTTTTTTTATTTTACGTAAAAAATCCTATTTCTATTTTTTTAAGTGTTATTTTGGTATATTTTTACGACAGAAATCACCATTAATTTAGATATACATTTTCTGGACGAAAACTAAAAAGTCATGTATATAGTTTTCAAGGAAAAATTAGGAAATTTATATACCCTGTAATAAAGTATATGTATTTTTTACCAGCATAACCAGGAGACTCGATCTATGCAAGCTTTTATAAAGTAACCCAAATCAATCTCTTTGATTTTTAAAAAATTAAAACTAAATTAAAACAAAACTTGTCAAATAGCTTTTGTCTTTTCTGCCAAAAGCAGTATAGTTATTTATCCAGTCAAACAATAGAAATAGAAACTACCGATAGGAAAAAAAATTAAATTCTCTTCAAAATTATTGCCATTTTAATACATTAAAAAATGGAGACTAAAAATATAGTGATAATTTTCGCGGTTATTATTGTCCTGGTTGTTATTATTAACATTCTTCTCATCACGTATATTATATTAGACTGCTATTATCGTGAACACGTGTATGCAAATGCAATGCGTCCGGTAAGAGCAAATAAATTATAAACTTATTATTTATTTTTGGTAAATGTTCAAAAACTGTTTCAACAATTCAGCTGCGTATACTTTTTGTGCAGACCTATAATTTTTTCGAATAATATCAAGTAAAAGAGAGCGTTGAAAAATATAATACAATATTATATATCCTTACAGAAGATATTAAAATTTTCGTTAAAATTCCGATTTTGAATACGGTTTTAGTTTTATAGAAAAAGTTGGCAAAGCATTTCCGACTATCATATAGCCGCCATAGGAAATAAAGAAAAACGAGAAAGGAAAGCTAACTTCGGGCGGAGCCGAAGTTGATATACCCTTGCAGAATACTCTGTAAATGATATTCTCCAAAATTATTCATATGATGCATTCTTAATACTCATAACAAATCCCAACTTCCTAACTTAACAAACACCAAATTTATGGCATTTCCGATCAATCAGTTATATGTCAGCTATAGGATATAGTCGGCCGATCCCGGCCGTTCCGACATATATACTGCGTGCAAAGGAAAGAAGGGTGCAAAGTTTCAATTCGATATCTTTAAAACTGAGAGACTAGTTTGCGTAGCAACAGACAGACGGACAGACGGACATGGCTATATCAACTCAGGAGGTGATCCTGATCAAGAATATATATACTTTTTAGGGTCGGAGATGTATCCTTCACTGCGTTGCACACTTGACCAAAATTATAATACCCTCAGCAATGGTATAATAAATAGAACGAGGACGGAAGCTTACTTCGGCAAGCTGAAGTTTTAATACCCTTGCATACTTTTCCGAAATTGGTAAAAATGTAAAAAGTAGCGAAAGGAATAAGGTATATTGTTCCTATAGGAGCTATAGGATATAGATGTCCGATCGCCAAGCGCTTTTACCCTGATCAAGGTATCCATAAAAAAATAAGATTTGGAAAGATTTATGTTAATAGCTTTTACACTGCGCGAAATATCTTCCATTCTTGAAAGTTATATCCGATTGTTCCTATGGGTGCTTTAGGATATAGACAACCGATCGGGGCGGTCTTCAAACTTGATCTGCATACACATGTTTTAGGACAACTGTGAAAGTTTCAGATCGCTAGCTTTTAAACTGAGCTCGCAAACGGTATTGAAACAGACGGACAGACGGTCATGGTTATATCGAATCCTCTATTGATCCTGATCAAGAATATATATACTTTATGGGGTCGGAAACGTCTCCTTCACTGCGTTACAAAGTTCTGACCAAAATTATAATACCCTCTGCAAGGTATAAAAATAACATGCAAATGCACAGAACTTCGTCGTTTTCAAACATCTACGAAAATTGTCGGTGGTAGATTCTTTACGATTGTAGATCATATAGCTTCCATAGATCTGAAGATAATAGGAAAATTGCCATAGCTTTGTTCGCTGTTTTTCAACAAATTTGCAAACATTTTAGCTGATTTTATTTACCTTGCCTTTAAAACTGAATTTCTTGTTTTAATACCCCTACTGTCGTAGTTTTTCTTAATATCTTGCAAAATACTCATTGTTATACGAACTTCGGCTTTCCTAAAAGGTTTAGATCATAAATTCGTATACTTTAGGCTATAAATAGCCCTCATTTTAGTTCATTTTTTCTTTACATTTTAGGTGTTTTTTCATGCTTTATGTTTTATAATAGAAACATCTTATAAACAGCAATTATTCACCCTTGCAGCTGTTAAAACAATGAAGATAAGTTGATTTCCCAGACATTTTCCGATCGTTAATATATCTAAATGAAATAGTTGTCAGTTATATATAGATATAGCTTGCTCTAAGGTACTACTTTTGCAAGGCTTTAAAAATGGCTTGATTGTCAATACAAGTGATCTTGCCTTATAGAATTTTATATACTGGGGTCGTACTAAATCTAGCTATTTTTATTACCTCTAGCTATTTCCCCAGTTCGACCGGAATAACAGAACCAAAAAAACAAGTTATTTTAGACCAATTTGAAAATTAACTAAAAGTCTTGGATCATTTTGGTACCGATGGGTGTATTTTGTTTTACATTATTATTAAAATGTATAAATATTTACAGTACTTTTACATCAATTTTGTCCAATCTTTGTCCAAGTCGAAAAATCATGTTTTTTTAAACAAGAGTGCTCTGACTTTAAATTCGTAGATTACATTTTATTCAGACTACACCAAGTATGATTTTCTCGCATTATTAACATAAATCTTTTTTATCTAGGATCCAGTCGTGCAACCAAAGGCCGTTCCATACACAGCGATTAACTGGGGCTCTATATTTTCTGACCTCGGAGTTCGTCCACCTCCTGAACAATGACTCAACAAATAATACTTGCTGTAATCGGCATATCAGTTATTCTGTGCCTGACCGTTTTGAATTTACTCTTCATTTACTTTATAATCAACAATCCGTACCGAAAGAAAAAATCGACCACTACAACGCCCACGCCCACAACCACCATCGAGACGGAACCAGAAGAAATAGTGACTGAGCCTGGTGAAGGAGAGGGAGAGGGAGGCGATGAAGCTGCAGCAGAACGCTAAAAATTGTAAGTGTTTCCCGTTTCACAGGCGATGATGTTAACCCAAATCTAGGCATCAACCGTCCTGTGACTTAGTTTTCGAGGCTGTTTCCCTAATGTTGAGAACAGTCAGTCCAAATACTCCTGTCGTCGCGTCGCAGGTAACACTAATCTCCAAGTCCCGTGACACATACAAGTTATGGAAACGAAATTATTAACACTAATTCTAACTATCGTTGTAGTGATTCTTTTTTTCTTGCTCATGATCATATTTTACGTATTTTTGAATTTTGATCGCGTTATTACGACTCGACGTCCGGTTTAAGGCGACGCAGACTCTATTGGCACTTGTGCTCTCCGCGAAGTATTTAAGTTTGGTCATGGTAGAAAACACAACACTTGTCACAATTTTACTGGTCGTAACGGTGTTTCTGGTGACCTTGATGCTCATACTCATTCCCATGGCTTTCTTCAGGGGCAGGAGGGGTGAGGCGTCCTACTTTAGGTTTTAATAGTAAGTACTCTCTATTCAAATGGTATTCAAGGTGGTTACACTGCCCAACCGTTTCGCGCGTTTTCCGATGCCCCGGGGCGCCTGAGTTCATTGCCGCGATCGGCTTTCCGTGGAATGTCGTTACCCGTTTGGAAAATACAGTGCTGCCAGACCAAACTAGCGGTTTAGCGGGTTTCCCCAATTTCTCAGTTTTACACCTTGCACGCCCACCAGTGTCACCCCTTAAAAGTTGCGTCCCGATCCCAAGCAAATTCACCACGCTGGGCAGCGCCTCCAAGCCTCACGGCCGAAATCAGAACCTAACTACTGACGGCGTTGCCATTCTCACGACCCTTACGACTGACAGCCTTGCCACCCCTACGATCCCAACAATTTTATTTGGCGACATCTAGCGGCGCAGTTGAAACCAAATGAGCTAAGACATGTACCGGATGGTTAAGTACAGCCACGTCATGCCTAGGTGGCGTTAAATTCGAATTTTGTCCGTTCATCCGTTCGTTCTTATGGTCTGCAATCTTAGTAATCACTACACTCAAAAAGAAACCGAAAGTTTAATTTAAATAAACGTGTTTTAAAATAAAACTATCGACAGTATTAAATTATACGTATTAAGTCTATGCTTAATATAAGCCCTATACTTTTTAGTGCAAATTCTATACCGAAGAGTCTACAATTATAATATGTGGAGTAATTTGCATACCGCAAACAAATAAGTTTTCGGATTTAAATTAATACAGCTATGGTGTATTCCGCCCAGCGAATAATTCCTTCGTCTCTTCTCGACCTGACGTAATGTCGTATAATTTATGTACACTGCTCTCCGTCTACGGATCCGAGTAGGCGTACAACGGAAATAGTAGTTTCGCGTCATTAATGCAGCCTCATCCACAAATCACTTTATCTGGGAGTGGCTGACTTAGCCAAAACCTCGATGCGTTTCCAAATCAATCCCTTCCGATCTGCAGTTCACCGGCCCGGAGGCAATCTTCCTCCTCCGCCGGGCTAAACTTAAATTGTAAAAAGCGTTCAGTGCCAAAGGAAGCCATATTTCATACGGCAATTAGTGCGACGATCATCATACATAGTTAATTTTCGTTTGCTGTTCGGCGGCTGCGGCGGATCGGGATTTGTGGGGCAGCCAGCAGATGATAGTCCCGGCGATCTTAGACTTCAATTAAATGAAAATTGTGTCACGCGCCGCGACTCGCGTCTTCCACGATTTGGAACTGGAGATGCCAGCTAGCCTGGTAGCTAGCTAGCTTTGGTTGACATCCCGTGTCGGTGCCGCGGCGCGTATTTCCGCACACATGCTCACAGCATTTGATTAAGCCCGACTCTTGCGTATTCCAGATTTTCAGACCCATCACCCCCGGTTCGGTGTTGCTTGGTCTTTCTTGTCAAATTCGGATCAGTGTCGCGCGGCGCTCAGCGGTGTCAACTTGTCGTGTGCAGCGCAAATTCCCAGTGCCACAGAGTAGTCCAGTCCAGCAGCCTTCCCAGTGCAGACAGGAGCCTAGTTGGATACCCGAACCGATCCCCAGATTGCAAGCCCGATCCCGATCCCGATCCCGTATAGCCGTTGAACTGAGGAAGCGCCAGCTGCCAAAGCGCGGAAGAATGCCGACCATAACCGAAGACTGCATCGATGGATTCCAACAGTATTACTCGCGGCCGCCGGAGAGACCGAAGAAGAAGTCCCTGAAGCAGATGGTCTACGACTCGGAGGACAACTCCTACTTCGGCCGATCCATCGACAGTTGGGGTAAGTCGCTCCGTGCCCCATAGCCTCCGATTACGTAAGTGCCCCGTCGTCAGCGGTCGACAGTCTTGATAAAAGTCTGACCTTAATCAAGCGAATCTCTGAATCTCTGAATGTCTGAATCTGTGAATCTCTTTTGTCGTCGCATTAGCGCTGGCGGCAAATGCAGATTGCTGTGGATGTGGGTGGATGTATCTATTTACCGGCCTCCCGCCGATTCGCGTCCGTGTCCGTTTTGATTGCCCGCCCAATGGCGTTTGCGCTTCGAGGCCCCGGCGCGAACAGATCTGTGTGCTTGGGGCACTTGTGCCGCAATATCGGTCAATTACGCCATTATGCAATCAGGCTGTGGTAAGCACGCCAGCGTTCTCCAGAACCACCTCTGATTTCCATGGAGGGGTGTAGCCAACCTGGCCCTTGCCCATGAACCAAGCGAAGTGGGGGATCAAGGACTTGGCTGTAAGTGACTTGCAGGACGGATTGAATGCCAAATTTTATCTAAGCCGTAGTGGGAACGCATTTAAAACTAAAAAAACCGAAGATTTACGCCACTAATTAAGCTATAGGATCCAAAATTAAACAATTTTTATAAAAACTATTTTCAAATCGACTGTTAATTAGGATAGGAAATATATTTTAAACGAGAAAGGAAGCTACCCTTGTAGTTATACCGATATTATTGCCAATCGGCAAGATTTAACGCTGAAAAAGTTTAATAATCATGCCGATCAGCTGGTCTAGCCCGAAATGGTATGTTGAAATTGAGATACTCAGTACCCTATACATATACTCAACTTATTTTGTACAATTATTATGCAAATTATAATAACTTTAATAATAACTTTAAATAACAGCAAATTAAAAAAAATGTTCAATAGTTTTTAAACTAAGCTCATTCGTGCAACCAAATTATATTACAAAAGGGTACAAATATGGAATATTTAAATACATCGCTAGGTTTTATACTCAATAAGTAATGTACATATGTGGCATGCCATAAAACTACAAATTTTTCGAGGCACCAATTTACCCACCTAAAGCTAAATTAAATCAATCCTTTTTGTTTTTTCAAGCAAAGGTCGAATTGTATTCAATGCAATTTTATTGCGTGTTGAAAATTGAGATTAATTTTTACGAGTAGCATATATACGCGAAATATTTTGTACAATTATTATGCAAATTATGGTATATCAGATATGACAGCTTTAGGATACAAAACTTAATTAAGGGGATGTACTGGATATATAATTGAATAATAACTTTAAATAACAGCAAATTAAAAAAAATGTTCAATAGTTTTTAAACTAAGCTCACGAAGCCTAATATATCGCTAGGTTTTATACTTAATAAGTACATATGTGGCATGCCATAAAACTACCAATTTTTCGAAGCCCCAATTTACCACATAAAGCTAAATTAAATCAATCCTTTTAGTTTTTTCAAGCAAAGCTTCAATTGTTTTCAATGCAATTTTATTGCGTGTTGAAAATTGAGATTAATTTTTACGAGTAGCATTTATACGCAAAATACTTTGTACAATTATATGGAAATTATGGTATAACAGATATGACAGCCATAAGATACAGACAGATACAGCAAAGTAAAAAAATGTTCAATACATTTTAAACTAAGCTCTCGAACGACATAGATGAATTTAATGCGTTTCATTCTTGCAACCAAATAATATTATAAAAATGTACAAATATGGAAAATTTGGATATATCGCTAGGTTCTATACTTAATAAGTAATATTGAAGAATGTCAAAACACAACCAATTTTTCGAGGCCCCTATTTACCCACCTAAAGCTAAATTAAATCAATCCTTTTTGTTTTTTCAAACAAAGGTCCAATTGTATTCAATGCAATTTTATTGCGTGTTGAAAATTGAGATTAATTTTTACGAGTAGCATTTATACGCAAAATACTTTGTACAATTATATGGAAATTATGGTATAACAGATATGACAGTTAAAAGATACAGATCTTGATTAAGGGTATGTATTGGATATGGATTTAATTAATAACATTAAATAACATAACAGCAAAGTAAAAAAATGTTCAATACTTTTTAAACTAAGCTCTCGAACGACATAGATGAATTTAATGCGTTTGATTCTTGCAACCAATTGATATTACAAAAATGTACAAATATGGAATATTTGGATATATCGATAGGTTCTATAGAATTTGTAAGGTTAATTTGAGAAAATTTTTCTATTTTTAAGGGTAAATAATTTTTTAGGGCAGAATTTCTAATTTGAGGAAAAAAATTCTAAAAACCTGTACCATTTTTACTAAAATAGAGAAATTCTTCCTTGGTTTTAGGGTGAGTTTAGTTTATGGCGACAATTTCTACATTTGAGAAACACTTTCTTGATTTAAGAAAAGTTTTCTTGTTTTGAGAAAAAAATTCCTTGAAAATATAAATCTTTTCTTGGATTTAGAAAAAACAAGAGAGAACGCTATAGTCGAGTGCCTCGACTATTATTATTATTATTATTATTATTATTATTATTATTATTACTCAGCTAAACAACTTAATATTAATAAATATTAATATTAAACATACATACTTATATTGGCTAAACACATACATTCTTAAATAGTATTATGTATATTAAAGTCTAAATGTTTGCACAACACGAGTAACGGGTATAGCGATACATACATACATACATATGTATATGCTTACATACATACACACATACGCCATTGTTTGACTTAGACCTCCAATTTGGCTAACTAGATTTGATTTGCATAGTTCTTGGGATATAGTTCGGTATTGACAAATGAAAACCATCGCAATTTCCTTTAATAGAAATCCGTATCGAGAATTAACGTTGACTCTGTTGAGCACCTTGGCCAGCTGTTCCAAAGTCATCCGTTAGATGGCGCCATGAAAGGCGGAAATGTAGGCGCTAGCCAGGCTTAAGCGTTTAATGGATTTTTGGGCGCTAGAGTGGGCGTGGCAAACTTTTATTAGGCCAATCGATATTTATTGACGAAACAAATACATATCAATTCAAATTTTCATAATATCATCAAAACTGTGCCCACAGCTTGTGGCTTGTGGGCGTCAGAGGGGGCGTGGCACCATTTTGAAACAAACTTGCGCTGCGTTGGAACTCCTAAAATCTACATGCAAAATGCCAATCTTCTAGCTTTTATAGTTTCCGAGATCTCAGCGTTCATACGGACGGACAGATAGACAGACGGACAGACGGACATGGCTAGATCGACTCGTCTAGTGATCCTGAACAAGAATATATATACTTTATAGGGTCGGAAACGCTTCCTTCTACCTGTTACATACTTTTGCACGAATACAATATACCCTTTTACTATACGAGTAACGGGTATAATTAAGTTTTAAGGCGAATTTCTAAAATTTAGGGTTAATTTTGCTATGAGTGTATTCTTAATAAGTAATATACATATGTAGAATGCCAAAACACAATCAATTATTTGAGGCCCCAATTTACCCACCTAAAGCTAAATTAATTCAATCTTTATTTTTTTCAAGCAAAGCTCAAATTGTTTTCAATGTAATTTTATTGCTCGAACAAACATTGTCCTATCGCGTTGCTCGCAATAGTGCGCAATGCCGTGGTATAGTCCCTTAAATACAACTTCAACGGAGGAGTTGGCGAGTGGAAAGGAGAGCTCCATGAAACCCACCCCCTGTGCGTGTATGTATAGCAACTCTCAGTTTGGCCCACTTCCCTGGATATCTGAATATCCTGTTGCCGCTTTTAAACCAGTTCTTTCCCCCGTTCGGCCATTTGAGCAGGATTGCTTTAATGCTAATATGTGCGTGCCAACGATATTTAAATGAGCCGTTTCTTACAACCTTTTCGTGGAACTTTTTTAATCGTTTCAATAAATATTACCATACAAAAATTATTTTTGAAATTGTAGGCTTTTGAGTTTATTATGCTACCTTGATTATAAGAAACAATTTTCTACATTGCAAATAAGGTTAGGGATTTTGTTCCAAAATTGGCCAACGATATTTAAATGAGCCTTTTTTTACTACCTTCCCTTGGAACTTTTTTAAACGTTTAAATCAATATTACCTTAAAAAAATTATTTTCGAAATTGTAGGCTTTTAAGTTTATTGTGCTACCTTGATTATAAAAAAATGTTTTCTATATTAGAAATGAGGATAGGAACTTCGTTCCGAATACGATTCATTGGCCAACGATATTAAAATGATAAATTTTTCAATAAGAATAAAGGGAAGGTATATTTCCCTTGCAACTTTTCTAAATGGTTAACTACATTTTAGACGAGAATTGACACAAGCGTTATTTACTGGCCTATTCTCTCAGTGTGGCCATGGGTCTGGGATCGAACCCCGGGCAATTTGCACTAAATGCGCTGCAGTAGAATCGACAATCGGCGGCAGCGCCTAATTAAAACGAGTGCACAAGGAGGCAGCGTTTCCACGGCAATTACAACGCAACCCAATCTCAGTCCGGAAAAGCCGACCGATCCCAGCTCCGCTTCCACTCGGCTGAGAGATGCACTGCTGCCAAAAGCGCTTTCCACTCAAAACAAACTCGGCTCGAGAGAGCCGTCAAACAGACTCAAGCCAAGTCTGTTGTTTGGCTGCGAATCGACGTCGACGGGCAGCAGATTCGGGCTTCAGTCTAAAATTTGTTTTGAGCGGCGACCAAACGTGTCACGGAGAACTCGTAACGTGGTCGAATCGCGTTTACTTGCAATCAACAAATTAACAAAAAATATTGTGGTCCGTTCAGTGAAGTTTCCCCTGCACTCCTTTGAGAGAATTACAGAAAAAGAGTCCTTGAAAATAGTTAATAATTCTGATCCGCTCACAGCCCCCTGGGGCAGAATATTTATAAAGACAATAAACAGTTCCAGACGCAGTCTTAAAGAACGCTCCGATATTTCTTCTAAAAAGGTGTGGTTGTTTGTATGTGCCGATACGAAGCGTTAAGAGTGCCAGTTAAGAGATGCACATACAACTCACACCCCGCTCGCTCGTTTGCAAAGAGAAGGAAGGCACTGGTGCGCTTTGTTGTGGTGGTTTCGATGCGAAAATAAAAGAATGCCCATCACACAACGTGCCAGTGGATATGTGCTTAAATAAAGAACCGAGATACTTTTGTATCTGCCAGATTGCCAATGCCGGGTCAAAGCCGATGCGGCATTGAGAGCTACATGGCAGACGCGGAAATGCGACTATGTCGCCGACCGACCCACTTTGGGCCCACTCTGGCCCATTCCAGCATTGTATTCGTATTCGACGGATGCACCTCAGAGGCTAGACATTTCCCTTGACCAGGAGAGCCAAAAAAGGCGCCAAATTTTCTGCACGGCAAGAGGGTTGAAACGGCGGGCTGCGAGTGAGAGTGGAGAGAAATTAAGAGAGCGAAGGACCTGGATTGTAAAAAAAAAAGGATACAAAAAGTGTGTGAACGTGTCTGAATACTATTTGTGTACATCTGTAGAACTCACCGCCGGTGCAACAAATATTTGCAATTTAAAAATAAACCAAGTGCTGGCAAAACATCAGAATATAAGCCCTTTCGTGTACAATTCAGTTGCAGTGTTTCACATGGAATTTTAAATGTTCAAAACATATTACTACGTTTATACGCACGCCTTATTTACAATTTAAAAGGTTTCGATGGAACAATTGAGAAAATTGTTTTGCGGTTTAACATTAAAATAAGAATCCCCAAAAATGATATAAATAACGTAACTTACAAAAACGTGGGGACTTAACATTAAAAGCGCCAAAGAAATGCACTAGAATTTTGCCAAATTAAAAATATATCTATTTTTGGATTTAATTCAGGTGGGGTCACACCTACCAGCAAAAACTAATACCTTATAAATATTAAAAAAAGCGTATTGAAAAATTGTTTTAAAATGCAAAAAGCAGGCGTATATTCGTAGTATATGTTTCGATTCCATGTCATAATTAAAACTACTAAACACAGGCCTTTAGATCAAAAGAAACCCACCGATAAAACATGTCCAAGCCAGTACCGATGAGTCCGTCCTTTGTGGACGAGGATCTGCACAATTTGAGGAAGCCCAAACCGTTCAATCTCGGCCAGTTTTTATATAACTCCGAGGACGGCACGGTTATGGGCCGAAATCGTTCGTCATGGGGTAAGTTTATTGAGGTGTTTATTGCACTCTTTTGCCATAAATCTGACGGAGGAGTTATTTGTTTTTATCGCGTATGCCTGTTGTAAATCAAGCCAATAAGTCATATTTTGCTGTCACCAATTCGAGCCGGGCTTCGGAATTTATTTTAATAACACGGCACTGCGAAAATATCGCCTGAAGTGTCGAGAGTTGCACTCATTCGTAAATAAGTAGAGCAGAGGTTTGGAAGCGGCCGACAAATTAACGTCTGCATGTAACGATGCTCGGTAATGGGGACAAATTAGGGTGGGGAAATGTGGCATCTTATTTTTGTTCGCTTTCAATTACCGCTAGTTAAGCTGTCCGCTGCAACGTTTATCATCAATTGTACGGGAAAGGTTTTCTCAGCACGCCAATATTGGCATTTAAAAGTTGGCAAGCTCAAGGCCCAGTATATATATGCATATATATATATGTATATATAGACAAGTGTACAGTGCAATTATGCTGAAATGGGCAAAGCAAAGCTGAAAATGTACAAAAATGGAAATAAGTACTATTTACATTGGCCGGAAATTGGCAGAGAAAAGAATATGTGCATTAAGCACTATGTAGAGATTCGATTTTTTCGAGAATACAATAAATATTTTAAAAATAAATTACTAATACCATTCCTTAAAATTTACACTTGTCACTTGAAAATAGTTTTTGACGTGAAATGTGCTACCCTACTTGCTTTTTTATTGACCCAACTTCAGCTTGGCTTGACTTCTCTCTTAGCTGATAGTTCTCTTGCTGGCCAACTTCTCAGACTAATTGAGGTTATGTTGGTTCAGTATATGGAAGAGATGAGAGCGATCACCGCACACACACACACACACACACCCATGGACCTGGTCCTAACCAGTTAGCTCTTGAGCGCAACTGACTTGCCAGACAACTCTCTTACTCTCTATACGAATGTTTGGATTGTGGCGATGATTCAGCGGAGAAGCTCGGCGTCAGTTATCCGTCTACTTCGAACTTGAGAAGCAGCGCAGCTTGGGGGTTGGTTCCCATTTGTTTATGTAGCCCACTTGCGCCGGCTGTCGTCAATTATCGGTTTAACCCATGCTGACCGAGGGGCCAGTGGCAATTAACTAATTCAATCGCGTCAATTGACTGAAGATCGTTAGGAATGGCTTTAATCAGAGTAATTCAATGAGCATTTCCCGTTCCTTTCCTGTCGCAGCCAAAATCGGAATTTTCTATGTGGCCTTCTACGGAGTCCTCGCTGCCCTGGTGGCCATCTGCATGTGGGCCTTCTTCCAAACCCTCGACCCTCGCATTCCCAAATGGACCTTAGACCGCTCCCTGATCGGCACCAATCCAGGTGAGTCCTCGATTTCCACAGCTTTCGTTAATCTCATTTAACCGAGCTCTACGATCTTAGGTTTGGGTTTCCGCCCCTTGCCGCCGGTCGACAACGTGGAAAGCACTTTGATCTGGTACAAAGGGACTCAGCATGAAAACTACAAACACTGGACAGACTCCCTAGATGATTTCCTGGCGGGTAAGTAATTAAAAATGAGATGTGAACCCGAAGTTAAAGAGGGTTTCTCTAATTAATGTACTGCAAAAAATACTCTAGCAGTCAATGCATTGTTTTTCTGTTTGGTTTTATACAATTTTACTTACTGAATTTGTTCCCATTGCAGTTTACAAAGTACCCGGACTGACTCCCGGTCGTGGTCAGAACATCTACAACTGCGACTACAACCAGCCACCGCCGAAGGGCCAGGTGTGCGACGTGGACATAAAGTCGTGGTCTCCTTGCACCAAGGAAAACAACTACAGCTACCACAAGAGTGCGCCGTGCATTTTCCTCAAGCTCAACAAAATCTATGGATGGATACCAGAGTACTACAACGATTCGCGGGACCTGCCCGAATCCATGCCTTTGAGCTTGAAGACCTACATCGGTGAGGTCGAGAAGACGCAGCCACACAAGGTGAGTGAAGTACTCCGATTCAAAGCAGTAAACTAATTTACTAAATACCATAATTAAATCCAGCTAAACACTATTTGGGTGTCGTGCGAGGGCGAGAATCCAGCCGATCAGGAAAACATTGGAGCCGTCAACTACCTGCCAATCAGGGGCTTCCCCGGTTACTTCTATCCCTACCAGAACTCCGAGGGCTACTTGAGTCCCTTGGTGGCCGTACACTTCCAGCGCCCCAAACGTGAGTGGTCTTTGAATAACGTCGGTCTACAGTTCCCGATTTAATGGTTTTTCCTTGCTTTTCAGGCGGAATCATCATCAACGTGGAGTGCAAGGCTTGGGCTCGCAACATTTTGCACGATCGCAAGGAGAGGATCGGTTCGGTTCACTATGAGCTCCTTATCGATTAAAGTGTATCGAAATATTATCTATAACATAATGTAAAACAGAATCTCCGATGAGCAAGAATCTCGGAACCAGAGGGGTGAGGACGTCGTTAAATATCGTCTAAGACAATCCTACCAGAGGCAAACCACCAGAAGTTTGTTGTAGTAAAAATTGTGAAAGGTTCAGATTTCCGTTTGTAATTTAAAATTCAAAATTATTGAATTGTATTATTTCATGAAGTTATTAAACATACAAATTATAATCAAGACTTGCTACGGCTAAAATATACAATTTTTAAATTTCAAGATTTTTGTATGCACTTTACGACGAAAGTTTTCACATATAATTATAAAACCAAGATGGGAAATCAATGAACAGGATTGTAATAGCCTGAATCTCATTTAACGCTGGCCACTAAATCAAGCAAATGCAACAAAGTTACAGCAATTAATCGAAACTGCCATTTCAAATAAATCAACAAACAAATCCTTAGATATACAAATTTATAAAGAAAATTTAAAGATTTCATTTTTATACCCGTTACTCGTAGAGTAAAAGGGTATATTGTATTCGTGCAAAAGTATGTAACAGCTAGAAGGAAGCGTTTCCGACCCTATAAAGTATATATATTCTTGATCAGGATCACTAGCCGAGTCGATCTAGCCATGTCCGTCTGTCCGTCTGTCCGTCTGTCCGTCTGTCCGTCTGTCCGTCTGTCCGTCTGTCTGTCCGTCTGTCTGTCTGTCTGTCCGTATGAACGCTGAGATCTCGGAAACTATAAAAGCTAGAAGATTGGCATTTTGCATGCAGATTCTAGGAGTTCCTACGCAGCGCAAGTTTGTTTCAAAATGGTGCCACGCCCCCTTTAACGCCCACAATCGCTTATATACGATTTTAAAAATTTAAATATTTCGGAAAAGTAAAAATGCAGTTTTATTGTGTTTATCAATACCTATCGAAATGTAGAAGAAATTTTTCAAATCGGACCATTTGTTAAAAAGTTATGCGTGATCAAAGTTTCTATCTCCATCTCCCTCGCACTCCCTTTACCTGAGTAACGGGTATCTGATAGTCGGGGCACCCGACTATAGCGTTCTCTCTTGTTGAGTCTGCTATACATGTAACCCCAAAACAGACCAATTTTGTCAACCAAAAAAAAATTTTTTAATATTTACAGCTAGCTTCAGAATATACCATATTTATAAATAACTTAGTCTAAAGTGAAAGCTCTATACATCACATTAAGATGAACTACAAAATAATATTTGGCAACCAGAAACGCGAAACTTCGGCTAATTTGTAAGTTTAACATAACATAATTGCGAAAAGATAAATTTAAGGAAATTACTTGAATTAAAACGGCTGAGACGAATCACTTTCAAAACTTTTTCAATAAAAATTAAAAGAAAGTAGTCAGACATAAATAAAATGTTTTGTTTAATTGAAGGGGTTTGATATGATATACGAAAATGGCCGTCTCCAAACAATTTTCAGATGGCCATATGACATACTTTCGGATTTACGTAAACGCTGGAGTTGCCCTGCTGTGATAAGATAATGATGAAGTTGATAATGCCATATCGAAAATCTCTGCCGTCACCTGACAGTGGTCACCTACTGACTGATAAATAGACTTAAAGCCAGATCGATTGGATTTTGGTCATTAATAAAGTTCATTCTTTTATTTAATCAAGATTAACCATAGAAATACATATGTATTAAGAAATTAAATTAAATGTATTTATTGCGTACGTGTGTCAAAAGGGTGGTTCGATAGTTTCATTGGCAGAATTCCATAAAATTGTCTATGGCTTTTTGGACTTCCAAATCGAGGTTCAAAGAAGGAGACTGTCAAATTTGATTTTGTTTATAAGCCTTGTATATTTGTATTAGAGTGGGGACTTGTTTGAATTTGTATGAGTATATTAATGGCTTTCAAAACAATAGTGCCCTGGCTAAAATTTAGAATAACAGTTTTCAGTCTTCGAGTATTTGGATTGCACACCGATATATACAATATATGTATATGTTATATTAATCGGAAAAGGAAGTTTTTTGAACCACCCTAATGTACATATAACCATTTATGTATATAGAAGATTTTTTATCAGCCCAAATAATAAGTCGGCCAATTGCGTCATTTAAAATCATTAACGAAGCGCTTCTGTTTGCTTTTTGATATTCTGTTTATTTATAACGTTCCCGGCAAAAAGTATACACAACAGAAGTGATTAACACTTAGGAAAAAAGTTCGATTGCCTGGTGTGCAAACCTGGGTTTAATATCTAATCTAATTTTTTATGTGAGCCAAAAAAAATGAAACTATTTAAGTAAAATAATGAGTCTGTAAGGTCTTTTCCGTCCTAGGGTTTGTTTAATAATGCAACATACGTAGTTTTAGCTTCCCTTGCAGGCGAGGAAACTGGCCTATTTTTTTATTAAAATATTTTGAAAACAAAAAAATGTTTGAATTCCATCGTTTTATCTACAAATATGGTCTTCTTGAATATGTTCAATAAATTTGAGTAAAATCGAAATATATTGTCCATCAGGCAATTGAAATGCGTCAGGCTACTTGATCTCGAGGGCGAATGTTTCGAAATCTTTTGAAAGTGGCTCGACGATAGTGAAAAGTTTGGATGCATATAGCAGCCATGATTATAAAAGTTTCGGGGGAAAATGATCATTGTCATTGAAAATCGACTATCCATGATGAATGTACCAAAAATTAAAATGCCCATATAGATTTATTCGTCAAGTATTTGGAAAAGAATAATTCGAAATTCACCATTTCTTTAAATTCTGAAAAGCGTGTTTTCTAAATTATAATAAATTTTTTGGACACCAATTTAAAATAATAATACTTTCAATTGTTGAATGAAAAGGCAGTTGATATTTTTATACATCTTCTAGACCAACCAAAAAAAAAGGGCAAGACCAAATAGAGTTTTATTTAAGATTTTTATAAGTAATTATAATTTGAGATTAAACAAAATTAAATTTAAATTATTAAAAACAAGAAAGGAAGCAAACTTATACCCTTGCAGTTATTATAAAACTACGATTTTGTAATACTTAAATACTATGGAATTACGGTTTTAATTTAATTCCTATGCTCCCTTAGGAAAATGAAAAAATTAAAAAATATAAAAATGAATAAAAATTATTTTTTTGCTGTTATTATTTACTATATTAGAATTACGCTTTTAGTTTTATCAAAATCGGACAACAATATCATATAGCTGCCATAGAAACGATGAAAAAATGCAGCTCAAAATCGACATAGCATCATTGTTTTTAGTAATATGGCCATAGAAATAATAATAAATTAAATAATATTTTGTAATCAATAATTCAGGGCTTAAATAAATTGTGTACCGTCAGCAGATTAATGTTGAAAAATTATTACTTGTCTTTTAACGGGCTGGTACTTTCAGAGTAATCAAGTGGTTCCATACTTTTATCAGTCGGTCAGCTTACTGCATACATATGTATGTACATACATGCATGGCAAGAATTTATACCCGCTAATTGACAGCTAATTAGCTGAATGACAGAACATTGTCCACAGAACCTAAGCCAAATAGTTGCTGAGATCTTAGTAAAAAAAAATCAAAACGCATATCCAATGAGGAAGCTCTATGAGATTTAAAGATTGTCACGCACACAGGAGTCGCTGTAAATTCAGTTTCGACCGGATAAATCAGATAGAGTTGTTGGCCGAAGATATTCCCGGGAGCAAAGTCGGTCTGTCATGTGTAATTATGTACATTTGCTTAATTATACCCTTGCAGAGGGTCAAAAGTTTGCAACGCAGTGAGGGAGACATTTCCGACCCTATAAAGTATATACACTCACTCGCATATCTCTGCGTACACCCCAAAAAAATTTCAAAATCTGACTTTGAACATTAATTGTTCGGCCATTTATGCATGTATTTTATTCATTCTTTTTTTAAACAAAACTATGGTTTATTGTCTTCATTGACGTAGAAATATTAGAATTTTAATTTTAAACCTAACACTACGAAAAAGTGTACGCGCAAAAGTCTGCGTACAGCAGTTTTCAACTTCGAGGAATGCAGGATTGTGCGATTTCCGTTAATTTTGTTGTCGCCGATCTACTTTAGAATGTCTAAAAATAGACATTACGCAGTTAAAATGAAACTTTTTCATTATAATAACGAGCATATTGCAACATGGAACAAAAAGGCAAGGAAATTTCTGTTGAGGAGTGGAAAATTATATTAAAAGGTTTTTTGGATGGAAAATCTTATAGAGAAATTGGTGCTTTAGTTGGTAGAACCCACTCATCCATCCAAAGAGTGATAAATAACTACAACTCGGCTGAAAGTATCTTGACAAAGGCTCGTTCTGGCCGTCCGCCTTTGCTTATAAACCGCGGGCACAGGAATATTAACAAATCTATTCAGCTCAACCCAAGGACGACAGCTCATCAGGCAAAGCTGAAGGTCGAGGATAGATTTTCCAAAAGAGTTTCCGAAGATACTGTACGCCGGACCATAAAAAAGGCTGACTACCATAGCAGAGTCGCACGCAAAAAACCTCTCATATCGGAAGTCAATAGACATAAGCGCCTAACCTTTACTAATGAGTATATTTCCAAACACCAAGACTTCTGGAATAAGATTATATTTCCCGACGAAACTAAATTCTGCATATTTGGAATCAAGGGAAAGGTTTTGGTATGGAGGAAAAGCGGAGAAGCCTCAAATTAAGAAAATTTGGTTGGCACAGTAAAGCAAGGAGGAAGCGGAATAATGGTGTGGGGGTGTATGGCAGCAAGTGGCGTTGGAAAATTGGTATTTATCGAGTTAATAATGGATCAGAAAATCTATATTGACATATTAAAAAACAATTTAAAAGAAAGTGCTGAAAAATTAGGGCTCGAAAGTGAATGTTGGTTCCAACAAGACCACGACCCGAAGCATACGGCGCAGAATACCATGCTTTGGCTGCTGTATAACGTCATAAATCAGCTGCGAACACCTCCCCAAAGTCCTGATCTAAGCCCAAATGAGTATTTTTGGGATCTTCTTGAGAGGAAGATCCGAAGACACACGATAACATCTAAAAAAATGCTCAAGAATGTGATTCTCGAGGAGTAGGGGAAAATTACTGCAAATGAGACAAAAAAAAAGGGGTTTCCATCCCGAGACGCCTTACGGAAGTTTTGCAGAGAAAAGAATACCCTACCAGTTACTAAAAATAATATTATTTGTGTTTTAAACAGGTGTACGCAGACTTTTGCGGGTACATTTTTTGGTAGTGTTAAGTTTAAAATTAAAAATAAAATATAAGACACTGTTGAATAATTTCAAAAAAAATACGTCAATGAAGACAATAAATTATAATTATGTTTAAAAAAAGGAATGGGTTGAATATATGCATAAATGGCCGAACAGCTAGGGTTTAAAGTTAGATTTTGAAATTTTTTTGGGGTGTACGCAGAGATATGCGAGTGAGTGTACATATATTCTTGATCAGCATCCCCAGGAGAGTCGATCTAACCATGTCCGTCCATCTAGTCACTTAGTTATAAACCTATCTTCTTAAAACTTTCCCAACATTTGTCTTTCTATTGCAGGAAGTATATACATAAGTCGGAAGGAGCCAGATCGGGCGACTATATCATATAGCTCCCATTTAAAAAATTTCAAAACAGATAACCTTTTTTTTTTTTTTCTTTGGGATTTGGTGATATCTAAATACTATGGAATTACGGGGTTAATTAAATTAAAATCGGACAGGAGCAAATCGACATATGTAGCTTCATTGTTTTTAGTAATATAGGCAAAGAAATCGAAATGTAGTCGTAAAGGTATATAAACTTCGGCTTGCCGAAGTTTTCTTCCATTCTTGTTCTGAGTTCATATTAAACAGAAACAGGGGCCTGACAACGCAGCTTCTTTCATAGGCAACTATTGTGGAGATCTAACCGGACAAAACCAAACGAGAAAGTTACACATCAAGTCACAGTTTCCATACGTCCTAACCTGCAGATGTGTGACATTCGTATGCATGTACGTCATTAAAAAGGTATTTATTGGTTGAAGGTACTATATCAATTGAGGTTTCTTGAGGTAATTATACCTCTATCATTCATAATTCTGGCGCAGAGCATCAAAAACCCAACAAGCCAAGATATCACAGTAGATATGTACTTATATTCGTACTTATCAGCAAGTAATGATTAGTTAATACTGCCTCCGTAAATGCCTCTAGTCTGAGAACCCAATAAACTCAGAGGCAGGAATTGCGCCTTACAATTGAATTGTCGACATAATGTGCTCTGCCGTCGTCAAGTGTAATTTAATCAACTTGTAAAGATTACAACAGTGAAGCACCGAGATACATAAACATAATACCATGACCATTTATCCATGCATCAACGTACCCTTAATCAGCAGCAACAGCCCAAGAAAGAGGAAAATTGGAAATGGCAACCGATTGTTGTGGGAGTTGGGGTTGGACGCTGCAAGGGGTTGCCATGCAGGAGGAAGTGCACATTTATGTGAACTAATCAACTCAAAAGTTCTTGACACTTGGCAACGGTTCTTACACTTTACAAAAATGTAGATACTTCTGTTTCCTAACTAATAAGAAACAAGTTGTTTAGGTAAAGTTACTATAATTTGCTTTTCGCTTATTTTTAATTATCTAAATATATAATACATTTTATTTAATAAAATTAAAGATATTGTTCTTCTTATTTAAATGGTTTAAATATATTTTTCTTTATTTAAAAATAGTTATTAATAGACATTAAAGATGTCATAAAAGAGAACATACTAGAAATTACAATTGTTTCAGTGTACAACTAGCATTATGCAGATGCTGAGGACGACGTGTAATGATTAAGGAACAATAACAAAAAGTTTTCCCATTTTCCTCGTGGAAATTTCCGAAGCCCAGAGCAGCCAAAAACTGATCCAACCATTTTGGAGAGCGTGGAAAAGCAAAACAAAGCGAATGTTAGGTACAACAACACGCAAGCATAATGAGCGCAAATGTGGTTGGGGTTGGCAGAGGGGAGAGAGCGCGGTCTGTGGAGCGGGGGTTGGGGAGGGTTGGAGTTTGGTGGAGCCAATGTACTCAACTCTCGGCGCAGGTCAGTGCGATAGACTGGGAGAGCGGAAGATTGGGAGAGCAGGAGAGACCTGAACTAGTGTGCGTTCGATTTTCTTTGTGCTTTCTGTTTTAATATTTATAAAGCTAGAGCGCATAACATTTTTGGGGGGTTGCCTGGGACCAACTGATTTTAAATACAAAATTTGTTCTGTACTTGGAGAAACTGCTTGACCCAAACAACCACCCTTGACTGTGTTGTCGTCTGGCCGCTGTCTGCACTCAATCATTTATTCTATTTGCATAGCCAGCAAAAGAAAGAGTGGAAAGGAAAGAGAGAAAGACAAGGCACACACGACACCACAACTCGCAAACACACCTTGGCCAACCACCCACCCCCCGTGGCCAACAAGTTATTGCTTTGGCCTTTTCTCATGTTGCTTGGCAAAGTTTCGAAAACGTTCAACAGCTGTTGTAGTCACACAGCGAGAAATCGTAACCGCGTGATTAACACGTTATTGTGGAATATGCGCGAGGTAGTTAACCGCCTATAAGACATATATATAATCTAAAACCAATAACTTAAATTCTAACCATCTCTTCGGATCAGTTATGTATAGTTAAAAGTTTAATATGTATAATTGAACTTCTAGATCGCAGGATCTTACTATTTTTATTACAATGCAAAAACCGTTTGGCCTCTTTCTTTAATAAAAATTGGAAATTGTACGTTGATAAGATAAGCCACTATTAAATAATTTAAATTTTAACAGAACTTGACCTAATATAACTTACCAGGATATAACTTAGAACCAGTCGTTGGCTTAAACGACCCGATTTAAAATTACAGATAACTTCTTTTACAACAATGTTTAAAATAAAAAGACTTTTATTTTATTTGATATTATTGTAAAGAATGTGAAATATGTTCAGCAAATCTAATATCGTTGAATAACTACTTATGTGTGTTGTATGCAACCATAAAACATTTACGTTGAAACTGATATTGGATTCGGTTTAAGTCCCTGGAATTTACTATTATGATGACTTCTACTCTCTATTGCAAATAATAAATATAAATTATGCAAGTTCTGTATCGTGAAGAGTAGCCCCCTTTCTTTTAGTGCATCGGCACTCTTATCTTAAAGCTTTTTGTTGGCGGGAGAGCGAGAGCGAGTAGCGTGTGCCTGTGTGAGTGTTGAGGGGCGAAGAACGTTCGTTGAACGTTGTTTTACGCTTTGCTTTGACTACACTGCGTTCGGTTAGTTGGTGATCTTTCGCCGAGAGCGCAGCACGCAGCACGCACCGCCTTTCGCAGTCGAAGTTAGCAGGGATTTTAAAAGTTGGAAACAACTTTTCGTATCCCTCAGACCGTTTAGTGTGTGCTTCTATTCTGGTATTCTGCTAACTACAACCGTTTCTAACTCTTTTTACATCCTTACGACCATCCGAGTATTCACACCGCAAAAAATTGCATAATTACAAGTTTTTCAAAATACTGTGCTGTGAGCGCGAAAATAAAAGAGAATTTATTTCCGAGTCTGTTGAATCATCGCATATACACAGCTATTCGTATACATAAAATCAGTTTTCGTAGCCTTCGCGCCATACACGTCATAAACGAAAAACATTACCGAAATTTTCGCATCCAAGCGAAAAATAAAATTAACCGTTGGAGAGTGTGAAAGAAAAGGGCCAAAATGTCAAAGAATGTCGGAAAGGGAGGCAAAGGCGAATTCGAATTCCCGCAGCCAGCGAAGAAGCAAACCTTCTCGCAAATGATCTACGATCCACAGGATGGAACATTTTTCGGTCGAACCGGAAAAAATTGGAGTAAGTAATTAAAATTTAATTAAATACTTACAGGAATAATAATTTGTAAACTACTTTCTAAAACAATCTAAAAAGAGATGCGACACTTTTTTAAATATGTAAAATAGATAAGAAAATACACGTTTAAATCCATTTTCAAATGATTAAATACTTAGAGTAAATTAATTTGGGTACTTTAGTTATATCTATAAGGTTATATATTTTATCAATTATTTTTAGACTTAAGGTAAACTAATTAGAGCACCTTCTAACTCTTCTTTCTACGCAGTCTACAACTAATCTGCTCGAAAACGACATGAGATATCCGCATCTAATCCACACTCCCTCTCTACATAGAAACAAAAATGCGATTGTTTATTGTATACAACCAGACTCATGTTCGTCATTTAATTATGAAAACTATATATGAGGACCGTGTGCTTGTAAAAATGGCTTATCAGTTGACGAGTCATATTAGGGAAGTGAGATGAGGCAGAGAGGCTGCTTCAGAGATCTCAAAAGCGGTGGCTCAAAAATGCTGAGTCGGCGCCATAAAGTAGATAAAACATTACCAACCAACGTGATAAAAGGGGGTTTTACGGTCAGTCATTATTATAAATAATATTAAAAAAAATTACATTCGCTTTAAAGTTTAAACCATTGTAGTTAACGTGCTAGGGACTAAGTAACGATTGTCTAAAAAGACACAAAAACGCCTACTAAAGATTTGAAACTAAACAGATGTCTTTATTGCTTCCACTTTTTTGCCCATACAAATTTTTGTTAAATTGCCTTTTTAATTTGGTTACCAATCCCCTCATTCTCGCTACCCACAAAGCAAAGCAAGCATAATTCAACGATAATGCGAATTCTTGATTTTTGAAAATGTACACGGACCCACGTTCGCAAAAGGTAATCGGGGGAAAACGTGAAAGGGCAGGAGCGTGAATACAGAGCAGATCGCTTTTATCGCCTATAATATTTGCCTTTTTATAATGGGTTTTGTAAACAAATTCAAGGTTTCGCAGAGAGAAATGAGCTCTGAGAGCATGAGAGAACCAATATTTCAGAAAGCTGTCGATCGTAGAACGAATTGCTGAAACACCAGAATTTCTTAATTGTTTTTTGTTTTTTTCCCCTGGGGAAATGGGGCTTGTAAGTGGTCATGGGAATAAAGATTTTAAAAATCTTATCAGGAAACACGCTGAAAAGTTTTCTTAATGTCATTTGTTAGCTTTTAATTAAGTTGGACAAATTCGTTTCTAGTTTTATCGAAATGATTAAATTGATGTATAATTTATTTGCCCTATGGACGCTCCAGGAAAGCTTTCATAACATATTATGTTCTTTCTGAATAATTCTTGATTTACTTTTTGTTGGAGCCGGACCCTAAAGAATTTATCCCTCTATTGACACACCTGCTTCACGCAGCAGATGTCGAATGTATATTTAATAAAAAGTATTTGCTGGACATACTACAATATATAGTATGTAAACATTTAGCTATGTTAAATTGTTTGGCTTGGCTTGAGCTAATTACCATCATTAAATCCAGTTCTTGGTGCATGTCCTTTGACTTTTCGCTGCTTATTGCCACCCAATTTTTGTCGTGTGCAATGTATTAGTGGGAGAATTTAATCGCAACCCCAGGGAAAATAGTGTGACACCGAATTATACACAGCTAATGTTCCTCAAGGTAATTACGAATAGCTGTCCACAGGTAAACAAAACTCAGAACAAGATCAGTTAACTACGATTTGATTTATGATCGTCCGATAAACTTTGATAAAATTCTGATTTCAAACGGTGGCAAAGCATTGGACGGTTGGCTGAGCTTTGATTTCTATTAATTAACGTAATGAGAACTTGTTTAGGTTTAGGTAGTGCTGGTTTTTTTTTAGGTGGGGATGAACAACCTGAGAGAACCGGTATAGCTGGTTTTTTTTGGGATGCTTCTGCTTTGTTACACATTTTAATTCTCTACAGCGCACTTACCTCTATAGAAATAAATCGAAATTGTTCATGATTTAACTTTTGTTATTAATGTTACATTGCTGATTTAAGGAATAGTAATGAACTGTACAACTAAAATAGACATAGGCATTGGTACCAATATCAATTCCTTAACAAAGCATGGTCAATTTAAAATACCCTCCTCCTCTTTTGACTGATATCAGATCAATGCAACCGCAATGCAGCAGAGACGACAGACAAATCACTGCCCTAGCCAGTTTCTAAAACGGACTCAAACCGGCTAGAACCGCATTTCCCCGGTTCTATCTGATTTCCCCATTAATCGGCCCCCGCCACGCCCCGCGTTCTGCTTACATTGACATGCTGCTAACTAATTGCCACGATAGTGACAAAGTCTACGATAAAATACACGATTTAATAAAAGCGCAGGAAACTAGCCTAATTTGCTAATTTGGAAACAAATGTATTTTTCACAAACCACTACTTAATTAAATTGAGCCTATTGGACAATTATTTCTGATTTTCGCCGACCTTTAAGCTAACAGTCAAATAAATATTTGGTTTTATCAACGTTGTGGAAAAATATGAAAAAACAAAAATGTGTTCCCATTTATTTGTATGTATAAATATGTACTTAATTATTTCCTCTTATTATTTCATGTTTAACGGCTTTGAACTTTATAACTCACACTTTTTATTTACCCGTTAAAATTATATTTTAGCGCATTTTTTCTTTGACCTTCCCTTTTGTATACCAGTGCTGTTCCGATAGGAACAATTGGAAAAAAAAATAATTAAAAGAATAAATTTGTTGTTTTTAATTTTTTGTTCTTTGTGATTTAGTAATATTTAAATACTATTACGGTTTTAAATAAATTAAAATCGGACATCTATATCATATAGGTCCCATAGGAAAAACAAAAATCAAAATATTCCCTTGAGATATACATAGTAATTATTTACCATATCAGAGTTTAAGTTTTGTCAAAATCGGATACCATATAGCTGCCAATGAAACGATGCCAAGGTGCAGCGCAAAATCTGCATAATAATCGACAAATATAAATTTATAAATTTTCTTTATCCTGTTTCCTAATTATAAAATCTATAATTCAGACTAGCTTACTCTAACGCAATTATCCAACCCAATCTTTTCGCGTCATCAATTTATTACTGGGTTTTTATTACATACTTTAAATAATTCAGCTGTTACCTATCTAGGTGAGCCGAATAAAAAACACAGTGTTGGACAAAAGAGAAAAGCTTCCAACCCGCATACTGGCCCAGAAATAATCAGCAAACTAAACGTTTGCAATGTTTACCGTGGGCTGGGCATTTGGATCATACCCCTCGTTAGCATGTGAAATTAATTCACTTAAAATGCCGCAAAGTATGCTATAGGCCCTAAGCACACAGACGGCGAAAAGAAAGATGGCCAAAGGATCCTGGGTGTGCGAGTGGGAGTGTGTGTGTGTGTGTGTCTGTGGCGGTGACGCATGGACAAAGGGTGCGGCGAGCAGCAACAAATGGAGCGGCGCCACGGAGGCGAGCATAGCTCTCATTCGGGACGGCTTATTGGTAATAAGGACGGGACGGGACGGGACGGGAGGTGACGTGACCCACTTAATCTGGCTGGATGTGGTCCGGGGGTAATGAGTATAATATTATGATGACAGACACCAACAAGTTGCACACTTGTTCTTCCTTCATTACTTGCCGCCTCTCCTCGGCCAAGAACTTCGTCTCGGTGGCGTCATAATTGTTGCTAGCCTTTAGATTCATTTAAGAAAATATTTTTTCCAACGATTTGGATAAACCAATATGAAAGAGACTTAAATATAATCGGGATAAAAATTATAAATTATGAAATTATTTGCTGCATTCTATTTCCACGCTAAAAATCTGATAACATGTAACACTCACTTATTGATTAGTTTCTCACTGAAAATAACCAATAATATGTTTTAGGGAGTGTACATATGTCCTCTTTATTAAAGTTCATTTATAATAGTGGAACATTTCCGAAGTCAACTTATCACACACCTCCATCATGCGGTTGCACATGTGCAGGCCGTTAACCGATTTCCCACAACTACGAACCTTACTGGTCAAATGTGCAAATTAAGCCACTTGGCGAGTTGTTTTTAGTGCTTGCCGTGGTGTCCAGGATTCCGGCCATATGTGCGACCAGCATGTAACTAAATTATTAAGCTCAGTCGGCCTTGGTAGTTTTGCTTGGACGAAGCCAAGTCCGCGTCTAGATCAGAGCGAGGTTATCAATCGTTGGTCATGCAAACTGACTAGCCTTTCCAGCACTATGGGTTGGGTTTTCCGGGGATGGGAATGGGAATGGGGATGGCAATGCTAGTGGATGGGTGGGAGTGGCGCTTTTTATATGGGTCACGGGTCCTTAAAGTTTGTTTACCGCACCAACGGACAAGGATAAGCGAAGCCCTTGTCCTCTCTGTGTGATTGCTTAGTGTTATTATAAAAACTTGGTCGCTGAGTTGCGCCACTTCAGCTCTACGACTAGTTGCACAATTCCACAGTGTGCGTATGCCCCATAAGAAAACTTTCCTTTATGAGTCGCATTTACTGTTATGCATAAACTTGATACCTCCCGCCGACATCTTGTTTGATTTTTATATAAGTGTTTAGTAAGTTTTCAGCCAGACAAAGGGGTTTCTCAGTCACTTGTTCTTCGGCATAAGTGATTTTTTCTTTTAAATTTTAAGCCGAATTGGGAATTCGCTCATTTTATTTGGCACGCTGACTTCTTGGCATGCCAGATTATCGTTCCTAATTATAAGTGCCAGATCTCAAGTTTATTTTCGGTTTGTTTGCATATATTCCAAAAAATAAATACATTTCAAGGCAAAAAAATGCCTAACGTAAAAGTAGCCTTGAAAAACGAATATCATAAATTAAATTTGTAGTTTACATATCCTACATTCGCACATTAGATAAATGTTTCCCTTTTCTGATTTTTTGCCAGCACTTCTAAATAAAATGGGTTTAAAATATCAATTTGGGTCATATAACTTATCTCCATCATGGAGTCATTGTCATTAAATTGTCATTTGCCATATATGTCATCAAGTTTTTTCTTAGTAATAAACAATAATAATTTACGCGAAACCATATTTTTATGATGGGAAAAAAAGTAATAAATGCATTCAGTATTTTAAATAGATTTGCTGCATTGTAGTAAGGGGAAGATGGCCTGCAATAGACATATGTCAGTGGCTCCTATATACGCTTTTTATTTCTGTAGGACTGTAGTATAAGCTGAAGTGGAGTAGACTTATCGATTTGAGTGGAAAAGGCAATGGCGGTCCCTCCTAGTGCGAGTTTTTGTAATGCCTCATTCGGCGAAGACATAAGAATGTTTGGGGACTCTGCCGTCATATAATCGTAAGCGTGTAGACCAGAATTCCTTACACATTGGATATTGGTAGCCAACACCACAGGCCGTCGCGACGTCCCACCTCGCCGGGCGGCGATTGGAATTGGTAATGCGGTGGAGGTTGGGTGGTTCGGCGGACGACTGGCGTCACACCACGAGTGTGATAGTCTGCCCATGGGTTTTGTCTATGTCTGGGTGCGTTCTGGTCATTGCCAAACTTATTTCCTTGTACTTGAACGCAATTATTTTCCATTTGGACTTGGCAACAAGCAGACGAGCCATTTGGCGGACTGAAACTTTGATGAGCAACTGGAAACTCAAATACATAAAAGTCGTTACCAACCGCCGGTAAAGGCCATCGATTACCAATTGATAGCTCCTGTCATTGTATGTTGGAACCGGTCAAGACCTGATATTTGCTTATGCATTTTTAACAAGCCATTGAAAACATATATGTGGAAATTAATTTTATATTTTAGGCCATGATTAGCAGTTGATAATTCAGTCTATATAACCAAACAAAAGAGTGGTTTATCTCAAATTTAGGCCCGTGATAGTTCGTCTTTTTCAGACTATTCTAAGGACACTGCTTAATTTATAGATCAATTTAACTAGTTATAGAGAAATATGTGATCACTATATCTAAACTCACATATTTTATAACATGATAAGTGCTTTTGAATGTTCATGTTGTATCATTGAAAACTTAAATGTAGAAGAGCCATTACCAAGGGAATGCAATCGATTATCAAGTGATTAATTAATGGGTACTCAAATATGGAACAAAATTGTGGTTTTCTGGTCGAAAGCAGTTTTCAATCGATGTTCCCAAAGCCCACCGATAGCTTAGTGCCAGAGAGTGTTTGTACAGGTCACCATCAACCCTGTACCGAGTAATTTCCTCTTGCCTTTGTTACGTACTGTACTCTGGGGCGCGTGCATTGTATTCGATATTCATTCATACGATTAATTTGTTTGGAAATTTGAGCTCTAGTGGACAGCCGTCGATTCGGTCGTTTTTCCGGGGGCGCTGTCAATTTCGGTTTGTCAATGCTGTCGCTTTTTTATGCAATTGCTATGGGGCTTGGCCAAGTCGGGCGCCCGATGTCCGGTGTTCTGTGTCCGGTGGCCGCAGGGAAAGTAACAAGCAGCCCACTGAATTCTAGCTGAGTCGTCATTGTTAATGACATTGAAATACAGAAAATCGCCGGTCCCGCGCACAAGTCCCGGCATTCTGTTTGTTGTTCTAGTCTTATTTACTGCACTCATCGTAAGCGTTCGATTACTTGCGTGTTCGTTTGTATTGCATAAGCTCCGTCCCTGTCCCTGTCCCATTCTCATTTTCATTTCCATTCTTAGATCCCCCATTTAGCCAGTTCGACAGATTCATGGAGCCCCCATTTTCGCAAATGACAGAAACAATCAAATCGATACCGTGAGCGCTACAAAAAAAATGTACAAAGATTGAAGTAGTATTGGAATTCATTTTTCTTTTAACAAACTTGCGATAACGGATTGGCCGTCTTTATCAACCCCTTAACCATAACTAAAATCAACACAACATTGGCTGTCCATTAGCTAAATTAGCGAACACATTGAGTCAGTCCATCATCCTGTTATGGAAAATTGTAATAATAATGGAAGTTATGGAATACTTTTTATAGAGGATTTGTGAAATATTTCAGTGTTATAAAGTATTTGTCTTTTTCTAAAAACCAACAGAGTTCGAATTAAGCACAATTTTATCTGGTGATGATATATGTACATATAAAGAATACTATTAAATCATATTCATTTCTGTTATTGCCACAGGTCAGCTGCTGCTGTTCTACACGATCTTCTATATCGTGCTGGCCGCTCTGTTCACCATCTGCATGCAGGGTCTTTTGTCCACTGTCAGCACTACGGAGCCTAAGTGGAAGCTGCACGACTCCCTGATAGGCACTAATCCCGGCCTGGGATTCCGTCCCTTGAGCAAGCAGACCGAGCGTGGATCGGTGATCTCTTTCGATGCCAAGAAGGAAGCCGAGAGTAAATACTGGATCGACCTAATTGATGAATTTCTTCAGGGTGAGCCAACTTGTATTATTTAGTTGGCAGCGGGTACTAATCATTTTGGAACTTGGCGCATTGCAGACTACAACCACACCGAGGGTTCGGCGTTGAAGCATTGTGGCTTCGGTCAGACCCACAATGTCACAGATATTTGCCTGTTTAATACTGAACTGTTTGGCAGCTGCTCGAGAGCCAATGGCTACGGCTATAAGACGAAACAGCCCTGCATATTCCTGAAGTTGAACAAAATCTATGGCTGGGTACCGGATGTGTTTGACGAGCCGGAGAAGAGTATGCCAGAAGATCTGAGAAAGGTGATTAACAACACGAAGAAGGAGGAGGTAAGTGGAACCAAGAAACTTAGATCCATGCAATTCAATTAAAAACATTAGAGTAATGACATACTCTCTTTTAGCGCCAGCAAATCTGGGTGAGCTGCAACGGACACTTGAACAAGGATAAAGAGAACTTTCAGGACATCAGTTACTTCCCCAGCCAGGGATTCCCTAGCTACTACTACCCGTTTATGAGCCAGGTGGGCTACCTGAGTCCCCTGGTCGCCGTGCAGTTCAACTCGCCGCCAAAGGGCCAAATGCTAGACGTCGAATGCCGCGCCTGGGCCAAGAACATCCGCTACAGCGGCAGTGCCCGCGATCGCATGGGGTCCGTGACCTTCCAGATCATTGTGGATTAGGTCCGGAACACAGCCGCATACTGGCCGAGGATACGGCAACCGCATCGGGTACCAACTACCACCTACCTTAAAGAAATATACACACATGCATATATAGATATATATGGAAGGAACTAAGACCTTAGGTTTTCAAATGTATTGTATATATTTATATGAGAGGAATGATCCGACCGTCAATTGAAATCAAAACATCTGGCCTAAAATTAAAATAGAAAAGTCCAACATTTTCAAATTAAAGTTCAAATCGTACACATGCAATTGTTGTTATAGCTTTTACCTTGTCTATTGCTATAAATTATTACTATTAATATTAATCTTATTATTTCATTATAAATTCTTGTAATTACGATCAATATTTTTCGTCAGTTGTATTTAGTTTTTATTTATAAATGTTTAAACATGTCCGAAAGTTTTTTGTTTCCCTCACAAGACCTAGGCTTGTTCAGTTTGTACAAAGAAGTATATAAATAAATTTATTGAATCGTGAAAAATTAAACATTTTGAACTAAGTTAAATGTTGATTATCTTTTTCAAGCTGAAAAGTATTCAAAAATCTCTACGTAGAGCAATTTTAAAAGCATAAACCGTAGCAAAGAGAAATTCCAGCCATATTAAAACTACATTTTTATTTATTTTAAACATATATTCATTCACCCCAACAAATAAAAAGAAGTTAAGCGAACAATGTTCTTTTGTTGCATCAATTTAATAAAGAAGCAGATTATTAGTATTAAAATTGTCTTTTTGTTGCAGATTAACTTTACAGCATACAATATTTTAATTAAATATTTTCGAAGGAATTAACACACATAATAAATAATTCATAAAAAGTTTGCTGGATACGACAGTCAATATTAAAGGATTGACAATTTATAGTATTTCTTGAAAAAATATGAATATAATGATATAATTTTAATCTAATATCCGTTAATCGTACATATATTTTATTCGCTTGACAGTGTATATATATATCTAAGCTATAAGAGCTAGAGATTTGGGATTAGCATGAAGATTCAAAATGTTGCCACGGCCACGGCCACAAATCACTAAACACTAAACACTTCAGAGACCTCGTAGAGGGCAGTTATTGGGCGGAAAATGTCAAAACTAGCATTAAAATACTTATTCAGTCTATAAATATCAACACTCCAAAAATTTCCGAAACGCAACATTACTTTATAAATTATAGAACTTTTTAAGTGTTAATTATGACGTCATTGCATATTTGAAAACGGTTCATATATTTTGAGAGAGCGAAAAAACTGGCCGTACCGCTCTCAACTTGAGGTATTTGCACTGTAGTTCTTCAGATGGCGCTACCTAAAATTGATTTATTTTGAAATTGGTTAGCTAAGTAACGGGTATTTTATAGTCGTGGCACTATAGCTTTTTTCCTTGTTTATCATGAAATTTTATTTTTCTGTATATGCTAGTAATTGGTTGAAACGCTTGTCTCTTGATAGAAAAAATAATGGATGCAAGCGCCATCTATGAGAGAGGTTTTACAGGGCAATTAACAGGGCCGAATGTTAGGCTTTTTCCAGAGTGAAATTCACCTTTAGGAGGGGGGGCGTTTATTCGTTCTATTCTCTTTTGGCGGCCTTAGAATTCGGTATAATCAGCTCAGCTGTTAAATGTAAATTAAACAGAAAGAAAAGCTTTAAATATATCAAAAGTTTGGCTAAAAGCCAAATTGATTCCTGTTTTAAAGAAGTCGGATCTTACAATTGGCCCGGGAAAGGAATTGTTGCATTTGTGTTGCTGAGTCCTCTGAAAAGGTAAGGAATTTATGGGGAATACAGTGAAAATTAGTCATATAAAGATAGTGTTTTGTTGGGGTTCGGCAAAACCGTTCGTCGACCGTGCTGGTGGAGTTTATCGCATCCGGAAACGAGACGTTCTAGCTGGGGGCAGAAGATCTACTTACATAGACTGCGCAAATATATGTATACCATCTCCCGCATAAATATATAGAAAAGATGCAAGAATAAGCGGAGAAACTAATTTCCTCTCCCACCTAGTTATTGTTTTTGTGTGGTGGTGTTCTAATTCTTACAGCCTCGATCTCCACGGCAAAAGCGCTTTTTCCGCTGAACATCTGCAAATTGTTTGGGTGAGTGTATCGGTGGTCAATGATCAGAAATACCATTTTTTATAATATAAATTATATAAATAATTAAATTAAAAAAAATACACACGAAAAGAACGCCTAATGTTATCTTTTAATAACTTTTTTGGTTTCTGCAAAAGTATTATACATAATATAATATACAAGTATAATTGGGTATAAAAACATCGTCTCGGTGAAATTAACTTCTTTGGCATTATGGATCCTTATAAACGATTCTGTAAGTATTAAAAATCTACATAATGGTAAATAATTCGTGTGACTTTTTGAATTTTGTTAGAGTTTTATTAATTTGAATGTATTAAACAATTGCGAAATGTTATCACTTACATTATAAACATACATAGCATAGTTATTGATCTTGATTTTTAACAAATTAATCTGAGATATTTAAGCTATTTGCATTGCATAATTTCGGTACACGTAAATATTTAGGTCTATATAAAGTAATCACAAAATATTTTTATCACAATTTGTGGATACATGTATGTACATATAAGAATTTGCTTAAATGTCCACCTACTGTTCGCAGTAAACATATTCTTGTAACTGATTTTGATTCAAAGAATAACTTGATATGCAATTCGAATTCGTTGATCTTTAACAAAAAATAATTTCGGTTAGAAAAATAAAAATTCATTCTTTAAATGCATTTAAAAAATAAAAATATTTACAAACTATAGATTTTAAATTATCCCATTGCTTCATGATTCATTGAGTTTAAGTTTAAAGTTTTATATAATTTCGGGGCGTGTCAAACCCAGTTACAAGAATGCCCACTTTATTAATGTCCTTAAAGTTACAACAACGCGAGTAAAAACTTCAGATTTCAGATAAAAATTCATTGATCTGCTACATTAGGATTATTTTGGTGTTGTCGGCTGACTTACGACACAAGTTTTGCTTTAGTTGAGACGAAGATTGAAACACGATTTCGTTAGGTACTTAAACAATTGTTACTGCTGTTAAAAATGAAATAATGTAAAATCAGTAATTACGAAGTAAGAGCGTTAAGCTCACCTCAGGCGTGTCGGGCTCCCCAAAGTTGCGTCTCATGGTACATTCGATAGATATTGTCTCTTATAAGTTTGGCTTTATCTTTATGGGATTAAAATGATAGTATTAGCATGATTAGTTTAGGCTGAGTTAGTTGCTGTTTACCCTTTGATAGGTTAAGGGCCACCACGTTCTTTTTCAGGAAGTCGAGGCACAATTCTTGAGATGTACCCAGTGAGTGCATATTGCACGTCAAGGCCCTGTAAATTAAATATAAATATAAATATAATTAATAATTAAATAAATTATAATAAATATAAATATTTTTATGTTGCAAATGTTACTAAAGAAGTAATAAGTATTATGTATTTTCTTCGACAGAAATAAATATCGAGAGTGTTGTCACTTTTAAGGTGATCCCCCCCATTCGGTTTCCAAAAAAGGATTATTTTTTTCATTTAATTCGAACCTATAACTATTCCTTTATAATTTCAAGTGAATTATAAATCCAATCGGTTCCAAATTTTAATACGTTATTCTATCCATATATAGCTATGGCATGAACTAGGATAAATCAAATCGGTGAAGATCTTTTTCTTAAGGATAGAGAACTGAATACCTTATGAGTCATAAAATGTACAATGGATCTTATGGCTCTGGTCTAACATGCAGGGAAAAAAACAAGGACTCACCCAAGCTGCCGAAATGCAATGTCCTCGTGCTCCCTGACCGACTTTGGCTGGGTGAGGCTGGTTTTGCTCTGCCTGCGGTTGGCCGGAATGGAGCCAGTGGACGCCGGAGCCGCCGGAGTGGATGGCTGAACCACCTGATGCGAGGAACTGGACGAGGAGTCGCCGCCCTGTTTGCGCTGCGACTGGGAAGGCGGCACATCCACCATTCCCGATCCCGCTCCCGCTCCCGTCCCTGCTCCTTGCTGCTTCTGTTGCTTCTGCTGGCGGCGCTGTTGGCGCCTCATCTGGCTCTGACCTCGGTGCTCCCGCTCCGCCTGCAGAGCATCGTGGAAGATGGCGTTCCAGAAGCGGGCCTGCTGCCAGATGGGCTGTTGGCGCAGCGAGGAGAACAGGTACTCGCGGTAGGGATCGCAGCCGGGCACCTCCACCTCGTGGTAGAAGAGGAAACAGAGGTTCATCAGGACCGCAGCCGGGCCGTAGTCCTCGCACTCGCTGCACTCGAACAGGGCCAGGGCGAAGTACTGGGCCAGACCGCCGAAGGTGACCGAGTCCAGCCGCTTGGACTTGTGGCGCTGGTCAGTGAGGAACCGGGTGAACCACAGCCGGCCGATCTCCAGCCGCAGCAGCACTCCGAACTCGGACTTCAGCTCCAGATCGACGGCCCCAGGAGATCCTCCGAACAGCAGGGCGGTGAAGTGCTTCATGAACTCCTTGACCGGCTCCTCGCCCGCCCGACAATCCAGGCTGATTGAGGAGGCCCACGACGGCACAGAGTTCTGCGACTCGGAGCGGATGAAGTGCCGCCAGTCGGTGGACTCCATGCTGGGGCTGGCCAGCAGCTGATCCGGCTCGTCCCGCAGGCTGGTCAAGGTGCTGCTGTTGGAGGCCCGACTGCGCGACGGCAGGCGCATCGAGTTGCTGCCCCCGGCCCACTGCTGACGTCCTCCGGATCCCGCTCCCGCTCCTCCTCCTCCACCGCCCTCCGTCGGCGGCTGCACATCGATGTGTGGTGGCAAGGACTCGAGCCCTTCCCCCGTCCTCTGCACATCCCGCTGCATGTCCATCTCGCTGCGTCGGGCACCGGCAATCGCTCTGGCCCTCTCGTATCCGCCGGAGTGGCGCGACTCTATGGAATCCGAGCGGGTGGTGCTGCTGACGTCGTGCGACTGGGACCGGTTGGCCATGTGCTCGGGCAGCGACATCGAGCTGCTGTCGTCGTCACTGCTGGAGCTGCTCGATGAGCCGGAACTCGAGCGGAGGGGTCCACCCAGTTTGCTTGCGGCATGTCGACCACGCGATGGTTCCAGTCGGGGACCTTAAGAGGGTCAGCGATAGTATAAATTAAATTCTTAGTCATGTCAAATATATCCAATCTTAGTATAGTAATATGGGTTATAATTAAATTAAGACTCCTACATTAAATCTGATCTAGATTTGTTATCATTGCAGCTCAACCATTTTTTTAAATTAATTACTTAGTGGGTCATATTTATTTTACGCTTTATTTAATTTGATTATTGGTATTATTATTTTGATTCCAGACTGTATTGGTCTACAATATAATCACAATTCAAAGAGAATGGAAATATGTTGAATTCGAATGTTAGTTTTATTTATTTATAATAACTCTTTTTGAATTAAATATTTAAGTAGAATAATCCAGGAAAATCATAATAAATAATCATATACCATGCAGCATATTTAAAATAAATTGTAAACCCTTGCAGAAGCTATTATAATTTAAATCAAAAGTTTGCAACGTAGTGAAGGAGACATTTCCGACCCTATAAAGTATATATATTCTTGATCAGCATCACCAGGAGACGTGATGTAGTCCGTCTGTCCGTCCGTATGTCCGTCTGTTTGACTTTTGTTCAACTATGTAGTTTGAAAGTCGGCAAATAAATTTAAATTAAAAAATGTTTAGACTACAAATTTAAAATTTCCTCGCCTGGCTAAGTACCATGAAGTCCCTGGACAACGTTTGACATTCTGAACACCATTCAAATACATTTCCATGTGAGGCTAGGACTGGAATAAGCAAGGAACACTGAACTCTGTCGTTTCTTGGTAGCGTAAATTGACCAGCACACAGACGAAGCTCTAAGCGATTTTAAAACAAGAAAGGAAAGCTAACTTCGGGCGGAGCCTTTGCAGAATATTCTGTAAATTATATTCTCCAAAATTATTCATATGATGTATCCTTAATACTTATAAAAAATCCCAACTTCCTAACCTTAAAAACACCAAAGTTATGGCATTTCCGTTCGTTCAGTTATATGGTAGCTATAGGATATAGTCGTTCCGACCTTTATACTGCGTGAAAAGGAAAGAAGGGTGTGTGCAAAGTTTCAATTCGATATCTTTAAAACTGAGAGACTAGTTCGCGTAGAAACAGACAGACGGACATGGTTATATCAACTCAGGGCGCGATCCTGATCAAGAATATATATACTTTATAGGGTCGGAGATGTCTCCTTCACTGCGTTGCACACTTTTGACCAAAATTATAATACCCTCTGTAAGGGTATAAAAAGTACGGGAGAAACTGGATAGCAATAAAGTCGTAGCAGAGGATGCTGACGTAGAAAGAGTAATTTTTCATCTGTTTGCATCGAGATATTTCTACATTGAATACAACACCAAGAAATATTGGGCTGATGGTCAAATCGCCTGCAATCGAAAGGGATGGCGGTTTGTATCAAATGTACAAACCAATTTACCATTGGCGTTTAAAATCATTATAAAACTTGAAAGCTAGCTTCGGGAAGCCGAAGTTGTAATACCGGAATGATTCCGGAAATTAATGCCATCGTGCACTGCGCGGATGTAGAAATGACAGATACGAAATGGTATAAAACCATCATATTAGATCAAAACCAGCGAGATTAGGCATAGTTTTATTTGTCAATTATTCTGATTTATGTTTATTTTGTGAGCAAATAAATATTTGTGAAGTTTACAAATGAAAATCAAAGTAGTTCTTTAAAGAAAAAATAACGATCAAATAACGATTTTGGGACCCTGGTTGCTTGCCTTTAAAATTACTTACGTGGCGCTAAATTGGGCTGACGATAACGCCCCGAGATGATTTCCTCATGAGCCCGACGAGCTTTCACACGGCGACCTTCGAAGTCGATCTTGGTGTAATCAATGGTCTCGTCAACTGAACAGTAACATTATAATAAATTTATGAAAAGTGTTAATCTATTTTGTGTTATTGGGTACTCACATTTGGGTATATCCTCGTCGTCATCACAATAGTCGGAGTCGCTGCTGCTGCTACTCAGGGTCAGCTGCAAGTAAACAAAGTAGAAGGCACATTTTAGAAGGAACTCGATCATCTGCGGTGTACTGAACGTCCTTCATAGATGTAAGTTTCTATGTGGATATGTTTTGGGCCTAGTGTATTGTAATTTTGACATACAACTGTATGTCATTTAGTATGTAGACGGCTAGCTTTAAATAATATTCCAAAGAGACAATAAATACTAACAATGTTATATACGCGATTATTTTTACTTTACTTAATTACAATAATTATTTTACTAAATATGAGTAAGTTATCGTTTTCTGCCAAAACCGAATTCATGAAAATCATTTTTGGGTCACTATTTTTAAAATAAAACTATGTTTAAGCCACCCTAAAATCTGACGCTAATTCTTTAAGAAAACAATCTCAATGATTGATAATCCAAAACAAAGAAAGGTGCAAAAAATCGAATGTTGCAGTTGCTCCTCTTCACTGCTTGGTGTAAACATAATTAATTTCAATCAAGGACGAGGGCGCAGCGCTCAAAGCTGAAGAAAGTCAAGTACAGAGGGAACAGCAGAGAATATACCCCCTTTTCCATTCCCATTTCCAATTCCAGCCCTGACCCACCTCCCGCGAACGCAGATTGGGGCCTCCAAGTGAAGGTCAAACGAGTGCAGGAGCAAAGCGGAAACGGCGAGAACAAACAGCACAACAAAAGCATCAAAGTGTCAGTTGCTTTTGCTTTTGCAGCATAGACATAGACACACAATCTGCCAGCCCAGAGCCACCCCCAAACACCTCTTGTCGCGTTCATTACCAAGGCTAACCCAGCTCAACCATAGAGATGTGCGTGATTCATTGTCCATCGTGCTTACACTACCAATAATCAAGAACTCTTTGAAATCATAATTCAATGCCTGCATCAGGGCAAAACTTTAAAACCCCACTTAAAGAGAACATAGAATATTCGGAAAAAATTAACTTAACTATTCTGGATATATTTTAGGTAATCCAAAACTTTGTTGCAAAACCACTCAAAACCTTTGTATTCTTTCCAGACTCTTCCTATTCCCATATGATTTTCGGCTATGCTTGTGTGGCAACTCCTCTTAAAATTATTTCGTTGCTTTATAAGTTTAAGGAATTTATGATTTCCATGTTTGTATTTCAATTAAAAGTTTAAGGAAAGTTTAGAAGTTTATGGAAAGCGAATGCATGGTTTATATTTATGATTTCCATGTTTGTATTTCAATTAAGACCCTGCTTGAACCATCAATTTGAAGCTAAAAAGCTTAGAATATACCATAATATCACCATTTAATCAACCAAATTTGCTGCTGCCTTTAAATACCTTGTTTGATATGCCGTTGAGCAGCTCGTTGCTGTTTCCCAGCACCGTGAGGAACTTGGACTTGAGGGCTCCGATGCTGGGCGTCCGTTCCATGAACAGTTTGATCTTCGATCGCTCGCCGGCAAAGCCAGCGGGTGGCGTTCCGGGCATCGTTCCCGGAGTGGGTGGCTGCGGCTTGGCATCCACCATGCCGTCGGGATTGGGACTCCTGCGCGGACTCTAGTCGAGCTAGCAGACCTCTGGACCTATGGTTCCCCACCCTTGGAGCTGCAGATGTTTGTGGACAAGTGGGAGCGGCCGTAGGGCGTTGCAACTGCCGATGCTTCTAGTATCGATTTTTCATATGCCTGCATGCCACACTCTTTGGGTGAAGGTGAACTTCGCACTCAGCTGCAGATATTTCGGCGCATTTTATGTACTGCTCAAAGGAAAGTGTTCAGGGTTGGTAGCATTTCTTTACTTTGCAGCTGTCTCTAGTTACTTTTTAAGCAAGAGTGTTTTTATATAGGCCCTTTAACTGCAAATTTATGTAATTTCTGTGAAACATACATTTTATTGTGTTTCTTGTGGTTTAGTACATTTCACCGCGCCTATATACTCTTGATCCGTAGGCCTTGGACGACTGAAACAGTGTTGGGGCAAAGCAATGTCAGGAAAATCGGTAAACTATAAAGGCACTTCTTTGACTTTTAGTATTTTGCATGTACTCCTTGGGCGTCGAAGTGGAATACTACATTTTGGATTCCCCCTGGCCCACACACACACAGGCGCACGCACACGCCCCTTTGGAACACGCAACACGGAGTCGGGAGGCTAGCGGTAAATATTTTCCTGAGAGTTTCCCACTCGCGTCCATTGCCTGCAGCGAACATTGCGCGAATGCAGCCGGGAAATGCTGGCCAAACTCGAAGTTCCGTTAACATTTGTCGGGCTTTGCGTTCGCAGCTGTTATCGATTGCAGGGTAATTTACATGCTATCTACATCCCAACTCGAGTCGAACTTACTCGGGAAAAGCTTAGACCGAAGAGCTAGGCAGGTACTCTCAAAGAAGCTTTCGAAAGCTTTATTATGGGTGGAGAAGAGTGCAGAGATTGGCCGGCATTTTTGTTCTGCCTCCCGTACAGCTGGCGAACAGCTGAGGCAAGGTCAAACCGTGGGCGTTCTGAATCGGGGGGTGGTGCCACCCAAAAATGTGCGGGTCTGCAATTATCGAACTTTGACTCTGTCGCAGCCAATTTAATATGCATCTCTTCTATTTTTAGACCAGCTGGCGGTTATCGAACGGACCCCACGCGAACCCAGCGACGGGGGGCTTCGATTCCATAATTCCCATAATATTCCCAATATCTCTCATCTATTGAAATTGCCTTTTGATTTGCACCTCCGGCAGACAGCAGGTGGCCCCTGACGATGCTTTTATTGTTGATTCCATTTGTCCGATCTAATAGGTATGGATGTGCAGAAATTGTTCAAGGTTGGCCTGCAGGAGATCCCCATTTATATTTGTTTGTCATAAATCATAATTATGGCTTGGGTGTATCTGTATCCCGATGAACGATTCAGCGCTTTCTCTGGGGCGCCATAGTTTGGGATAATAGGTTTTTAAAAAGGAATGCCGATATAATCGTATTATTACAGTTGCGATCGAACTTGCTCAACTGTTAACTACCGAGTTGAAAAAATGTACAAGTCGATTTATTTGTAAGTTACAATATTTTGAACTTTTTAATCAGAGCTTGAACATTATTAAAAATATTAAATATAACTAACGTAACTCCTCTTGTTTGTATTACCTTCAGCAAACTTGTCTTCTATGCAACTTAAATGCAACTATTGAATGGTTAACTGATTTTTATACCCTTCCAAATATAATTTATAATTTCAGTCAAATATTCTTGATCAGCAAGACAACTTTTGGGAAAGTTTCAAGCAGATAGCTTTAAAACTGATCGACCTTCCAGGTGATGCTGATCAAGAATATATATACTATAGATATATACATATCTTGGGTCGGAAATGGTCTGAAATTATAACACCCTCTTCAAGGGAATAAAAAGTTTAACTTTGTTGTTTTAATTTTTTTTGCCTTCGAGATTTGGTAATATTTAAATACTAAGGAACTACGGTTTTAATAATTAAAATCAGACATATAATTATGTGATGCTTTGGACGGTTCGATTAAATAAAAGACGCCTATTTTCCTTCACAAACTTCGAATTTACCTAACAGAAACTTGTTTATCAAGCTAAGCGGTTTTTTTATTTGGCTATTGCTTTACTTGTTTATGTAAACAAAACATTTATTTTATATAATTATGCTATAAAATGTATATATTTTACTTTTTTTAAACTAAGCCAAATACTGGAGGCGCAACAAGTAATAAATTGAGAATAGCACTCGGTTTTTCATCAAAATGTTTAACAACAAAAAGAGATTTCAATAATTAATGTTATTCACACACGCGACGGCGTCTCGCAGTCAAATTGTTCCGTTCGAAAACGATGTATTTATAAAACAACGCGAAAATGCTGAAAATAGGAAATAGAGATGAGACAAGGCGCAGACTGAAGGAAATAGACGGAAAACCAGCAAAATGAGAGTGTAGATCTGCGTTGACTTCTTCCTACTTGTGCGACGACTGGGGACCGAGGATTGCAGTAAAAATGCTGTTTAGAATCTGATTGAGATTTCAGTTCGCTGGGAGACGATCGCCGAACGAGACCGTAGCAGAGTTTTCATGTCGTGCTGTGGCTAGACATCAGATATATATATTTTCCTATATATATTCATGTGCTACCAGCTGGCAGTGGCAGTTTTGAGTGCGGCAAGACGTGTCAAGTGAAATCGAATTATGTAAGTGACCTCTGCATTCGCGAAGACCGATTGCCGTTCGATCCAAACAAGCCACAAAGTTCAACAACAAAATTAAGTTCGCATCGTAATTAAATCTATTTGAAGTGCTCTAAATATAAAACTCAGCTAATTTTAAACACAGAACGCTCCATGAGAAAGTTCAAGGCATTTGGCAGAATAAACAATCAAACGAAAAGTCAAGTATACAAACATACGAAATATTATTATTTTTTTAGTTAATCAGAAAACGTTAAATATTAAAAACTGTGCACAAAATATACGCAAGTATAGGCAAGCCAAAGAAAAGTTTAAAAATAGTTCCCAACGTTCTCCCATAAAAATAAAAACTGTTTCGTTCGCGGCGTGAGACTGTGTCTGTGAGTCAGCGTTGCGTTCGCCTCGGTGGCTGCCTCCCAGGGCATCTGCCTCTTGAAAACGCCGGGCGGAGATGACGGTGGAGGCGGATTTGGTAAGGTGTGTCCAACCACTGCAGGCGGCTTTCATAAATATTGCGCAGTGTGACACGATTTGGGCCAAAAAGTATGGAAAGGCTGCATGGTGTTCCGAAAATAGCGCGAGAAGAGGGAGTTTGGGCACAGAAAACACGCTGCGTATACGCAATGAAAGAGAACAAAATGTTTACTGGTCGGGAAAGACCTATAGTTTGTTAAATGTATGGACAAATTAAATGGATCATTAACCACGCAATTAGAACGTATAAATACTGCGAAAACCGTTTGATAAAATTAGTTTTTTGTTGCACATTTTTTTATGTTATACTTTTTATTACTTTTCAACCAAAATGGGTGCTTGCAACTCTTACTTTTCCCATGAAAGCGTTCAGAAACCATATATTTACCTCAGTAAGATCACTTTTTACGGTCGATTAATACTGCTTTAATCTTGAGCTTAAAAGTAATCACTTTCAAAAGAATTAAAGAAAATATTTTAAATGTTTTTAGATATAATTAAGTTACTCTTTTAATAGTGTAGACAATCCCACGATTTACAAATTCGCACCTGCAGTCGACTTATATAGATTTAAATAGATTTTTGAAAGCTAAATACCATAAGTTAAATACCATAATAGTATTTGAATAAACTTTCTTTAATTTTGTTGCATCAAGTTTTTTGATTAAATAATTTGGCAGCCTTTAATGTATTGCCACCTGCGTCATTACAAACACGATTCGCTCTCTGTTATTTTTGTTTATTCGCTTTTGTTTTCAAGCATTTACATAAAATGCTCTTCAATTGGAAATTTGGATTTTCTCTTTTCTAATTCAATTCTCTATTCCTGGCATCTCAGCCACTTAGCCGCGTTGACAGAGCGATCCAATTGAGTCACTAAGAAACATTTCCCTCTTTCGCATTATTTCATAAATAAACAAGCCCGAACATGTTTTGCCAAAAAATATTTTTGAACTTATTCTATGCACCGAGAGAGGTTTTAGCCTAAATTTAGCGGTCTTATTCGCGATGGAACTCTGGCTGCATTTAGTTTTGTGCACAGCATCCACGAAATTGCATTTTCCGAGCACCTTCCGCATTGGTTGCCTCCGGAATTTGGGTGAGCAAGCTAAAAATATGCATTCATAATTCGCTTTTTTGGCAGACTGCTTAATTAAATTTGAAGTCGTTTGACGTGGCTGTGGATGAGTGAAAATATGGAACAGGGAATTAGTTTTCTTAAAATAAAAATTCTAAAATAATAAAAACCCTCAAAAAACCAATTATTACTTACGTAAACAGATTAAAGGAGAATCCAATCAAGTTTATCGAAAATAAAACGAGACAGCAACTATCTGACGGAGAAATCTTTAAAGATGTCGACCTCACAGTTGCTCAACAAGAATGTTCGCTCGATGCCCTCATGGGTGGTAAGTACCTACCGTGCCCCTGCATCCCAGGTAATATCGAATTGCCTTAATTATCCATTTCAGACTGAAGCGAATGACCGCATTGGACCGAAGCCACCGCCCACGCCCCCCAACGGAGTGGCGGGGGGTCCTCCCAAGGCTCCTGCCCTGCCGCCCAAGGCGAAGAACTCGCCCGAACCCGACTACGAGATCATCGAGTTTTCGAACCAGCAGTACTCCAACGAACCGATGAAGACCACAGTGATTAGGACCAAGACACCAGGTGACGAAACTAAGAGTATGACATCTAAAAGCAATTTGATTAACATAAAAGACGTCTTTTATTTATTCTAATGGTTGAAATGAATTGAAAATAGTTTACATACATATATTTTAATTTTATAATTACCAAAGTATATATGAGCCAACTTAAGCTTATTGTTACTTTAAATATGAATCTTAAAAACGTATTCCCAGTCCATTAAAAAAATTATACTTTTCTATACTTCAATTAAGAAAATTTGTAACCTTTTTAAAAGGGTTACTCTCAGAAAGGCAATCGGTTCAATAATTTCGGAGATGAACCCAATATTTTCGAAATCGTATCAGTTCTATCCATTTTTTCTCGAAACTACTTTTTAAACCTTTTTGACATTCTAACTCAAAAAGTTTTTTCAATTCAATATATATTGATGGAACGGACGATGTTGAAATGTTGTAATATTAACTAATTTTAAAAGTTTTAAGCCAATGAAAAAATTTGGTGAAACATTTTTATTTTCTTGCAAAAGTTTCGCTAGAGGCTCAAATTTTAGTTTCTGCTATTTTCCTTCTCTTTATCAATTCATTTCAAAGTAAACTTCTAAAAAACCCACCGGATGGGTGCCTTTTTTTTGGGGCCCTGGTAAAATTGCTTTTAGTTTGATTCTTAGTTTAAAATTCTTAGAAAACGAGCATAAAAGATATAAAAAAACATAAGGTTGACAATGTTATTTCGTTGTCTCGCGAAACCATGTAACCCCTTACGATACACATATGTAGTTGGGAAAATTGACCTCAACAAAGGCATTTTATGAACCTTCTTTTTATTCCCAACATGTAGATAACAAATTAAAGTGCACGCTGTGTGGCTCCCAGAATCCCTGGGTGACCTGTGCCGAGTGCGCGGGTCAGATATTTTGCGCCTCCTGCGACGACATGTTCCATAAGCATCCCAAGCGCAAGCAGCACGTGCGAAAGGTATGATTCCTCGATCCGGAAACTAATCCGATATTAATGTCATAGCCTTGCAGGCCGTGGAGCGGGGCACGCCCCCAATTCCCCCTAAGGTGCAGCCGGGAGGTGGGGCACCTGCCCCTGTGGCGCCACCCCGTCGCGGTAAACGCGGCCTGCTGACTCCGTTTCTGGGCCGCAAGGATCAGGTACGCCACTGCACGATCTCCTAGACCTGTAAGAAAAGCCCAGCGATGGCCTGCTAGAGAACCAAGTTTGTAATATTCAATTTGAATGCTTCAATAAAAACTGTCCTTAAAACCAGAACGCCCGCCCAGAATCGAACCAAAGAGCCAGATATATTTGATCATTATTTTTTCGACTACCGAAACCGAAATGGCACCCAACCCGACTCTTTCCAGATGCTGCCACCGCCCTCGCCCACGCCCTCGCACAAATCGCTGAGCGGCTGGCGGGGATCGCTTGGGGGCGGGGCCACGCCCCCAGTGCCACCAGTTGCCACAACCAGCCAGATGAACAACCGACCGCTTCCAGAGCCGCCCCGCAGCGAGGGCGGAGGATCCTCCCGATCAGGCACACCCAAGTCCGTGTTCGACACCATCCAGCGTCCGCCGTCCGTCCAGCTGGAGAAGATCAAGACCAAGGCCAGCGCCACCCTGGACCGCATGGCCATCCTGCAGCAGCGGTACCGCCAGCAGAAGGCGCGGCAGGACCTGAGCGCCAACAGCGAACAGGTGAGAGCCCGCCCACCTCAGTTCACAATGGAACGAATTCCCTCATCATCGAGTGTTTCGTATTGTCTTTGCTTGGAAAATATTATTTCAACGATCAAGTCCTTTTTATTCACCTTTCTTTTAGAACATATTGCTGTCATTGCTTATAAGGAAAGGCAGAATTTCGTACTTTTTTTATTTACTACAAATTTTTTATAGTGAGTAGTTTGGAATAACCCATAAAAAAATATGTATATTAAATCAACAAAGAGTAACTGTTACTGTTATTTTTGGGCAAGTTAGTACTTACGTCACAATTAAAACTGTAACAAAACAATTTTATTTCTTGTACTATGTTGATTTAATACGTATCTCTTCGAACAACTTGAGGGAAGTTCAGTGCTAGTAATTTGTGGATTGTGAGTTAAAGTCAAGGTTTTGCTGAGAATATATTTTTTTAAATTCGTTAATTTTTCGCTCAAAAATCAACTTTAAACTTTTCTGAATAGCAAGTTTAAATAACTATGAAATGTTATATAGAAAGAAAGTATGCAACTTTGCAAACCGATGTTTATATACCCTTGCAACTGTTAAAAAAAAAGTTTTTGTTATTTCGATTTCTTAAAAACAATAAAGCTATGTCGATTTTCGGATTCTAAAATATTTTAATATTACTATCTCTCGGAGTATATTCGTACACGTTAACGAACCATAAAATTATAATATGTTTACCCTTGCAGAGGGTATTATTATCATTGATTTACTACAATTATAATAGAGTAAAATATTGTAGAGATAGTCAGACAATGTAAGCAGTCAAGTCCAAATTGAAGTCTCTTTTAACAAATTGAAGAAAAGGTATTTGATCCTTGATATCATTTATTTTCCGTGTACACCTCGTATCGTGCTGTCTCGTTTCGTCATGTGTCGTTTCTCCCTTTCCTCTCTTTTCTCTGTTTCTCGTTGGTCATTTCCCCACCGCAGCATTTGTCGAATGGAGCCGGCTTTGAGCACTGGTCAAACATTTCACCATCGCCCTCGCATTTTCGTTCCGGCAGCATGTCATCCGGTTTGAACTCATCCCATTTCGATCTCTCGGATGACTCACAATTTCACAATTCCTTGCTGCTCCAACAACGACAGGCGGCTGGTGTCCAGCGGCGACAGATGAGCACCTCGGTGTTCAACCTGAACACCAATACCCGTCGACCCTTGGCCGAAACCCAGAACGGGAGCGCCTGGATCACCAATCAGCGCATCCAGCAGGTGAGTGGATGTAAACAGTTGAATAAATCAAATAATATCTTAGTAATGCTTTCAAATTGATTTGACGTTTGGATTTTTACTGAATTTCCTTAAAAGATTCCGTCTATTTTCGGTCAGCATCAAGCAAATATTGGTTTTAATATCTAATTTATTCAGTCAGACTAATTCAGTTTGAATTACTTCCTCAGCTAATTTAACAAACTAAAAAAGTAAATTGAACTCTAGAAAAATGTATCCACATGCATTTCTTAGACGATGTTTGCCCACACAAAGCTTTGTCCATATTCAACATTAATATCAATATATTTCAAAGGACTAAAGCTAAGTTCAGACCTAAAAAAATATTTTTGAACATTTTAAATGTCGAAAAATAGCAATAAATATATAAAGGAAAGCAGAAACATTATAAAAGCTGCAAGCAAATCCACTTTGGACCATTTTGCACAAATATTTTGCCAGTTTTCAATTTTAGCCTTAGATATGTTTCCCTAGTGGTTTTAACTAAAAAGTCCCGATTCCCCCATTGCAGGCCCAATCCTTGGCGCAACTTAACTGCGCCGGCTGTCAGCAGAGTCAGCAGCATCCTGGCTGGCCGCAGCATCAGCATCCGCATCATCATCAGCACCACCAGCAGCAACATCCCGACCAGTGGTCGCAGTTCGGCTCCCAGCAGCAGTTCAACAACTCCAACCTGTCCCTCAACGTGGGACCGGGCTACATGTCGCAGCAGCATCATCCGCACTACCCGCCGCCGGTGTTCATGACCCAGCGAGGAATGATGTACCCAGGGGCGCCTGGCTATCCCATGATGCATCCAGGTAAATACCATGCTCCTACTATGCTATACCAGCAGTGGCCTCAAGTGTCTTCTTTCCCAGGTGTCATGGGCATGCCACCTTCAGCCGCCTCCAGAGCCGCCTCCCGATCCCGGTATGCCGCCTCCCCGACGCCCAGCCGCAAGTCCATGTCCCTGCGACGCAAGCGGAATAGCTACGTGGACGACGAGCTAACAGACGACGAGGACTCTGACCAGGACGACCGAAGGTCCTTGGTCTCCAATCGCTCGGCCATGACGAGTGCCTCCCGCTCCCAGCAGCACCACCAGCACCACCACCAGCCCCGCCAGCGGCGCCTTTCGAGCGCCTCGCAGCTAATTGCCGGTGATGAGTTGGATGGCGACCAGAGGCATGGATTGCGGCAGCACAAGGGGCGAGATCGGCGGGGATCCGTGGCCAAGTCCGTGCAGAGCGAGTGGCTGCCGGAGAGACGTGACAATGAGGGAACCCTGACCAGGAACAAGCCAGCAACAGACTCGTCCCGCACCACTCGCATTTACTCCGACCTGGAATCGGAGGGCTCGGGTGCCCGTGCCCTGGTTCAAGCCAAAATCCAGCAGAAGCTCCAGGAAGCCGATCAGCACAGGTCCGCGAAGAAGGTCGACCACAAACGCAAGCCGGAGATGAAGGACGAGAACACACAGGCTGCGGCGGTGGTGCAAAAGACGGTGGCTCCGGCCCAGGAGGAGAGTGCCTCCGAATACGAGGAGGTGGTCGAAGAGGTGACCGCTTCGGAGAGCGAGGCCGAGGCTCAAACCGCTCCCGATCCACCGGATGACCCGCAGGAGATTGAGCCCGACGATCTGGGCCCACCACCTTCTACGCCCGATCACGAATGGGAATGCGAGTTTTGCACGTTCGTGAACGAGGCCAACATCAAGATCTGCTCCATATGCTGTAAGACTCCCTGCAAGCCACCAGTGCAGCCCACCAAGGCCAAGAAAGTGGAGGAAAAACCACAGGCGCAGGCTGGAAAGCCCAACAACATCAAGGTGGCTTCCATGCCGGAAGTCAAGCCAGTGCAAAAACCTGCTCTGAGGAGCCAACAGCCCAGTCAAAAACCTAGTAGTGGCAATACCACGGCCTCAAGTTCGACTATGTCCAACCACGTCACCACCAGAACTCCAAAAGTTTCACCCACCGTCAACACCAAAAACGCCTCCAGCATCCCTGTCAAGACACCTGCGAAGTCAACTCTGAAAACTTCGTCCGAGAACGAATCCGATAACTCGCTGGCCAAGAGCCTACTGCACAAAGGTAGGATACAAAAGAGAATCTCATTTTTCGAGGGCACAAAGGCCTAGAAACACCCACCCACCCAAGCCTAAGTACACCTAGTTAGTACACTAATAGAGCCAACCACTGTAAGCCTACAATTAACGCATTTATGGAAATCAAATACAGAACATGACCAAATCCCAGTTTGTTTAATTTGAATCCTTTGGTGATCCCATACCCACAAAGCTAATGCTCTCATCCGTATCGTTCCAGAGTCCGTTGAAAACATTTGGAATACTCTGGATGAGAGCATTCAGGCACAGGCGGAGAAGGTTCTGAAGAAGGCCCAGAAGGTTTCCACGGGCTGCGGTGGAACTCCGCCTCGGGAAACAGCGGCCGTGGAAATGGGAACCTCGCCGCCACCTCAAAGTATATCCACACAAGTAATTAAAGCCTTAAGGTTGACCCGAGCTCTAGCCTAATCCACTGCTTAATTGCAGACCTACGACGCCCTGCCCTTTAACTCAAAGTCGGAGGAGATCTCGACAGTGGTTCCGGATCGCTTTAGGACCCCGGATCCAAATAAGATGGAGCGACGGCCCCACTATCGCAGCAGTTCCCAGCTGCCGCAGGAAAATGATCGCTATCGCAGTGCCAATGATCTGAGGTATCACGATAGTCCTGGCCTGGACCCCTACAGTGCCGGTCTGGTTACCAGACGGCCCAATTTCATTAACGAGCTGCGCATGCTGCAACATGTAAGTTATGTTGGTCTAATAGACCAACAAAATAGTTAAAATTTCCTACTCATGCATGATGGTTAATTTACTCTTACGTAATACCTTACCAAAAAGAATAAAAAAAGGAACCATTTCGTTATTATTTCACAATAAAAAAAAAAAAAAATAAATAACTATTTCCAAAAGTAAGGTCATCTTTATTAGAAAAACTAAAAACCCAAAAGTATGCAACAACAACATACAAATATTACGAAAATAATCTAATTCGGAAATTTTAATGTTAAATAGTAACTAATAATAGGAGGCTAACAATATATAGGTTCTGCCTAATGTGCCAAGAATCCCATTACCCGCTCAAAAGTTAAAAAAAAACAAGATGTTTTGGTATTCTTCAAAATGACAATTAGTAAATATCTACTATATCAGAATTAGGCTTTTAGTTTTGTCAAAATCGAAATGTAGTCGTTTTGTAATAACTTTTTGCTTCCTCTCTTGTTAGTCACTGAATTTGATATCAGAAATTTAGTATGTTGAAAGTGCGATCGTCACGACATTTTTAAAACGTTAAGAGGTGTTTTTAAGGTTTCAATTTTAACAAAATATTTTTCATAGTTGCATAGCTATGGGCCTTGGTCAATTTGACCAAGCTAACACATTTCATCAAAGACGCAGAGTCAATTTCAAGTGCGATCGTCTGCTACTCAAGACATGAATTTTCTACATCCGTTTCTCGTACAGTAAAAGGGAATATTAAGCCGAGCCTATCAAATCATGACCATCGCTACACCAAAGTTCGGCTAAGTAGTTATTTAGAAATTTAAATCGAAAGACTTAACAAGTTTATTGTCAATAATTGGGAATTTATACCTGTAATACTTATAAGTCAAGTTCCCCTTCACCCCATTTAATGATTGTCCACGAAGGAAAGTGTTAAATAATAAATTCCAATCTAATACAAAAAAAAAAAAAAAAAAATTGGGAATTTAAGAAAAATATTTGTCAGAGACTGCTATAAAACAAAGGCAATGACATTTTAATGGTCAGTTTATCGCTTTATATAAAAAACCATGTAACCACGATTTCTAAGCCAAACTCCTTTGTAAAATGTTTTCAGCAAACCTCTTCGCCCTTCGACATGCCCCTAGAGACATTCGGGGTGAAGCACGAACCAGCCAGAGACCCGGAAACGGAAATGCACATCATACTGAAGGAGCTGGAGCTGTACAAGTTCACGGTGGAGGAACTGGAGGCGGCCCTGAAGTACTGCTCCCCCGACACGCACCCCATTCAGTGGCTACGCGAAAACTGGCCGAAACTGGTGCAGACGGTGCAGAGTTTGTCCACCAAGTACGGCCAGGAAAGAGGCGAGAACACGATCGGAACCGTGTCCCAAAACGAGGCACGCGAGGCGCTTCGCAGTTCCGGGGGAAATGTGTGGCAGGCGGTGGCAGACTGCATCCAACAGCGCCAGCAGAAGTACAGGAAACTGGCGGCCAAGGGGAACTTCCTGCGGGAGGACATCGTGAATGCGCTGACGGCGCACCAAGGTAATGTGGACCAGGCGCTGGTGGAGCTGAATCGCACGCAACTCAAGCCATTTCTAATGCGCATCTGGGGCTCGCCTAATGGCGTTGAGAATGAGAGTGGCGTCGCCATAGACACCAAGTCGGGTTAGTTTGTAGAGCCTGCATCAGTCAGCCGCTGTGCCATAATGTCCCATCTTTCTTTCTCTCCCCGCATTCATTGCCAAAACAGATATCCATGACTTCCTCAACACTCATGCCTTGGACTGCCTGCAGCTCCCGTTGGCAGGGGATAGTCCCAGCGCCGCCCAATCCAATCCCTTTGAACCACCTCGCACTGACGACAGCCCCGCGAAGTCCACCTATGCCACGCCTAGTCCCTATCAAATGGAAGACAGCGCCCTGAAGAGCTTGGAGATACTCATCGGAAACATGGAGCAGAACCAGGCCAAGCAAAACCAGGAGGTGCTCCGATCCATTGAGACCATGATGGACACGTTCAAGGGCAAGCCGGAGCTGGAGTACGAGACGGATCCGGAGATAATGCGTATCCTCACAAAAAGCCCCATCAGCACGCTGAAACCCTCTGGAACCATCGAGGATAAGTCCACCGAGGACGTCAAGAACTTCGTGTGGCAGCACATTCAGGATATTGTGCCCAATCTGGTGCAGCAGGTTGAACAAGAGCTCCTGGAGAAGCCGGAGGTTGAAGGTCCAGTTCCGGAAGGCCAGCCAAAGTTAGCAGAGCCTGCACCAGAACATGCGCCTGCTCCAGAACCTGAGTCTGAGCCGGAACACACACCTAGGGTCGATCCTGCGGTCTACATCATGGAGGAGGTCATCAAGCCGAATTTGAGGGAAGCAAGCATACGCGAGGAGCTCCCACCAAGTTTTATTTATGCGACAGAAATAGCCAACTTCAGGTTGGAGTTTGATCGTGGCACTGAACGATGGCACGTGGCGGAGTGGGAATACGATGATCTTGAGGGTGCAGAACGCATAGTATACAAAAGCTTTATAGCTCCAAACGAGGAAATTAAGGAGGAGATTCAAGAGGTAGCTGTCAACGGCTCGGCAATCGTACTTCCAGCTACAAATATACAGGAGGAATCTGCTACAGTAATCTCCAGCAACCCACAAAAGACTGAACATACCGAAGTAACAAAACCAGAAACTGTAATAGTTAATGAACCACTTTCACAAAACACAAATCTAGAAACTTTTAAGCCTTTAGTAACTACAGAGGAGATCGTTAATGAAGCCACGGCAAAGCAAGGAATTCAAAATGATGAACATAAATTCAATGAAAATAATTCACAAGTTCAATCAAATTTATCGGAATCACATGCCCACACCAACCCAGAAACTTTTACAGATAAAACAGTTGATCAAGCCACCGCACAGCCAGCAAAGGAAAATGAAAAGCAGATATCTAATGAAAATAATGTGCAACTTGATGAAAAGCCTACCACGAGTAAAGAAGCCAATCGCAGAAATAACCGATCTTTGCAACAGAAAAAAGGAAGAACTCGGGAGCAGAGTCAAAAACCAACTAACCGCTCAAAACTAACAAAAGATAAGGACCCGAAACCAAATGAAGAGAAGAAAGAACACAAAACGCCAGCGGAAATGGCAACTAAAGGAGCAGAAGCAGTCACAGAGTCAAATTCTAGTTCAACTGATAATAAGTCAGTTGTGACTGCAACTATTGATGACATCTACACAACTTCTCCAAACGAGCCACAATCTGAACAAGGAGTTAACCAATACGTCGATTCCACTGTTCCCGAACACACTTCTATTATTTCCTCACAAGATAATATTCCTCCAGCTCCCTTAGACGATTCGCAAAGTTTATCGACAAATATTGTAACTCAAAACGAGGCATCGGCTATTTGGGATCAACCTGAAGAGAACCAGGAGATTGCTGGATCTTCAAGCCAGAAAGAAACAAATGAACCCATAACAAACGCTACAAACGAATCCAGAATTGAACACATATATCTGGCAAACAATATCAATTATTCGGATCAACCTGCAGAGTCACAAAAGATGGCTACATCTACCAATATAACGGAGATAACTGAATCCATTACACACCCCCAAGAAGGATCAAGTATTGAAAATGTTTCCAGCAATTCACCCGAAAACGATGATAAATTGGAGTCCATCAAGAATAACGAAGTTACTGTAGAAGATAATTTCGCTTCCAGAATCCTCTCCCCATCTTCCACAAATGAATCTCTAGTTAATGATAGTCCAGAGATCGCGCCTAGTACCACGTCGACAGCCATCGATCACAAGCGAAGTCCGAAGCGTTTTTCAAAGATTCCCGTGAGAACTTTGAGCAGCAACAGTCTGCGAAGTGAAAGCAGAGCGAGCAATCGTACTCCAACAGCAACTGATGAGTTTGAAACAGAAGAGACCACAAGAAAATATGATATAAAGATAAGTGACAGCTCCTCTATTGTTAACCAAGATATTCAGTCTGAAAAGGAAGTTTATTTTGTCGCAGAAAGTGCAGTCCAACCGATAAATTTAGAACAAGAAGTTCCTACAACAACTGCTGCAGAAAGTGCAGTCCAACCGATAAATTTAGAACAAGAAGTTCATACAACTGCTGCTATAGCCATTACTCCAACAGATTCCGATGAAGTATTCGAGGATGCCCCGGAATTCAGCAGCAGTGAAGGAACAAAACCCCACGATGAAGCCGCTTCCGATGCAGATCTTTATAGCCTGGACAGCGATGGGCCGCGGGCAGAAACAAAGTCCCCGGAGAACGAAGTCCTCCTCTTGCTGGATGAGCACACCCCCTTGGAATCATTAGTTGCCAAGTCCAGCAGCAACGCTAGCATGAACTCCCAGTCAACTCAATCGGAAACGTCCAAGGTTGTCCTCAAGGAATTTGTTCCTTCCGGAGATCCGGCCAAGCAGAACCTCAGTGAACTGGTTGAAGACACTCAACGGTTGATTAAACAAATGCGCGATGAGATCAGCATGGATGAGTTCGAGTCCACCGATGAAGATGATTTCTCCGACGAGTACTCGGATGAGTACGACGATGGCGAGGAGGAGGAGTGGTACGACAGCGAGGGCGAAGAGGAAGGCGACTACGATGGGGAGGGGGGCGATACCTACAACGAGCACCCTTCCCAAATAGAAGAGGCCTCCACCGGCGATGAGGGCACCGAGATCGAGGACATAATGGAGGAGGATGAAGATCAGGCTGACGAAGACGAGGCACAACCCACCCAAATCACACCAAACATTGAACCACTCATATCGCCTGCTCTATCAGTCACGCCCACGAACCAAGAAACTGATCCGATCGCACACACTGAGGTTGTTTCATCCACAGGAAGGAGCCTGGAGGCTCAGTCGCACAATACTGAAGTCGAGTTGAGCCTGCCTCCTCAGACTGATCATGTTGAGTCGGAAGTAGAAGCACTGCCTATACAATCGCCTTCTCTCGTTATTGACTCGGAAAGCCGACCTGCGGAACAGCCTGTTGAACTTGTGCTGGAAATACCTTTGGAAGTAGAGCCAGCCATTGAATTGGATCCCGTTGACGAACCTACTGCCCTGCCCATAACACCCGGACCACCCATTGTTGATTCCGAATCCCGACCCGTGGAGCCGCCCGTAGAACAAGTACTGGAAGAGCCCAAAAAGGTAACCCCCAGCATGAAAGGCAAGGCTGTAAGCAAAGACACCGCCTCTTCAATCAGGCCCAAAATTGCCAAGTCCACAGTCAGTAAGATTCCCAAGCCCACCAGCGAACCCACTAACAGTACGAGTAGCACCCCCCCAAACAAGAAGGTTCCGCTGCGCTCCAAGTCCTTTTCGGCTCCCATGGGTATTTCCTCTGTGAAACGCATCCAGGAGGTCTACCTCCAGAAGCAAAGCTCATCGATCGGGGCCAGTCGAGTGCCGCTCAAGAGCAGTCCGATCACCAAGAAGTCGATCAACGATGCCATTAGCAGGTTTAATTCAAACCACGCCGAAGGACCCAGCACCAGTGGAGCAGCGGCTGCAGCGGCATTGCTAAAGCCGCGATCCCAGCCCCGAATCCCCAAGAAGAAGTACCACGAGACCTGCTTCTCCGACGACGACTACGAGACCTCGGCCACGGAGGAGGAGCAGGAGGACCAGGACCTCGCCGAACCCCTCAAAGCAGAACTGCTAAAGCGTAAGCTGAGTATGCCCGTCTTCCGGGCATATCCTAGTGTTCAAGAGCCAGTAATTGAGGACCCAGCGGTGTGTACAACCCGACAAGTGGCTCAGCCAGTTCCTCAAGAATCTTGCTTTGTTTGCTCTCATTTTTTAGGTCCTGGCACGCAAGTACGTCGATCAGGAATTGGTGGCTAACATCGCTGAGGCTCAGATAGCCGCCACCTTGGTGAGCATGAAGTTCACGGAGGACGTGTCTCTGTGGGCGGCAAGGGAGTGCTCCGACCTGGACCAGGCCATCGCCATGCTCCAGCAGGAGTGCGAGCTGTGCATGAACAACTTTCCCATGAACCAGATCGTATCCATGCTGAAGTGCCTCCACAAGTGCTGCAAACAGTGTGCCAAGAGCTACTTCACCGTACAGGTGAGCGATGGGATGTGGATCTGAAGAAATTGGGGGTTGAGTTGTCTTAAGAAATCCTAAAGATAAAAAATTAAGTCTAAGTGCTACTACTATGTCCTAACGACAACAATGTGGAAATTGTTTCAATGTAACCTCGACATTAAAACTGGTATCTTTTGTATGCCAATACAGAGTCAACTTTTGTAAAGGGCCCCTCGAAACAAACAATTCTAACAGTTAAAATATGACTGACTCCGATCGTAGAATCAAAGATTGATAATTTTTTAGCTAAATAAATCTGATCGTTTTACCTTTATTTATCACTATTCCTCAGATAACCGATCGTAGTATCAACGATTGCAGTTGCCCGTTCTGCAAATTGCCCGAACTGAGTAACGAGGTCCATCACGAAGATGAGCACCTGGAGTACTTTTCCAACCTCGACATTTTCCTGAAGAGCATCCTGGACAACGACGTGCATGAGCTCTTCCAGCGCAAACTTCGCGACCGCACCCTGCTGCAGGACCCCAACTTCAAGTGGTGCATCCAGTGCTCCTCCGGATTCTTCGCCAGGCCCAAGCAGAAGCGTCTGATCTGCCCGGACTGCGGTTCGGTCACGTGTGCCCAGTGCCGGAAGCCCTGGGAGCGCCAGCACGAGGGCAGCTCCTGCGAGGCGTACCTGGAGTGGAAGCGCGAGAACGACCCCGAGTTGCAGGCACAGGGCGTCCAGGAGCACTTGGCCCAGAACGGCATCGACTGCCCCAAGTGCAAGTTCCGCTACTCGCTGGCCAGGTATGTCCAAGGCACTTCCTCACTTACAATTAGGAATGACTTAGAAAATTAGAAAACTTGACTAAAGCTTCAAAAGAAATAGTGGGAGATACCCAAAGTTTTTATATGTACCCCCTTAAAAGTTTAAAACTGGATTTTCAGTGACGCTAAAGTGTTTTCTGCGAAGGTAAACTAGCTTTGATTTATACAATGGATTGTGTTAAAAACAAGAAAGGAAAGCTAACTTCGGGCGGAGCCGAAGTTGATATACCCTTGCAGAATACTCTGTAAATTATATTCTCCAAAATTATTCATATTATGCATTCTTAATACTCATAAAAAATCCCAACTTCCTAACTTTAAAAACACCAAAGTTATAGCATTTCCAATCGTTCAGTTATATGGCAGCTATAAGATATAGTCGGCCGATCCTTATGAAATTTAGTAGGTCGGATTGATTGGCCAAATATAAAATCCATAGAAAATTCCAACTTCCTAACTTTACAAACACCAAAGTTATGGCATTTCCGATCAATCAGTTATATGGCAGCTATAGGATATAGTCGGCCGATCCCGATCCGTTCCGACATATATACTGCGTGCAAAGGAAAGAAGGCTGTGTGCAAAGTTTCAACTCGATAGCTTTAAAATTGAGAGACAGACAGACGGACAGACGGACATGGCTATATCAACTCAGGAGGTGATCCTGATCAAGAATATATATACTTTATAGGGTCGGAGATGTCTCCTTCACTGCGTTGCACACTTTTGACCAAAATTATAATACCCTCTGCAAGGGTATAAAAAGCTTATGTTTCCCATGTTTTTATACCCTTAAGGGGGTATATACCTTTTTTTGTCGAAAAAAATAGGAAAGTTTGGATTTTTTTATGTATGTAACTATTGTTTTTATTAAATGAATGATTATATTTTCTGAAAGTTTAGATTGTTGACAATGTTTATACAAAATTTTTTGAAAAAATATTTAATAGTTTTTAAGGTGTGGCTGTTTCCCTTAAACGCCTTTTTTTTAAAGAGCCTTGCTGTGATAATTCCTCAGGACGAATGGGTCAACTGATACCAAAAAAATAAAAATATTTCATTAGTTTAAAGTAGTATCCTGTACTTGAACGAACGTTTTTAAATTTTTTTTTTTTTTTGTGCATACGGGAACGATTAATGCAAAAAATGACGTTTTTGGACGCAAAAATTCTTACAAAACTATCTATTTCGGCGAAATAAAAATTTTTACATGAAAAAACGATCGTTCAAGTACTAATAAAATTCATTACGAACATTTAAAAAAAAATTTGAAGAAAATCGGTTCAGTACTTTTTCGCCAATCCATATCACCGCAAAGTCATTTTTAAAAAAAACCATTTCGAGATATTCGCGTTTAAAGTTTCAAGTTTGGGTCTGGGCGGGGACGAATCTCAAATCTCTATGAAAGTTTTGGGAAATATTCTCAAGAAGTTGTTCTTTAAGATAAAGCAAAAAAAAAAATTCGATTTTTTGAAAATGAAAAAGGTATATGCTTGCAATGCATTTTAGACCATATAAAGTGGACATATTCATGATAATGTGCTTGGCTAGAAACGTCATTTTCGTCTGTCCGTTTCTATGCAAAATAGACTTTCAGCTTTTGCAGGTAAATATATATAAACGTTCATACAGACGGATTGACGGACTGACTTACGGCCATAGCTAGATCGACTCGGTCATTGATCCTGATCAAGAACATATGTAGTCGGAAACATAATTTTCATCCATAACAATATACGCTTAAGATTAATAACTGAAGGCTTAGTAACGTTTACGAATTTGAGAAATACGGTTTACATTTTATAATAATTAAGCTCGTTACCGCAACGGAAACGATTGAAAATCGTCATTATCTTGTCGTTTGTAAACATAGATACCATAATTAGAGTTAATACCATTAATTACCAAAACAAATTCCATATTTATAAGTCTATATATTGGCCCAACGCAGGTCATTAGCAGCAAATTGAATTTTGTTTTGAATTGGGTAATGACCGGTTACTAACCAAGATTCTAGAGCCGACTAAAGGTGATGCCCACATGTTTTTACGAGTACAATTTCTACTTTTCTTTGTGACTTATAATAATTATATTTCGAAGTTGAAAACATGGGTGTATATGGCAGGTGTAACGTATTTTGGGCGCACCAAAATCTTTATTATTATTATTTATTTGCTGTTGTCCTGGCTAATTCAACCACAACTCATTTTCCCAGGGGCGGCTGCATGCATTTCACCTGCACCCAGTGCAAATTCGAGTTCTGCTACGGCTGCGCCCGGCCCTTCATGATGGGCGCCAAGTGCACCGTGTCCTCGTACTGCGCCAAACTCGGTCTGCATGCCCACCACCCGCGCAACTGCCTCTTCTACCTGAGGGACAAGATCCCACTGCAGCTGCAGTTCCTGCTCAAGGAGCAGAAGGTCAAGTTCGACACGGAGCCCATCCAGAGCCAGGACGAGTCCAGCAGCTCCTCCAAGGCCCGTGCCCAGGCCCGCTGTCCCATCCCGCTGCAAAAGGAGACGCCGCAGGGCCTCGTCGATACGGTGTGCAACACCGAAGTGCCCGACAAGCACGCTGGCATGTGTCGGTGAGTTCAAGATACCTTGCTTAATTATTTAAAATGTAATACCAAATGCAATTTGGTTTTTTGAGATCGGATATATATCAACAATAACGAGAACGGAAGCTAACTTCGGCAAGCCGAAGTTTTAATACACTTGCAGACATATAAAAATAGAAACAAGAAAGGAAAGCTAACTTCGGGCGGAGCCGAAGTTGATATACCCTTGCAGAATACTCTGTAAATTATATTCTCCAAAATTATTCAAATGATGCATTCTTAATACTCATAAAAATCCCAACTTCCTAACTTTAAAAACACTAAAGTTATGGCATTTCCAATCGTTCAGTTATATAGCAGTTATAGGATATAGTTGGCCGATCCTTATGAAGTTTGGTAGGTCGGATTGATTGCCCAAAAATAAAACCCATAGAAAATCCCAACTTCCTAATTTTACAAACACCAAAGTTATGGCATTTCCGATTAATCAGTTATATGGCAGCTATAGGATATAGTCGGCCGATCTGGCTCGTTCCGACTTATATACTACCTACAATAGAAAGACAACTTTTGGGAAAGTTTCAAGCACATATCTTTAAAACTGAGGGACTAGTTTGCGTAGAAACGGACGGACGGACGGACAGACGGACATGGCTAGATCGACTCTCCTGGTAATGCTGATCATGAATATATATACTTTATAGGGTCGGAAATGTCTCCTTCACTGCGTTGCAAACTTTTGACTGAAATTATAATACCCTCTGCAAGGGTATAAAAAGGGATATTTTCACAGCATTAAACAATTATTCCTATGGAAGCTATAAGATAAAGACGTCCGATCGGCAAGCGCTTTTACCCTGATCAAGGTATGCGTAAATAAGTAAGACTTGGAAAAATTGATGTCAATAGCTTATATACTGCGCAAAATGACCTGAAAAACATCAAATTTTAACCGTTTCACCCTATTGTTCCTATGGAAGGAATGGTCAAGGTGTGCATAAAAAAATAAGATTTGGAAAGATGCATGTCAAAAAGCTTTTACACTGCGCGAAATATCTTCCATTTTTGCAAGTTATATCCGACTGTTCCTATGGGAATATAGACATCCGATCGGGACGGTTTTTAAACTTGACCTGCGTACACATGTTTTAGGACGACTGTGAAAGTTTGAGATTCTGACCAAAATTATAATGCCCTCTGCAAGGGTATAAAAATCGAATGACCCTGTCGCTTAATCCCTATGTTTTTCAGCACCCACTACGTAGAGTATTTGGCTGGCAAGGTGGCCAAAGCAGGCATCGATCCGCTGCCCATCTTCGACCTGACGGACTGCGTCCAGGAGCTGCGTAGGCGTGGCATCGCACTGCCAGAGCGCGGACCCTGGGACACCGACGAGATCTACAAGACCATGTGCTCCGAGGTGCGTTGTGCTGATCATCAATTGATCGCTTTATTGATTTCCTTTTATTCGATTGGCATGATTTGGCTTTGTTTTCCATTTGCCTTAATCGGGTTTCGCTACGCGGAAAACGAGTTTCCTGCGGCCGGGGGCGATGTGTTTTCGCCGGGTGATTCAGTCTCCGCCCCCGTAGATTGATCAAGGCGGAAAAAACAAATAAAGAAAATAAGATCGTTTAGCCGCTAACTAAATTTTTGGATGCTGTCTGACGTATTTCACACGCGTCTTAATTGATATTCGCTTTATTATTATTTAATTGTAAACAGTTCGGTCGGTCGAACCGAAAATGTTTATAGATGTGCCCATCTCTCAATCTCGTTCTTACTTATAGGTAATCAAACAGCATATTCCCCTGAAATCGGCATAAGCGGGAGCAGAAGAAGCGATGCCATTGGAAACGGCACTGTTGCAATTCTTCATTAATTTTCATGATTTATGGCGAGCACTTTTATAGTCATTTTTATACAGCCACCTACCCACGAATCGAACTCAAGACTTGGGCAGTTCTCTAGATTAGACATCGCACACCTTCATCGACACACCCACTCATCGTCCAGAAGCCTTTGCCATTTTGTTTAGTTACTAAGAGATGAAAATCAACAGAGGACCAAAGATCCGCACGTGTAACAAAGTGCATCAATAAACCGATCATGTGAAACACAATGCAATTGTTTTAGAATTTATTCATTAATTGAACTGTGAACAACAGAGCGCAGGTGGTGCGGTTCGAGAAGGTGTTTTCAGTAGAGGGGCGTTTGACCATCCAACAAATCAAATAATCGAGTAAGTAACCACAAAATGGGCGGTTCCAAAGACAATTTGTCCCATATAATCTACAATATTATTGTATACTTTTGAGCTTGCTCTAGTTTGTCAAAGCAAAGCACAAAGTGATAGCTTTGAATATCTTGAAAGTCGTAATTCCACAGAGAAACGTATCCCGCCCCTTGGCCGTTTGCGATATTGCCAAAAAGGCAAATGCGACCCATAAATTATGTCCCGCGACAAAAAGAAAAACCACAAAAACACCAACCACATCGGCAGAAAATAAACCAATACAGTAAGTGGGGGACATTCGGATTCGCCGACGCGACGGGACAAAGTTACTTGTGGACACCAGGGAACGAGATGAGACGAGAGGCGCCGGCGGAGGCATCGTAAAAACCTATTTTCGTAGCGATTGAAATTAATTTATGCGCGCGGCACAACATGTTTTGATATTCGGACAGTTTTACACCAATAACAACTAATTAAACGGGATAAATTGTATATTTATCGATCCATAAACGATCTCGTGCCCTAGACTTTCTTGTCTTGTCAACGTCGTTGGGTTTTGAGACTGAGTCCCAACTGCAGCACTCGCATGCGATGAATTTTTTCACGGCTTCTAAGCGCGTGGCATGAAACTATGCAGAGCACATGTCCTATGCTATTTATGATCATCCAGTCAGCTTGGTCGTTCAGTTATTTACCCCTCGATCACGCGGACAGCGGTCGAAAATATACCACATTTCTTTGGAATCAATTTTTTAATATATGTCTAAACTGTATTTATGATATGGTTTGTTCGAAAACATATTTAGTAATAGTAGTAACCGCCTTACTTAGCTATAAACCTATACAGCATGGTTTAACATATTATTAACTGCATTTCTCATTCTGATTTCCAGCATCAAGGATTAGTTTTGAAAAAATCAGAATTATTTTCTCAATAAAATAATTTTAAAGAAAACGAAAAAGGTATTGAAAATGCAATCTATATTACGCCAATCTAAATTGAAAACATTCTTTCTATAAGTGGATAAGCATTTTCTGTAATACTTTCAAAAAAACAAACCACAATTTTAGAAGATTTTGAACCACTTTTTATTTTCAGGTGTTGTAGAAAAATTCAGATTCTTCGTCTAGCCGGTTTTTTAATACGCCATGTGCTTGGACGTTAAACACATTTAAGTGTTGGCACGTGCCTCGTAAAATGATGTGTTCCATTCAGATGCTTTATAAAACAAAGTCAAGGTGAAATGACAGTGACCTTAAACCCAAAGTTACAGGCTAACCAAAGAAATTAATCAATCATTTCCCAAATCGATCGCATCCGAACGGCCTTTGATTCATGGGAGCCAGAATTATACATTTTAACAGCATATTGTGGAGAAACGAGTGAACGGGCAATGCAAACAATGTGTCCGCCCACCGAACACACGGCGTAACCTCACCTTTGTTGAATTAACCTTAGCAATTGTTTATTAGAGACAGAATTACCGGCAGAGGCGTCACATCCTGTCCACTGCAAACAACACAAACAGCACAAACAACGGCTAGATGGGTCTAGATTGTTTTTCACCGGCTCTTCTTTAATTTGGCTGCGCTGGAAACCATGACATTCAATGTCTAAGCAACTCAAAAAACATCGAGGCGACCTTCGCGAACAGTACACAATAATTAGACAAACACCTATGAGGTCTGCGCGAAAAGCCATCATAAATAATTGAAATTCAAATAATAAATATTTACGGTCTGTTGTAGGGAGCTTATCCAGAAATGGTATTCCCCTGATTGTTTTGCAAATATCGTACAGGTACTATGGAAACGATTGCCAAACTAAAATTCCCTTGTTATATTAAGAACGTCCGTTTCAAATAAACTCAGTTTACGGTTTTATATTTTGTTTTTCGTAGGTTTACATAGGATATTAACTCATGATTACATTAAAGTTTATTTAAAGGTCAAATGTAATAAAATAGTATGTACAAAAGGGTTGCATACGCATTGATGGCATCTGGCCATCAATGGAGCTGATTAAGGATATCTACATAAACATGTTTGTATAGTCTACTTCGAATATAAAACAAGCCTTAGCCGTCTAATAATTGGTCGTGAATGCGCCAGGGGCACTCCTTACACCTCCTTAAAGCCTATTTCTAGATAATTGCATTATTCGGTATACCGTACACATAATGTAAGTAACGCGCAAATCACACATTAAAGTACATTCATAAATACAATCATAAAACTACATACATGTATAGATTACGAAGAAAATCATCGTGGCGGAAGACTAGAAAGGTAACACTACTGGAAAGTTATCCGTTGACGTGTTTTTATCTCAAACTGGGTTTCATTATCCTACAAATTCTTACTACTTAGTTATACCAAATTGCATCTATATAAAACTATAATAAATTTCAGTTCTGGGATTCTGCACTCGCAGAACAACAGAAAAAAACCGCCGAGGAGTGGCTTCTCTGCTCTACATAAACGATCTTCTAGATCCACAAATTCAAACAGTTCCCCTGAAGGATAATGACACACATCGAATTGGGCGATATCGACTTATTTACAAGATGATATTTTCGTGAAGCTTTGAGCAAGAGATTTTAAATCTTTCGAGCAGTCCGGAGGGTTATCAAAGTGGATTTACATATTCCGGTGCTACTACCTGTCCGGTTGGTTATTCAATTCTGCTAGAGAGATTTCTCGGTTGGAGTAGATCTTGGGGACCCAACAAAACCACACTCTACTGCAACAGATCCAGGGCGTGCAGACTCTCCACGTCCGGATCGAAGTTGGCGTCGCAGGTGGAGAGCCAGTCCCAGACCCGCCGCCTCACCATCGCCTGGTCGATGGGGATGTCCAGGCCGTAGGTGGACATCATCCGCTTGAAGCGCAGCTTGTTCTCGTCCCCGGAGAGGCGACCCTCCCGCTGGTTGAGGTAGATGCAGGAGTCCTGGTCGTGGTTGGTGGGCGAGATGAGGGTGGCCGACTTGGAGGTGGAGATGCGGCACTCCACCCAGCGGTCCTTCATGTACTTGGCCACCTCGGTGATCTTGCAGCGGTCCTCGGGGTCGTGGCTCAGGTACTTCCGGAAGCAGCGCATCAGCCGCGGCGAGAAGCGGCGGAAGTTGTCCGGCACCTTGGTCGTCTTGCGCTGCTCGTACTTCATGAAGTTGGCGTAGGACTGGTCCTTGACCCAGTCGGCCGACTGCCAGGGCGGATTGCCGGTGAGGATGTTGTACAGCAGGATGCCGAACTGCCAGGAGTCGCTGACGGGCAGGCACTGGAACCGCTCGTTCTTGATCAGCTCCAGCTGCTCCGGCGGCACGCAGCTGGTCCACGTGTGCTTCACCTTGTGCACCAGCAGGCCCTTCTTGGTGGTGGCCCCGAAGTCGCAGAGCTTCACCCGCGTGAAGTCCGGCGTGAAGACCAGGATGTTCTCGATCTTGAGGTCGCGGTGCACCAGGCTCTTCGAGTGCATGAACCCGAGGGCCGAGCTGAGCTGCTCCGAGATCAGCTTGCAGGCGTTCTCGTGGAGCCCGTTGGGTCCGATGTTCGAGGCCAGGTCGCCGTAGGGGGCGTGCTCCATGGCGAACACGTAGTAGTCCATCGTCTGGAAGGCCACCGCGTAGGCGCTCAGGATGTGGTGGTGGTGCGACAGCTCGTAGTTGTAGTGGAACTCCTTCTGGAACTCCTTGATCGTGGTCAGCTCGGCGTGGACCGCCTTCAGGACGACCGGCGTGCTGGTGGGCTTGTGCCGGCACAGCAGGATCTTGGCGAAGCAGCCCTCGGCCAGCGTCTTCTCGATGTTGTACTGGTCGGCGAACGTCATCAGCGGCAGCTCCACGTCCGGGATCTGGTGGATCTGGCCGCCGTCGTTCTTGTCCGGCTTCTTGTAGATGCTGCTCCGGCGGCTCACCGAGGCCGCTCCTGGCACCTCCAAACGGCCGGTGCTCGTGCTGGTGGGCGTCAGCGGGGTACTGCACCGCTTCTGGTTGTTGTGGTTGGTGCAGGTGCTGCTGTTGTTGTTGCTGTTCCGGCTGTTCGTGCTGCCGCCGTCGCCGAAGGAGCGGCGCAGGCGGAAGGAGAATGAGCGTTTCTCTGCAAGAAGAGCCAAAAACAAAGATTAGGGAGTGCAAAAAATATGTAATCCAAAACAAGAAAGGAAAGCTAACTTCGGGCGGAGCCGAAGTTGAAATACCCTTGCAGAATATTCTGCAAATTATATTCTCCAAAATCATTCATAATGCATTCTTAATACTCATAAAAAATCCCAACATCCTAACTTTAAAAGCACCAAAGTTATATCATTTCCAATCGTTCAGTTATATGGCAGCTATAGAATATAGTCGGCCGATCCTTATGAAATTTGATATGTCGGATTGATTAGGCAAAAATAAAACCCATAGAAAATCCCAACTTCCTAACTTAACAAACACCAAAGTTATGGCATTTCCGATCAATCAGTTATATGGCAGCTATAAGATATAGTCGGCCGATCCTTATGAAATTTGGTAGGTCGGATTAATTGGCCAAATATAAAACCCATAGAAAATCCCAACTTCCTAACTTTACAAACACCAAAGTTATGGCATTTCCGATCAATCAGTTATATGGCAGCTATAAGATATAGTCGGCCGATCCTTATGAAATTTGGTACGTCGGATTAATTGGCCAAATATAAAACCCATAGAAAGTCCCAACTTCCTAACTTAACAAACAGCAGAGTTATGGCATTTCCGATCAATCAGTTATATGGCAGCTATAGGATATAGTCGGCCGATCCCGGCCGTTCCGACTTATATACTGCGTGCAAAGGAAAGAAGGGTGTGTGCAAAGTTTCAATTCGATATCTTTAAAACTGAGAGACTAGTTCGCGTAGAAACAGACAGACGGACAGACAGACGGACAGACGGACAGACGGACAGACGGACAGACGGACAGACGGACAGACGGACATGGCTATATCAACTCAGGAGGTGATCCTGATCAAGAATATATATACTTTATAGGGTCGGAGATGTCTCCTTCACTGCGTTGCACACTTTTGACCAAAATTATAATACCCTCTGCAAGGGTATAAAAACGTTTGAACATGAGTAAGTGGGAAAAGGTGTGGCGAAAAGGACCTTCCCTTGACATCTAGGGGGTCGCCGAATAATGTTTCAGTAATACCAATAGAGGGCTTTCATAAAACGATGTCGTATCTATTACCATGATTATCTACACATCTATCGCTCATTTTATGCGTTTACCCTACTACTTTAATTAAAGGTGAAACTTGAATTAAAAATATTATTATATTATTTGTATTGTTTTTCCTCGAAAAAGTGGGCATATGCAATACACACACCGTTATACTATTGTTTTGTTCGAGTGGTGATTCTTTATAGTTCGACTGTGAGTTGTTAAGGGGTTATCCGGGTCTTGGAGCACGAAAAAAAGCCTATTTTCGTGAATTTTTTTTCAAGATCTTATGACAATTTCACAAATTTCATTTATTGTACATTAATGTTTATGGTTTGACCAACATTGTGTAAAAATTTGAATCAAATATTTTTAAAATTGAGCCGTTGAGGCAGGCTTGAACTTGACCTCATAAAAAATTGTGTCCTTGCGGTAGGCAAAATATCTCCTCCAATTTTTGTCTGAAATCAAAAAACCAAAATTATTTTGATAGTGTATGTGTCTCGCTTGTCCTCTACGAGCCATTTTTTTTAAAAATTAAAAATTGAATTTTTGTAGCGCTTTTCATAAAAAGTGTCATTTTTTACGTAAATTTTGGCCATATTTTGGCTTATAAAATGAGTTGTAATTAAAAATTAAAAAAATCCCTCCGTTAAGGACAAGAGAATTATGTCTAAAAGAAGTGTGCAAAAGCAGAAGTTGATCGGTGCAATAGTTTTTGAGAAATCGTGACTACCGACTTCAAAAAAGTGGTTTTGAGAAAAACGCGTTTAAAGTGCCGCATCTGGCCCGTTGTGACGTCCGACGCGCTGGGCTTTAAATTTCTCCCATTCCTACAGTTTTGCTTCGATCGACTTGAAATTTTCAGACAACATTCCTGAAACTTTGTACTATTATATAAAAAAGTTTGAAAAAAATGAATTTTTTGAAGTGTCAAGACCCGGATAACCCCTTAAGCTATATTTCTATGCATGATCTTGGTGAAACCCCATTTTACTTTCAGTGTCGCAAATAAATGAATTTAAGAGTACCAATTAGGCTTCTTAAAAAGCACTTAGAATGTATACATTCAAACTCAACACAAGGTTATGAAACTTTTATAGCAAAATCAAATTAGCATTGACCCCGCCCATGGCAACACAGATTTCACCTGTTAACACCTCACTTGGAGTGACCACAAGCAAAACACCATTTTGTGTCACTCTGAGCAGCTTTAATTAGATTTATTTTCGGCTTTGTTCCTTATGATTTATGGCCAGCGTTTGATGTCCATCTGTTGTTCCGCGATGCGAATTATTAATTTATCAGCCAGCGGCAAACATAGAAAAGCGTTTTACAGCCCTCCACATGGAAATGGGCGTGAGGAGGAATCGCCCACGCCTCAGACAGAGAAATAGACTGTGTTGTCGCCAAATTGTCTGTGACAAAGTTAGTGCAGAATTTGCGTAGATCCGCGGGGTGAGCTGTTCCGTCTTCACTATGAGTTATATACGGCCGCGCAGCAAAGACGTCAGCAGTTAGTCACTGACTGGCGATTGCTCCGATTTTCGGAACCCGCGATCTGCGTATTGCTAGCCCCAACACTCCTACCTACATTTGGTCCCATTTATAGCCTGAGAAATCAGGGAAAATCATTTGATTTGCAGTCGTATGGGACATACATATATAGAATGCGTTAGCTGGAAAATCGCACCAAAGCAAACTAAATTTAAGCAAAACATTTATAGGGCGTGATGTGATTCTCTGGTTTTTCTCACAGTTTCAGCTAAAATGGTATTTACACTAAATTTTGTAGCTCAGCCATTATCTCTTGCTAATATTTAATTTGGTGTCACTGGTAAGGCAGAGGGCTAACGAAATATAATTTACATCTCCTTAAAAATATTTTCCGTTTAGACAAATTACAATCAGACGGAAAATACATACATCTCAGGCTTGCGAAAACGACATTTTTCTTGAAAACTATATGAACGCGCCAGATATATATGCTCTGCTATTAGAATACTTTCTTTACAAACTTGTTGATTTACGGTATTACAAAATTATTTAATTGTTTTAGATATATGCAAATAAATAAATGTTATACCTAAAATATTACAACTCATTTAAATTTTATGTGATTTGTCAATAATAATATTACAATTATTTTTTAGAATTAACAGTTTAACATTTTTCATTCCTAATTTCAATTACTTAATCCCTGTTTTTGACTAGAAAATCTATTATTATTAGTAAGTATCAATTTATATTCTTGATCCATAACCAGGCGAGACTGCTTATTTATCATTTACTTATTAATTTTTAATTTTGTAGAGACTAGAACTCTAGTATTGGGTTCATTCCTAATGTTTTTATACCCTTGCAGTGGGTATTATAATTTCAGTCAAAAGTTTGCAACGCAGTGAAGGAGACATTTCCGACCCTATAAAGTATATATATTCTTGATCAGGATCACCTCCTGAGTTGATATAGCCATGTCCGTCTGTCCGTCTGTCCGTCTGTCCGTCTGTCCGTCCGTCTGTCCGTCCGTCCGTCCGTTTCTACGCAAACTAGTCCCTCAGTTTTAAAGCTATCTGCTTAAAACTTTCCCAAAAGTTGTCTTTTTATTGCAGGTAGTATATAAGTCGGAACGAGCCGGATCGGGCAACTATATCATATAGCTGCCATATAACTGAACGATCGGAAAAGCCATAACTTTGGTGTTTTTAAAGTTAGGAAGAAGGGATTTTCTATGAGCTTTAGTTTTGGCCAATCAATCCGACCTAGCGAATTTCATAAGGATCGGACGACTATATCCTATAGCCGCCATATAACTGATTGATCGGAAGTGCCATAACTTTGGTGTTTGTAACGTTAGGAAGTTAGGATTTTCTATGGGTTTTATTTTTGGCCAATCAATCCGACCTACCAAATTTCATAAGGATCGGCCGACTATATCTTATAGCTGCCATATAACTGAACGATTGGAAATGACATAACTTTGGTGTTTTTAAAGTTAGGAAGTTGGGACTTTTTATGAGTATTAAGAATGCATCATATGAATAATTTGGGAGAATATAATTTATAGAATATTCTGCAAGGGTATATCAACTTCGGCTCCGCCCGAAGTTAGCTTTCCTTTCTTGTTTTCCTTATGTTTTTTCTCATGGATAATTTCATTATTTGTTATTTACAGAGACTCACTTCTGGAAGGAGAGACCATTATGAGTGGGCAAATGTGATTTTTATTGTACCCCATTAACCCCCGACAATAAGAGCCATTAGTTTGGAGAGTGGACTTGACAGCCTCAAGTCCAAGTTCCTGCGGTTTTTTGGTCACTTTCGACCAATTTCTATTTCCGTTCCAGAAGCGATTGGCTTGCGGCCAGAGGTGGTCAGTGCCCACCCGCAAAGAGATACCTCCACTTGTTGGCCAGCTACAAAATATAGGGAAACTAATTTTGACTCGTTAGAAACCTCACACGTTCCTCAGTGACCTGCGTGTGGCCATAAATCAAACTTTCACTTTCCTCTCGTTCATACATCCTCCTGTTCCTCCTGCCACACTCAATTCATCTTGGCCATCTCATCTTGGTATTCTCAATTGCGGCAGAAACACTTTGCATGCCAAAAATAGCAGAACAAACAAATGAGCCAGAAAAGGGTCAGCAGGCATTCTGAAAGATGCATTGCGGTGTGCTAAATATAAAATGGAAGTCTGAATTTCCGTGAAAATCATCTGCCTTCTCAGCCCAGGAGATTCATGTAAACAGTGGGTGTGGGTCAAAATAAACAAATACCCCTGTGGACAGTCGGCCCGAAGTGAAATGTGAAATGCAATTGCAGCACAGGAGGCAGGACCTGCCAGAGAAAACCAGATGTTCTGTAAAAGTAGTTACTTAATTACGAAAACTTATTTATTTTTCTAATGAAAGTAACTAAATATAGAAGGTATTAGGTAAAAAATGTATAGACTTATTTTATTTCCAAAAGTTATAACTTATGATGAATGTGAAACCCATTAATGTAATTGCTTTTATTTATTGAGGAATAAAATATTGAGATACTTCGACTGCTTTACTTTACTTTGAAATAAGTAAATGCATTGCACGCATCTTAAAATATTCCTTTTGTTAAGGTTTTTAGCTCTTTTAGGAAATATAAGCTTCATTGAAGCAATATGATAAGTGTATGCCTCAAGATTCCTAGCAGTCATCATATTGTAGATTTTTATCTTGGCACATATATGTTAGTAAATTTATGGTATAATTGATCATTTTTTCTTGGGAAGCAGCTATTGTATTTTATCAATTAATGATTATTGATAAACCACGCTCTTAAGCTTTCAAGGCGCACTTGCAGATTTCCAATGAATCGATACGCTCGTAGACAGAGCAGATTCGCCAGCCAGCATCCAACTCGTATGAGTGACTGACAAAACGAGCGCCTTCTGCCCCCCACTGTCGCCCCTGTCCCTCCCTGTCCCCCCCTTTCCCCACAAGCGATTTGTGTCCCGGTTCCCGCCTGCTTGGCAACCCGCCCGACACTGTGCGCGACTTTGGGGGCATTGCTGACGTCAATCGGCAAGTCGTCGTCGGTCGGTGTGCCACATACAGGCACAGATATAGCTATAGCCCCACTCACCCAACGGTGCTGCCTCTGGGTCTCCATCGGATTGTAAGTTTCCTATTATTACAAAACAAATGCAAACACTTTTAGACCAGCGCCAATCCAGCCAGCCATGATGAATTGCCCGGGGTCCGGGGATTGGGGTTCGAGCTCCGACACCCGCAGTCTGGAGACCGGAGTCCATCGACCGGCCAATCCCCCTAGTGCCTTCAATCAGCCCCTCCAATCGAATATTTTAAACAATTGATCCGGTCTGATTGCCCAATCAGGGGAACTGGCTCACTCGATGCCGGACTCTTTGATGTGGGCGGAGAACTTAAGTTGATTTTCAGGACCTACGCCAACTCGAAAAAGTCGGAATAGCTTTTACGTGCTGCTCGTGTTGGATGGGGTGACCTACGACAATCTGTTGCCGTGCTTACATTTCCGAAGGAAATTAAATTACATTTCTTCACATCCCTGGGTGGGCAGCTCTTTTTTGTATACCTAGTTGACTGTTTACAATAGCACACGAATTTGGGTCAAGAAAGTTCTATTACAATTTAGAAAATGTAATGATGTCGATTTTTTGAACACAAGAAGCGTGCAGATTCGAAATGCTTGGTTTTCTTTCCACAAGCATCTTTTGTTAAGTGTTTAAAGATACAAACTATAAAAAATGATATAGAGATAAAAAGGATTTGAAGTATATAAAGCAGATAAAAAAGGAAACCATTTATTACTAAATTACTATTACTAAAAAAGGAAACCATTCATTACTAAAGTTAATGTCGGCCAATGAATTATTAAATTATTTTCGGATGGAAAATCGTATAAGTTATTATTCTTACTATTTATTTCAAGGCTTGTCCAATACTCAGTATCGCTTTGCTCACTCCCTGTGGAACAAGTTTTCGTAAACAGAATATAACATATTATACAACAATTCAATAAAAATTAACGGCTTGAAAGAAAATTTCCGCTGCGCCCACAAAGCAGAGCTGAGGCAACAACAACCAAAATAAACAAAAAGAAATAAAATTAAATATATATAGGTATTAAAGGTAGGTATACACCAAAACAACAAAAACCGAAATTAAATAAATAATATGAAGAGATATGTTTTTGTATAGATCCTACGTTTTAGAGAACGAATGAGTTTGAATATGAAAGCAGGCGGGTAATGCGAATTTTGTATATTTTTTTTTATATTTATAAAACACGATTGAATCCATTAAATTAGCTTTCCCTATCTTTTGGCCACGGAGTATATTTATAGAAAAGTAGGCGTGTATCTGCCCCTCCTCAGACCACGGAATATTGATATATGGCAGCACTCTAGAAGTCCACCAGCAGCTGTTCTTGGAACATTGCGCACATGACCATCACGAGCCGGCAGGTGGTGGGTGACGATGTCGGAGGGGCTGCCAGGATAAAAGGACGACGAGTCCTTCACAACACCTTCGTTTTGAGTGCCGCTTGACAGGATTCGCAGGCCAGGGCTAACAAGAAAAATTGGGGGCCCACGAGATGCCAGTGACCAAAGTCGACGCCCACAGCACCATTTCCATAATTTATTTTAATAGTTCCGTCTTTACGATTTATTTAATTTGCTCGCCTTATTTTCATATTATTTCTGAAAGTATATATTTTTGTGCAAAATAAATACTTATAAATAGCCTCCTGTGAAGCGAACAAATTTGTAATTACGCGCAAACGAAAATGAATGAAGATCAGCAGCGAGAAAAAAACTGAGAACATCTCGTAAAAAATAATGTAGCTGACAATTTTCAAGGTAAGGTCAAGGCAAGTGCCGACGTAAGATCATTTATCAAACCCCTCGTTGATTAAAAAATCTTGGAAAAATGTTGGAAAGTGATTAATGTAGAATTGAGCAGACCCTATAAATAATATCAGGATAGTTGCCCCTGCCGAAGGTAAGACAATGTAGATTGAGTCGATGCCTGCATTCATAAATTAAGTGGGCAATTCGTTGGGGGTCATTTCAGAGCAAAAGCGGAACAAGTAAATGTTTTTGGAAAATATTTTGCGGAGGGGGCTTTGGGCTAAACAATTGCTGTTTAATATCTCTCATGTGCTCCTGGGCTGTAATATGTGTTCACGGAACACTCAAATCGCTCGTAAATAATTGTAAGTAATGCTAATAATAATATTTGCATTGCAAACTGAACGCAGAAAATTCGCTTGGTTGGGGACCTGACGTCATCTTTAAGTTGCGATGAGTGAAATAATTAGAACAGTTTTTGGGGGAAGCGGATATGTGAAGTGGAAATCAATTGGATTGGTTTTGATACGTGGTTGGTGATTAATTGTCTGCCATTTGATTTGTTTATCTTAAAAATAAAGTAATAAGTTTGCTATTCAGCAGGTAGTACTTTGACCGACTTGAACGTTTTTGATGGACCTATAAAGAATTGGTTTATTTATTAGATAAATTTCCACTTTTTAAGCTATTCAATAATTATTGTTTAGTAATTGTATATTTCGGTTTCTATATAAGACAGAACACACTTATCACAATCGAAGATCATTCCATAATAAATGTTTTTAATATCATTCGCTCAACGCATTCAAACACTCCGTAAACAATCATATTATCATAATTTGTGCTCAATACATTCTGTTGTCCTTAGTGAAATTAAAAAAAAAGTGCCCCAGAGAAGTTAAAAAACATTTACGAGACGGACGAGACAATAACAAAAACATTTCAAGAGAAAGCTCAATGGCAAAAACATCATCACGTGCATCAAGTCCAAACAAAAGCACCGCGTCTAGACAATATCCGAAAACTGGTTAAAACTGACTTCTTTTGAAGTGTTTCTGAAACCATTACCCATTGTATTGCTTTTGGACTGTTCTCTCATCGTCAAATTATGGCAAGATGCATGTCTTAGGTTTCAAAATATAAAATAATCTAATTATTTTCTTTTAAATTAAACATTCATTAGAGAAATAATATAAAAGTTCCATCAAAATGTTAGAATATAATTTCGATCACACGTATGCACACAGATATAGCTCAATCTGCGTAAAATATTTTCCATTTATATAATAGACATTTATTGGCCCGACCAAATAGACTATTCATGTGATGTTTGAGCTGCTAAAGCGAAGCAAAAATTAATAATTTATTAAATACTACACACGTATATCCATACGTATATTCATACAAATTAAAGCAAAATGCTTTCTTCAGCGTCAGACACTCAGTGGATGAGAAGAAAAAGCGTTCACAGAATTTCCCACGCATTTGAATCAGCTTTCTCTTTTAAAAAAAAGCCAGGCAATATTTTTATATTTACTCTTCCTCTGTCTCCCATTGTTTATATTTTGTATTTGCATTGCATTGCTATATTATCTAGTAAAAGCTTAATTTGTATTTAAGCAAATTCTACCTTTTGTAATTGTAATCTAAACTACCTTCTACAAATTTAAGAGAAACACAAAACACAAGTTTACCCTTGATTACCATTTCAGAATTATACATTCACATATCAATTGCTTATTTTAGTTTTCAAAGTACATCCTTAATGCTTCCATCCTGGCGAAGTCTCCTGAGCTGGAAACCAATAAAGATGGAGGGCCGACGTCGAGCAGCCGACGGATTGAAGCCTGTGGAGATCATTGACTTGACCGATATGGAGGTACGGGCCGAGATCACGAACCTGATCGATGGAAACGGAAAAGTCTACAAGTGCCCCATTTGCATGGAGTCGCCGGAGGAGCAGGTGGCCACCATGTGTGGCCACGTCTTCTGCAAGAGCTGCCTGTCCACCGCCTTAAGCCCTTGTGAAGTCTGCCCCCTTTGCAAGAAAATCGTGTCCGGCTTTATTCGCATATATACCTAATTTTTGTTGCCAAACTTCGCTCAATTGAAGTTTGTTTTTTGTTTTCGTTTTCGTTTGTTACTAATATTTGCGTTGATTGGCTCGGTTCTGCCTTTCGGTAAACTCCAGATTAAAGGCAACAACAAAATGAGTTGCACTAACAGAGATGTTGCACATTTTTCGAATCTTTAATGTGCTCATTATGAGTATTTACAATTTTTAAGTACATATTTTTATTGCGTGTCAATGGCAAAAAGCGCGTCACAAACGCACGGAGCGCAGAACGCAGAACGCAGAGGCCCGAGGCAATTGGTCGAAAACCTGTGCAGTCCGCCTTTCTCGCACCGACACAGACGGATGTATCTTTTGCGGGGAATACTTATATACTTTATCTGTTGGTCAGCCATAATATTTCTCGCCCCGACAGCCGACAGCCGACGGCACGACCTTGTCCCACGGATCAACGCGTAGAAAGCGAAAGAAGCGGACAGCCAAATATCAAATCGAAATGAAATAAACCAAGCCAAACCAAACCACTGGGGCCATTCCTTTTGGACGGATTATGAAGATATACTTTTGTAATTACAAATTACCCATAAATGATTATTTAAAGGATTCAAAAATATTTACTTAGTATTTGTTGTCTTAACTGCCAGGCGATGAAAAAGCACCACATGCACTTTCTTAATTGTCTTATGCATTGTCTAACTGATTATTCAGAAGATCAAATGGAAATGAAATAATCCAAACCAAATCACTCATGTTGGACTCCATATGAAAATATATTGATCGGCATATGCATTAACTGATTTATTTATATATAGTATTCATTATTATATTATATTATATAATTTATTATCATATATTTACTATTATTATATTTATTTATTATACGAATGTTACTTATTTAAACATTGCAAGCCTTTCCTATTCATGTCTGTGTCACATATTTTATGGATCACTAATAAATAAAAATGATTGTGTGAAGTGTGTATGGATAATATGAAAGATATTTTAAAATACGTATTAAGAATTGGGAGGCTAAGACAAAAATAATCATTTATACATTCTCAGTTCACTATGAATATTATTCAATAAGTCGCCTTTTTGCCCATTTTCTGTTTGCAATTGTATCGAAAGGTTCATTGCACCTTCTCTTAATTTGAACACAATCAAAAATCATTTTCAATCTTTGCGAGAATTTTTTGCACATTAGCCTATCGGTGTTGAGAAAACACATCTTGAGGGCACACGAGAAGCACTTGTCTGGACCAAAATAGCCCAAACACATTACACCAAAAAGACATTGCGCATACGAAGCGTGTGCCGCTGAGGCAATTAAAAATCCGAAATCGTAAACAACGTTGAGCCTCAAATATGTTTTTTTTATTTTTTGGAATACATTTTAAAACTTATTTTAATAAAAAAAAATTAGATTTCCCACGATTGTTTGACTTTCATGTCTGTTTATTTGGGTAGAGTGTTAGTTAATTAAATTCAAAGGGTTCCCAATAACCTTTTGGGTATTAAATTTCAATAAAATATTCTGTTTGACACCCGTCCACATTTTCAACACATTTTTTCAATTAGGGAGCATTAAACATGTGTACCTAGACTTTGCACACTTTGCGTTCATATGTTTTGCTTTGTTTATCCAAGTTATGTTGAAAATTCGTTCGGGAATGAGCAATGTTTGCGTTGCCTGACGGGCCCGAGTTCAAATTTCCACCCATATCGATACAGATGTATTAAATATTATTTGAACCAGCATGAGAATTCTCTGTCTGAATCTAAAATTGTTGAAGGCGGCAATTGGCTTCGCACTTCATTAACGCTCAAAAGAAAAATACAAAAATATTACGCATTTATAAAGAAATACATATTGACGGTTTTTTTTTTGTAAGTAAGGTTGTGTGGATCTCGGAAAAATCAGCAGCAGTGCAATATTTGCTAATTTAATTTCCGTTTCAATGCATCCCAAAAACAAAAATGCTCAAAATTCGAATCAATCAAAGCATTTTTTCACCGCTTGGCCGATATTAATCGCTTCCTCTGTCCGCCCTATAAATAATGTATTTTGTTCATTTGCATTTTACTATCACACGTTATTCACTGATTGCGGGGCTGAATCCTTTTTTCGTACACGTTCTTGGCAGACAAATCTTTATTAAATGGATTAAGTTATAAGTAGACATTGATCTCTATCTGATCTTAATTAAAAACGATTTCTCTTCCCGATGCCAAACAAATTGGTTACGTTTTAAAAATCTAATTGGCGGCTGACGAAAGAGATGGGAATCGAAATTGATGGGCAGTATCAGCCGGGCAATAGACCCCCATAGGGACTAACACATCTAGTCTGCCTTGGAGGCAGCACTTTGCCATACACACAGGCAGTCTGCTAGTTAGAACACATTAAAACGTACACGTAGTCAATACACAAAATGGAACACAGAGTTGAATTATCGTTGGAACCAAGGGTGGAACACAAGTCGGGGAATGACGAGCCCCATCTGACGCAGCATCTGCAGCAGCACTACGAAACCGAGGCCGAAGTCTTGGGGCTCCTTGTGGACCTGGAAGCCCGGTATCGGCAATACTACAATCTGTACCAGTGCGAAATGCTGGCCCAGAAGACACTAATCGAGCGGATATGGCTGCTCACCCAGCGCTACCTAATCCTCATCAGCTCGGAGCAGAGCTGCAGGTATCCCGAGGTGTACACCCTGTCGACCGAGGAGGCGATCGTCAATGAGTACGAGGAGAAACTGGAGGTCCTGCGAGCATCCAAGTGAGTTAGATAGACAGGCATAGACAAATAATAACTTGTCCTCTATGAGTGAGTAATGATAAAATAATATATCCATATCAGTATTTTCTATATTTTAAAGTTTGTCAAATCAAGAGTTTGATCGATTTGGAAAAAATAATAATTTTAAATTCTATCAAAAGTTAGATAAATATTCAGCAATTATATTATATTTTATATTTTGAAACAAAATTATAATTGTTTAAAAATTAAACTTCGATAAAATTTTTTTCTACTTTTTAGTTTTGTTAAATCTATCCTAGACTTAATAAAAACAATAATAATTTTAAATTCTATAATAAGAGGTGGGATATTCGGCAATTATATTATATATTATATTTTGAAACTAAATAATAATGGTTGCAAAATGAACTTTCGATAAAATTGTATTCTGCTTTTCAGATTTTTTGAAGCTATCCTAAAACTAAATAAAAACACTAAAATTCTCCTAGCAACACCATGAAAAAAAGCCTGTTGGACATAAACCAGCACTGCAAGGAGTTTTATGCCGCCTACGAACGACTGGACAAGGCCCAGGAAACGCCATTCATAATGGGGGATAGCCACCACAGAAGCATCAAGTACCACAAGATCATGGCCGTGGATGTATTCAACTATTTGTACGCAATGGTCCTGAAGTTGAAGTGCTATATGCATCAGCTTGATCCCGTGAATCTGGAGAGTGTCGAGGAGTACCGCGACTTGCTGCACAACGAATCCCTAATGGAGGAGTTCGACGAGTACCTCAAAGTGCACTTTGTCTACTGCCGGTGCCTGCAACCGTCCCAAACTTGCCCCATCGTGAAGCTAAAGTGCTCCCACCAAAACCTTGTAAATTTGAAGTATGTCAGTCGCATGTAATTAAGCCAAAACATGTGCGACAATAAATGGAAGCCCTCCAACTTAATATTGTATTGCTTAATTTATTGGCTTTATACACAACTAATTAACGTTAATTGAGAGGCTCTTTTCCCCAAACGGAATGTGCAATAAACAGAAGCCCTAGAATGTTGATTTCAGAGCCCCAAAAGGTCCTTTAAACGTTCAGCTTGTAGCAGGACAGCAGTTCGGGGTCCGCGCTGGGATGCAGCTCGGCCAAATGCCGCTCGAACTCCTCCAAGTTGAAGTTGTTTATCTTGCAGTAGGGACAGCGAATCAGCATGGGGAATTTGCCGGCGCCCAGTTCCTCCTTGGTGTAGAACAGAGCCAGGCTGGCCGGCGTCAGGATGCAGTGCATGGCGTGGTCGAACTTGTGCTCCTCGGTGGTCACGTCCAGGGCGTAGCACCCGTTGCACAGGTTGAACTCCTCCAAACAGGCCAGGCAGTGGAACCGGCGGCCCGGGAAATTGTGGCGTTGGCAACCGCTGCAGGTGATGCCCATGTGGCGGTGGGACTCATCCCTGGGTGACATTTTATTAGCCTAGATCGAGGGTGTCCTGCTGGAGGAACACTTACTTGTCACTCTGCATCCTGCTGTTTTCTCTTGAAAAGGTTTCGTTTCACACGACTTGTTAAGATGATTCTGCAAATGTCACGCGGAATTTAAGACCCAAAACCTAACTTATAGTCGTTTGATTTCCAACACCAAAGTATATTTGAATAAAACGGGTTATACAAAATATTTACTGATAAGTACGTGTTTCCCATATAATTTCAGGATTGTCTCTGATTCTCAACTTTTAACGTGTTGACATGGCTTGAAAGGTATGTCAATGAAGCATTGTTACATGACATTGTTAAACTTTATGACAAAGGTATATTTTGAAAACTCTGATTATTACTTTCTTGAGTTTTAATAATAAGTTGCGTTTATAGTCCTAGGGGTGGATATACTTTTTCCTATTAAAATCTAAGTGTACATCGCCAGCTTTACTGTCCGAATCTCAATTTACAGGTAAAGCTAATATCCACCTCCTTTATTGCTATTTGTTTTGGTTAAAAAACCAACGAGAATCCTCAACAAAAATGTAATTATATTATTATTTAAAGGAGTCTCATTATACCCGTTACTCGTAGAGTAAAAGGGTATATTGTATTCGTGCAAAAGTATGTAACAGCTAGAAGGAAGCGTTTGCGACCCTATAAAGTATATATATTCTTCATCAGGATCACTAGCCGAGTCGATCTAGCCATGTCCGTCTGTCCGTCTGTCTGTCCGTCTGTCTGTCCGTCTGTCTGTCCGTATGAACGCTGAGATCTCGGAAACTATAAAAGCTAGAAGATTGGCATTTTGCATGCAGATTCTAGGAGTTCCTACGCAGCGCAAGTTTGTTTCAAAAAGGTGCCACGCCCCCTTTAACGCCCACAATCGCTTATATACAATTTTAAAAATTTAAATATTTCGGAAAAGTAAAAATGCAGTTTTATTGTGTTTATCAATACCTATCGAAATGTAGAAGAAATTTTTCAAATCGGACCATTCGTTAAAAAGTTATGCGTGATCAAAGTTTCTATCTCCATCTCCCTCGCACTCCCTTTACCTGAGTAACGGGTATCTGATAGTCGGGGCACCCGACTATAGCGTTCTCTCTTGTTTTTTTCTAAACTTAAGAAACTAAAAACAATTAATATATTTACTTGGTAGGTGAAGAAAATTTGAATTCTTATAAGTTAACGTTATAAAACATATCACAGAAAAAATATTTATAAATGTGAAAAGAATATCCCGAAAAATAAAATGGGCAATCTGAAATCTAGAATTGAAAAGCCAGAGGGCTGAGCCGAAAGACATTGTCAAAGTGACCTTTGCGCAGTTCTTACAGTATCGTGCTCGGAATAATGTTGTATTTCCATAAAGACAGTGTCATTTCATTTATCTATGGTTTTATTCACCCCTGAACTTTTAGCAACTGCAGCAAGAAAAATATGTTTCGAGGATGTTTCAGCGCTGAGCAGCGTGTCACACGAGCTGAAGCGTTTTTAATGCGACCGAGTGGGAAGCGCTCATGCAGAAGTCACATCCCGAGGATGGCATTCAAAAAGGCAAGTCCTGGCCGCAGGTGGCACTTGAGATGGCGACCGTGGTGTGGGGCCCCTCACAATGAACCCATTGAGGCAGAAGTGGCCGACTCTGGTGCCCCCGTGATGGCAATCAGAGCCCGTTTGTGGGTGCGCCCAAAAGGACACTGGACGTGGATTGCCGGCCCAAGGATACCGCTCTGAAGCCACCTGGCTAATGACCGGCTACTGCGGTGGCTACACCCACTTACCATGGGCTCATACATTTCTATGGGCGGGGGAAATCAGAATCTCGTGCGTCATTCGATTATGAGTTTAGGGTCTATCCACAGCCACTGGCCCGCCTAATTTATATTACACATTTTGGATAAACAAAATTCATGGCATTTTGGCCGGCGTCGTTGTCATTTGTCGCTTGGCGTTCTTTTCCCATTTCTTTTGGGTGTTGATAGCAGGTCCATGTAGTATGCTATGTGGGTTGATTGCTCTGGATTTATTTTTAGCCAGGATAATTGAAAAGCAAGCTACACAGAAAACAGCAGGAGCCAAATGGAAATGAGAGGGGCGTTGACAAGGGGACCGACTCCCACAACCAATTTGATTGAAAAGAATCTCGTATGTATTGTGTGAGTCCCCTGAAAGGGATTATTTACATAAATATAGGGCTGGGTCGCAGCTGTGCTCTTGTGACAAACAAAGGATGATCGGATTGGAGACCAAGCAATCAAAGAATCAAATTGTGCAACTCTTTGATAACCACTTACGGCACTCGGATAACAGAACTGCTCTAACAAAAAACAATTGTCAGTCGGGAGAGATGGGAATATTAAGGGTTCAAGAGAAGGGGATGAACTAACGACATTATAGACTTTGGAATTGAAAAACCAAGAAAGGATATATTGAATAATAATAGGGAACCATTTGCACATAAATTTTGTTTGGCATTGAAAACAAAAAAGAATACTTCTTCGGTAGTAAATAAAATATTTACCAAAAGGCTAACCCTCTCAAAATTTTATAAATATTTATATTTTATTCGTTTACTCACCGATAGTGCCCATTTTTGTCAATTAGGTTTCCTTGAACAGTAATCCAAAACAAGAGCTCTTATTATTTTTTGTACTTTTATTGTATCGGTATTGTGAATATTGTGAACCGATATCGCCGAATACAGATCGTGTCTTCTTGGCCTAACAAAACCTCAAAAAAGCTGCGATCACACTTAGAAAGTCACATTGCAAATAGCCAAGTTCGCTGATAATTGACTAGTTTTTGGTAAACAATATATTTTGCGTTTTGCTTTTGTTTTGCAATTTCCAGCGTGATGTTGAATTTTCAAGGTTGCTTCACAATTAGAAATAAGTTGGCAGAACAAGATGAATGGGATATTTTAGTTGACTTGTTTTTTTGCCTCTCTTTTCTTTATTTTTCGCGAACGGATACTAAGTAGCGGCAGTTTAGTCGCAAACAATAATAGCAACAATATAATACACAAAACACAAGCAGCGAAGACGCGACAAAAATCAACGGCAGAAATCGAGGCACTTTCACGTCCACACGTCAGGAGTTTTCCGTTATGAATGATTTCCCATTTCCCAGACGGTTCGGTTTTTATATTGGCATGGACAACCGAAGGCGTTCGTCGGCAACTTTAGCTTTTAAGCTCTTAAAAGAACACTTTTAAAAATTCATTAAACATCTAAAATCGGATCTGTTGCTCAAAAATTTTTTTAGCTGGAACAGGTAAAAAAAGTATAAAGTGTTTAAATATTGTATAATATTTTTAAAATTATTAAATTAAATATATATTTATTTTTAAAAATTTTTTTGGAAAATGTAAGATATTTTAGCTATTCAAAAATACATATTTGCAGATCTCTTAAATACTTATTAAACGCTCTCTCTTACTTTTTCCCCGTTTTCCATGTTGGAGAAAAGCTTCTTCGGCTGGCGGGGAAAAGCTTTCCACTTTGTTGCTGGCATGTCGTTTTCATTAATGCGTGCAGCGATGAATGATTCCATCTTAACTTTAACGCATCCCGTCCATTCTTCTTTAACTTTCTCCAGGGACGAATATTAGCATTTTCATAAGCAGCAAAAAAGGAAGATTACTTCGGCAAGCAAGATGATATACCCTTATAGCTATAAGAAAAATCTATTATAATTAAAAAAAGCGAATTGGTCATTGGTCAATGGCGATATATGTCAAGTTATATGCCCATATTCAATCAATCCTTTCTGATTTTCCGAATTATTTTTCGATCAAATCCTGTGGCAGCTGCATGATACAGTCGCTTATTTTAAATCTTGGAGAGTAACTTTACCTTGAGTAATAGTGAATAGGGTCAGAAATGGGTCTCCTTTACTGCGTTGCAAACTTACACCGGAAATAGGGTTCCCTCTGCAAGGGCTTAACAATGTCAACGGAGTTAAGTTGTCTTGCATTAAAAAAAATATCTTGCTTAATCTGATTTCATTAAATTTAAAATAATGAAGTATAAACCCCTAAATCATTGTGATTGCCTTCAAGATCCCCACGTTTACGCGGTCAGTTGTTTTATGAAAAGAGAAGACTTAAGTTAATGGCAAGCCGACTGAAATTTCATTTTATCGATAAATAAGACAAAACATTTTCAGATCCGAAAATATAATATCATGCACCTTCTTTAATGCTTTCAGTATATAGCTGCCAACTCAATCGTATTACTTTCCCTGCCCCAAATCTGTTCGAATTCTTAACCGGCTCCGCCTCTAGTGTAAATAAACTTAATCTGGTGCATTACGTCAAATTACCAGGCTATAGACCCAATCCGCACATCACCCCGCCCCGGCCAAAATTAATTACCGCTCCAGTTACAAGAACAACCGTCTTGGCAAGTAAACCAGCCACGAGAGGCTAAATACCAAGCAATTTTTAATGCAATGCAAATAAAATAGACAACGAGGAGGCGGCCTCTTAACTTCGTCGGCACGCAAGGACACCGGAGTTGGAATCCCGCTCCTGTCGAAGGTGTTGCCGTGTGCTGGGCGTCCCACTGACAACAACTTTGCCGCAACTCCGGCAGAAACCGCTACGAATCAAGTTTTGCGGCTGAATTGTCCTTGAACCAGATACCCCATACCCCTTTCCCCGCAGGAAGGGGGTAAGGTGGCACTGACGTAAGATGGCCCAACGTAACTCTGCAATCACTGAGCTCCGCTCTGATTGTGGTGGCAGTTAACTTGATTATTTTACATATAATTGAAAAGTTTCCCTTTTCCTCGCCGTTGCGAATGTTGCACAAATTGCGCAGACAAGCAGCAGTCCATCCATCAGCCGTTCAGCCCATCCCAGTAGGCTGAGGCGACTCCTCCGGTCCCTGGATCCACGTCCTTTGACGTAGGCAACTCCTTCCTTTTCCCAGTGACGACAACGCCGGCGATGACACCCACACCAAACAACAGCGATGACGACGACACCCACCGCTCCGTCGAAGCGGGGAAAACAAACAGGTATCGTGCAAAAACACCATTCACATGACGAGGATTATTCGGTGCCGAGGAGCATATGTTTCGTTTAGAGTTTGGGACTGGGGCACTGGGAGCACTGGGGTTGCTCGCACTTCTATTAAACTTTGTTTAAATAGGATAAATACTTTTTAATATCTGCGCTTTTTCGTTAAAGCAATTTAAAAAACTATATAATACTCAGTAGTTTATAATACAATATAAACATTTTACTTTCTTTGCAGTATGTTCCTTATTAAAATGAACAATTACCCAATTATCTTAAAATGGTCTATTTTTGAAACTATATGCTCATCCGATTAGTTGTAACACCTTCAACGAAAACAGAAAGTTAACATGGTTTTGAAGGTCATTTTTATGTCACCCAACATCGCCAAGTAAAAGCGACAATCATGCATATTTATTCGACCTAACCCAACGTGAAAAGTGCAAGAACTATGCTCCAAAACTACAGCACGAAGGTATCCATCACGCCTGTTCTGATTTTAAATATTATTTAGTCCGATTTACAAAACTATGAAGATTTAAAATAATTCATAAAGTAATTAATATCTTGGAGGTACTGTATAATTTTAGTAACATTTTGTTCGGCTATAAATTTTATGTGATAAAATGTTAATTCTTAAGAACTTTAAAATATTTTCGTTTACAATCAATAAATTTACATACATTACATTTTTTTGGTTTTTACATTTATTTTTTAAAAACCTTCAAATGACGAACTGAAAAAACTTAAGCCAAATCTGTCTAGCTGTTCTGAATTGATGAATTACTATTCATTTGTCAGACCACTTTTATATTTATATAAAGTTTGGGATACAAACATGAAAAAAGTATACTTTAATTTTAGACACCTCTTCAACTATCTTTTCTAGAACAGAGTAATTCTTTCGCCAATATTATATATCACTTAAATTGTTACCTAAATAATCATACCAGATTCTAAGATAATGTAGTTTTAAATTTATTTAAAGCCGATTTGGAACTCAAAAGAACTTCAGGAATGCAAGACCCGGAACGTGACTTTGAGTATCTAAACGAGTGCGGAAGCCCGACCCAGGAAGCCAAGAACCAAGTTGAGCATGTACCTATTAATAGAGTCGTTGCCGATGTGAACTTGTGAACTTATTTCTGGCTCAATGGTTGCCAGGCAGCTCGGCGAATTAACAACCCACCCACTCCGATACTCGCCCACCCAGCCACTCACCCACTGGGTGAGTCCCAGTGGCCCAGTCCGAGCAGCAAGTGCTGAAACTCAGTCGGCTGGCGAGGCTTCCGCCATGCAGACGCGTCCGAGCAGTGAGCCGCATCGCAGCAGGGAGCAGGTGGAGCCGAGGGATCAGCCCCAGAAATGCGCCAGTGCCACGTTGGCCAAGAAGCCAGTCACCCCGCCGGCTGCACCACCACCCACTCCGTCCAACAGGGTGGTGGCCCCGCTGACGGTGCCAGTGATTCAACTCACGCCCGCCCACAGTGAGAGTCCCGTGAGGGCGGGACCGCCGGCCAGCCCGAAGGACACCGTCGCGTCCCTTCCCGACAGCAGCAACAAGGAGAACCAGCCGGCCAAGCCCCTACCCCCCAGTAAGTCCTGCCCCCTGGGCGCCCCCACCAACTACGTGGCCCGGCGCACCTGGATCACCACCGAGCGGATGAACGAGCTGCGGCGGAAGGCCCAGGAGGCGGCCAAGCAGAACAAGATCTTCACCATCCGTGGGTGCTTCAACTCGGTGCGGAACGCCCTGCTGGCGAGGGGCTGGGTGGAGAAGCTGGACGTGCACCGGAAGGTGATGCCGACGGGGCAGATGACCTACGAGGACCTCACCCAGCGACTGCCCAAGAGGAAGGCGGGCGAGACGCGACGGCAGTACGTGCAGAAGTGCGAGAGGAACATCATGTCGCGGTTCCTGGAGCACATGCCCGTCGATTTCCTGTGGACGAACCGCAAGGAGAAGTGCGACTACATCGACCAGGCCAAGAACCCCGGCATGACCATCAACAAGTTCCACCGGGCACCGTTCACCTCGAAGGAGGGTCTGTGCAGCCAGCTGCGCGACTTCCACTGGTTCTTCGAGGAGGGCACCGCCGAGATGTACTTCCCCCGGTGCTACAACGTGTGGAGTCCCGAGGAGCTGGGCGAGTTCATCGAGAACTTCAAGCTGACCGCCTGCGTGGCCTTCCTGCGGGCCATGCTCTGCCGGTACCACAAGCAGGGCTCCGAGGCGGTCTTCTCCTGCGGCGGCAAGATCCCCTACTCCTCGATCGACTTCGCCTACAAGCGCCTGGTGGAGTTCCTCGACAGCTGCCAGCACAACGACATCGACTTCGAGGACCCGCCCAAGATCTGGGAGCACGACTGGGACGCCTTCCTGTTCCAGCACCACCAGCTGGTCAACGAGGACGCCCGCATCCAGCACGACGGCGGCCAGCGGGTGGACCCGATGGTCAAGAGCTGCCTCTCGCTGGTCGACAAGATGAAGGTGCACTGGCCGCAGTACAGCCTCGACGGCTACCAGAACCTGTGGATCGTCAAGCCGGCCAACAAGTGCCGCGGCCGGGGCATCATCCTCATGGACAACCTCAAGAAAATCCTGGGCGTGGTCAACCCGTCGATAGCCTCCAAGAGCCGCTATGTGGTGCAAAAGTACATAGGTGAGTGACTGGGGCGTATATCTCAGCCATCAGAAGTGCAAGATGAGCTTATATTTCACTGGCAATTCTATATAATCGGTTCGGAGGAGTCCTTTAGGAAATATAAGTTTCTTAAGGACGAAGAAAATGTATATATGCTCAACCAAACTTCTTTCCCCAAGTAGTACCTGTTATGCAGAAACATAGAACTGAAATCAGATACTTTCTGGAGTATTTTAAAATTTCTCTAATACAAAGTCAGTTCCCTATTAAAATCCGCTGGCGAAACATGTTGCCCTGAGTTGGCCAAATTTGCATTTATCAATCGATACCGTGTAAAGCATCTTAGGCGCAGACCCACAACATTTCAAGTCCTGCGAGTAAACGATATAAACAAACACATGGAAACTAGGTCGTAATTCAGGACGGAGCCAAAGTTGTAGGCCCCGATTTCGGGGAGCTTGAATCGGAACCGTCGGCTGTGGTGCCCACACGCACGAACACGGGTCCTCCTATTTCCAGCAAGAGCCTTTGTCTCCCAGGCCTACATAAATGCATAAATATTTGGCCTAAAAACGCAATCATTGCCTTTGCCGCTGTCGTTGTCGTGCTCGTTTGCTGGCAGCAATCGTAATTTGCCCCACGGCTTCTGTCTGCCCCGTGAGTTGCAACAGGTTTGCCGCAAAACGGGGAGTGGCAATTGATTTTTAAGCCAAACTGAAATGGCTTTTGTTTGCCAGGAATTAAGATTGTCAATGTGGAAATGTAATTGTAAATACATTTTTGTAGAGAAAGTTGATATACTTGTTGTATGTTTATAACCTTAATTTCAGTCAAAAGATTGCAACGCAGTGAAGGAGACATTTCCGACCCTATAAAGCATATATATTCTTGATCAGCATCACCAGGAGAGTCGATCTAGCCATGTCCGTCTGTCCGTCCGACCGATTCTTAACTAGTCATTCAGTTTTAAAGCTATCTGCTTGAAACTTTCCCAAGAACTGTTCTATTGCAGGTAGTATATAAATCGGAACTATACGAATCGGGCGACTATATTATATATCTCCCATAGGAAGCTTTATGTCTTAATTAATTTGACTTATTCCAAGTTTTACGTATAACAAAATATTTTTCGTCGCGGAAAATAAATTGACATTGCATGATATGCAAGGATAAAATGCATGATATAAAGTATACAATTGATAAAAAAGTTTTGATATAAACATTTAAAAATAAAGAATTTTTAATAACATAAAAACTGCTTTTAAGTACGATTTTTTAAGACACAAAATACCCAAATTTATTAGGATTTACTTAAGATTTGTGGCAACTGAGCGAGTTAATATATATATTCATGTTCTTTAATAATAGTCAAAGGTTGAGACTCTAATGTGTGTTTGTTTTCCATCTACCAGTTCTTTTATTTTGTCAGTTTGTCCAGTAAAGTTGTTGTTATAGGATTTTGTAATAGTTTTTGTATAATTAGTAGCTAGAACTGAAAAATACTGTTTATAATTTTTTTATAGTCTTCATAGACCTCAAATGTTTAGGACTACAACAGCAAACATTTGCAGAAAACGTGAAATGTCATTACAAACTAAATACAAATGCCACATTTATCTATAAAATACACCAAAAATTTAGTCTTTTCCTACAGTTTTTAAAGGCCCAACGACAAAACTAAATAGCCCTTGGGATTATACAACTGTAATTATTGAGCAACAAAATCACATCTCGTTTCCGTTCGGAGCAGTTAATCTATCCTGTTGATTTGAAAGTTTATTATTTTGAAGTTCATTAAATTGTTTTTCTTTTACCAAACGATCACACCTTCAACATATAATATTTCGGATATTTTTGCCGTCCAAACAAATACAATTGTATGGAAGTTTCTTATCCGGCACTTTGTAAGGGAAAAATTCTAACTTCTACGTACAAAGCGAAAATATTTTACTGCAGCGGGACGAATAAAAAAATATTATTACTTTTTTACGTAATTGAATAAAAATAATAATAATTAAATTGTTGATATGCAGACCAGAATTACGTTTTCGGGTTTAGCTAGAACTTATTAGGTTATCTTTATTTCACTTTTATTGTAGAACGACCGTTGATCTTGTTCCAAACCAAATTCGATATCCGCCAGTGGTTTCTCATCACCAACACCCAGGTGAGTGCACTCCCACCTGCTCCAAGTAGCCAATCGTAACCCGGCCCGTGCCATCCGTATCCGCAGCCCCTGGTGGTGTGGTTCTACCGGGAGAGCTACTTGCGGTTCAGCTCGCAGGAGTACAGCCTGAGCAACCACCACGAATCGGTGCACCTGACCAACTACGCGATCCAGAAGAAGTACACCAACGGGAAGCGGGACAAGCGACTGCCGAGCGAGAACATGTGGGACTGCTACTCCTTCCAGGCGTACCTCCGCCAGATCGGCAAGTACAACATGTGGCTGGAGCGGATCTTCCCCGGAATGCGCAAGGCCATCGTTGGCTGCATGCTGGCCTCCCAGGAGAACATGGACCGGCGGCCCAACACCTTTGAGTTGTTTGGCGCCGACTTCATGATCTGCGAGAACTTCTACCCGTGGCTGATCGAGATCAACTCCAGTCCCGACCTGGGAGCCACCACCAGCGTGACCGCGCGGATGTGTCCGCAGTGTTTGGAGGACGTCGTCAAGGGTGAGTCCATGTCTGGGGAGCAGAGCATAAGTGGAATTGCACTTATGCGTTAATTAGAAATCATTTTTAAGCAACACCCTACCCTAATTTTCTTTGATTCTCTGACTTTAATACACATTTTTGAAAACAACAAGAAAGCAGGCAAACTTCGGCAAGCTTTTAAACCCTTGTAGCTGTTACAAAAATTCGATTTCGATGCTTGAAAACCTTAAATTATTGTCGTAATTCTGAATTCGTTAACCATATCTTATTTTATTTCTTTTTTTCCCCAATTGTTTCTATGGAAGCCATATGAAGAAGTAGTAATCCGATCCGGCCCTTTCGACTTATATACTTCCTGCAACAGAAAGAATACTTTTTGCAAAGTTGCATCCAAATAGCTTTCAAAAAAACAACAAACTTTCCTAGTTAAGAACTTCGAAAGAAAATCGACCTAAAGTTTACGATAATCTATTTCTTAAGGCTTTAAAAATATATTACACATATTCAGCTATAGGTTATACAAATAATTTTGGTTAGAAAGTCTTAGCCGATCGTTCTTTGGCAGCTATTGAGCTATAAAAAATTAATATTTTGAAAGTTTAATATTGAAAGATAATACGCTGTAAAACAGCTGTAGAATATAGTCATCCGATTTTGATAAAACAATGTATTGGAGGAAAAACAGAACGAAAAGACCCGATCGTATAGAATATAGGATTGCGAAAGTTTCCAGTTTCTGGTATAGAAATAGACGAACGTGGCTACGTGATAATAATCACGAATATAATGTTTCATGTTGTATGTTTAGTAACTATACCTCACTGCGTTTCAAACTTTTTAATGAAATTATAATACCTTGCCAGGGATTAAAAATAAACTAGAATATAAGAATAAACTAGCAACGCAGAAATAACTTTTTAACTTAATTTCCTGGTCGTTCCTATAACAGCAATATCTGCCCATTGTAATACTTAATACTAAATACGATTCATCACCTCTGTCTTTACAGTTGTTATAGATCGGCGCACGGATCCCAAGGCGGACATGGGCAACTTCGAGCTGGCCTACCGCCAGGTGGTCCCGCCCACGCCCGCCTACATGGGCCTCAACCTGTTCGTCAAGGGCAAGCAGGTGCTGCAGAAGGTGAGCCACGGCGGGGGGCATGGTCACTACCAGCAGCAGCGGAAGGAGCGATCGCTGGCCACCAGCAGCGTTTACCGCCAGCGGTCGGCCATCATTCATCCGGCGACGAGTATTTCGCGGATCCACCGAGCCATGCCCACCTTCAATGCCACCGAGTACATGGAGAAGTACATGGTGGAGCCCCTGAGCAGCAGTCGCAGCAGCCTGTGCAGCCAGCAACTGCAGAAGTCGCCTTCCGTGGCTCCCGTCCTCACCGCTCCCCAGTCGGGCTCCCTCAGTCCCTATCTCCTCAAGCAGGCGGGTCGCTCCGTCACCCAGCTGCTAAGCGCCTCCCACAAGCGCAACACGGCCGGATCTCTTACGGGGGAGCCCATTCCGCACTCCGCCCTGCCCCCCAAACGCCAGCGCAGCTGTGGGCCCAGGCTCAGCTCCACGAATCCCGTGGAGAGTGCCGAGAAGAAGTTCAAGATCCTGATCAAAAACTATTCGGCAGCCGGAAACGAGTCGCTGCGGGAGACGCGACCGCCGGCAGCAGTTAGCTCGTCCGCGGCTCCGGTGATGAGCGAGCGGAAGTGGCGCAGCTTGCGCAACATTGCGGCCACTACGGGTGCGGGTGTGGGTGCGGGCATCTCCTCCAACTCCGCGTCGCGGTCCAAAGGAGCCCCTGCGGCTGCTCCTAGCTTGCCGACGCGCCGCTTCATCCGCACCAAGTCCGAGATCGACAGCACGGTCAGCATGCACGCCATTGGCAGGACCTTTGGCCGGAAGTCGAACGGACCCAGGCTGCCGGTGAGTATTTCCGTGCAGGCCCTGCACCGGGGAGAGCCCATTGTGGCGGCTCTGAAGCAGGCCACCAGCGAGCTGCAGCTCTCCCAGGCCCAGATGATGAGTCCTCGCACGGCCCTGGCCAACAAGCTGAACAGCTCCACGCTGACTGTTCCCACGCCGACTGTTCCCACGCTGACTGTTCCCACGCCAGCACTTCCGGTGGGCTAGGACAATGATTTAAGAGCAATTTAAAGAATAACGTATCTGTACCTATAGGTAACAATATAGGACAGCCAATACTGCCTCCTAAAACGAAATAATTCAAGAGCAATTTGAAGATGTAACGTATCTGTACCTATTGGTAACCATTTTGAGTTCATTGTGCCTTACCTGGGCAAACGAATAAATTAATACTATATACCTGACCTAGGAACACATTCTTATTTACACTGTGAATAAGCTGCACAAAGTGTTGTATTTAGAAAAAATAATATTTACATGTTTGTTATAAGAAAATATTACTTATATAGTTTATTATGCATCATACATTTTTATAATTTTAGTCCAAATGAGCAGACATTTCCGGTACTATAAAGTGTATATTCTTGATCGACATTACTAGACGAATTGATATAGCGATGTACGTCTGTTTCTCCGCAAGCTGCCATTAAAACAAAAGAAAAACCACTCAAAATCATCTCAATATATGTTTAACTTTTTTTAACGATCCGAATAGCATCGGTCGGTTAAACACTATCACATAAATCTGGATGATGTTCAGTTCCAACTCTCTAGCTTTTGTTATTCCCGGGATCTCGACGTTCATACGGACAGATCGACAGACATAGCTATTTAGACTCCTTCGATGATGATCCAAATCAAGAATATATACTTTATAGAGTCGAAAATAAGACCTATTAAATACTTTTTAACGAGTAAATGCTATTAAACTTATTGTCTTAAAAACGCCATATAAAATATTTGTAATATCGAATGACAGTTTTTCTAACACCAGTTTTTTATTATAAGAAGCATAAAGTATTGAATAGCAAATATCTAAAAAACAAACCAACGCATAAATAAATAAAATTAAGAGCGAAGTTTCTTCAAAGTATGTATAAGCATTTAAGAAGGAATCGTTTAAAATGGCATCTGACTAACCATTATATACATGTTACTAATTCTTAAGACGAGTTTATTAGAAATATCGTTATCAAATCTTGCGGATGTTATTGTATACCAAATGTTTTAGCTATTCAATAAACTTAAATCGATTTAGGAATTGATGAGTTAGTTGAGAATTATTTATTTCCACGGCTCTCGGGATATTGCATGGGGAAACGTTCCCACATAGATGGAGCACTTTGTTTTTGCAGGGAAAGTTCTGAAATTGTATTCTCTTGAGTAACTTATTATTGAGTTTTATTTAGCTTACTTTTTATATTTGCGAGCACTGTGCGGGGATCAGTTAATTCTGAGGAATAAAAAATGTATTTCCGCACAAAAGATTGCCATTAACTTACTCCTTCTTTGTTATATGAATCCAGTTTGCCGATATCCATACATATAGATACTACTAACACAGTTCTGTAATTTCTTCTGATACTATATATGATGAATCTGCTCCAAAATACAAAACCCAATTATATTTGCTTACAATACTTAAAAAATGCTTACGTCACGAACTCCTCACTGTAAGCCGGTGATCCATGCATACTTGCAATTTTTTCCAGCTTCACTTGGGAGCAGTGTACTGGAGTGCCAGGTTCTCACGAGTTGTTGGATTTAGTGCGATCTTGGGCACCAAGTTCTGCGATGATGGCTGGACCGAGGCGGCGCTTGAACTTCCGACAGAGGTGACCATTTTCTTTAAAGATTGGGAATACATGTAAAAGCCAAATCTTGTAATGAGTCATAATATATTTCCCTTTATAAAGGTGTATTATTTGTCTGCTATCCCCAGGCCATTTACCTCGCCTTTGCAACATATTTTTAATGCGAAGAACTACGATGACCTTTTAGAGATGACATTATTTGTGATACTTACTATATGTAAGTAACTTACACCGATTTTAGAAAAGTGTTTGATTCTGTAAATCACTTGCTCCTTGTGCTAAAATTATCTTCAGATCTTAAAATATATATTTTAAATTATATGAGGGTGGTATACAAAAGCTTTGTCTTAAGCCTCATACGAAATACTTAAGGCATCTTACAAAAATTACTTGAATCTCAGACTTATTAAAGATGCATGTTCCTGTGTACGGATATATGTACTTACAATCTGTTTAGAATTATATTATTTGGGAATAAAATATATCTAGACATTTTTACTGGGTCACTGTTCACCAGCTTCGAGTCTTAAATACATATAGATCGGATTGGGTATGTGCAAAAGAAGAGTCCCGATTTACGGGGTCATCTGTGCCCAATATAAATATTCGAAACTATAGTTCACTAGTTTTGATCATTTGTTTGACCAATGATTGATTAATTTTATCATACTTAACACAAAACTAGTATTAGTATTAGTAGTTTTTCTGGTATGCCTTTTACTTCGTATATCCGTCCCTAAGTGGTTATTGTTGTTGCATTTATGCCCTAAGGGAAGTATAGCTTTGTTTTGTGAGGGTCACTTCTTTGTACTGATCATAATACATAGTCCTTTAAAAAATATTTCGTACCTTCTTTCTGGAGATCTTGGCAACGGCAGTTTTCACATTCTTGGCTTGAGCCTCCTTGACCTTCTCCACTTTCTTGCCGGTGGAGGTCTTCACGTTGTTCAAGATCTTGCGGAGGAGTCGGGTCCGCGGGCTGTTCCGCATCTTGGGCATGTTCTCGAAGAGGGTCATCTGCTTGCCATTCAGCTCCAGCGGCTTGCCATCCGCGCCCTTGTTGATGCTGTAGTTGACCTCGAAGGCCAGCTCGAAGAGTCCAGTGCCGGCGGTGGGGTTCTTGGGCAGATCGACCACCACGCGGATGCAGTCCTTCAGGACCATGGGACAGATCCTGGCCGTGATTTCCGTTGAGGGCGAGAGATCCGGCGTCGAGTTGATCTCGATCAGAATGGGGTTGTAGTGCTCGTCGAGCATGAAGTCGCAGCCATAGAGTTCAAAGGCGTTCTGCAGCAGCTCCGTCTCATCCAGGCTGGCCATCACAACGGCCACCAGGTTCTGCTTGAATCCGTTGTAGGTCTTCGACCACGTCCCATCCGAGGCTCCCATGTGGCGGAGGTAGCACTTGAACTGGTCCAGCGACCACATGTTGTTCTTGGGCAGCCTCGAGTCCCGGTTGGTCTTGTTCTTGTACCGCTTCTGAACCGAGTTGTTGGTCAGGTGGATGCACTCGCGCAGGTCGTCCATGGTGAACTCCTGCGAGCTAAAGCGCAGATAGCAGTCGCGGTACGTCCAGATGCTGACCTTCGTGTCCGTGATGGTGAGCAGCATGTACTGCCGAATGTCGAACTTGGTGCGGTAAATCAGTAAGGGTCGCTCTGTCAAGAAAAACATGTTAAGCCAAATAACGAAGAAAAAAAATATATAGAGCGGAACTATTTCTCCTTTAATCAATCAAGTATTATTGCTGCTGTAGTCACTACTTTCACATGAGATCATTAAGGAGATTTATCTTAAAACAACTACATATTACAAAACAACTACATTTCGATTTCTATGTCAACATAACTAAAAACAATAAAGCTAAGTATGTCGATTTTGCGCTACATTTTGCCAGCGTTTTTATGGCAGCTATATTATTGTCCGATTTTGACAATATTTTAATAAATAGAAAAAATGAAAAATACAATTTTTTTGGAGCTATCCGATTTTAATATAATTAAAACCGTAATTAAATATTATTTAAATATTACCAAATCCCAAATATAAACGATAGCAAAATGCAGCGACAAATCCACATATGTATACATAAGTATATATAGCTATAGCTTCGTTGTTTCAAGTAATATAGGCATAGAAATTGAAATGTGATAAAGTTTTGTAATAACTGCAAGGCTTGCCAAAGTTTCCTTCCTTGTTTTATTTTATATTAAAGTAAATGTCGACTACGTGCTGTTTTAACCAAAGGCTTGTAAGCTAGTAACTAAATGTAGAATGAAATTTCACATTATACACATGGTGATGATAAAATATTAAATATTACGCCTTTTTTCAGTTGCATTTCGTGGTTTTTTATGCAAAGTAAGATTATTTGTTTTTATATTATTTCAAATTTTTATTCATATTTTTTGTTGGCATCTAGTATCTAGAACTAAGAAAATGTTGCACCTTTTACCTTAGCAATTATTTATTTATGCAAATACATTGCACGCCACCTTTAGGTTCAAAAAAGTAGTGCTATATATCTTCAAATATTTGAAAGAAGACAGTTACAGAAAACTCTTCCAACCAAATTCCATTGGATAGTCCATACAGAACCGATAGAAATTTTGTTGGAAGAGATTTCTGTGACACCCGAAAAATAGACTTACCTATGTACTTCTGGACGATGTACTTCTTGTTCTGATTGTTCGATGTCCACTGCAGGATGTCGTCCAGGGAACTGCGTATGACGATGCCTATTCCGCGCGACTGGTAGCCGGGCTTGAGGATCCACAGGTTACGGCTGCCGTCCCACCGATAGTCCGGTCGCAGCGACTCGATCTGGTCGAGGTAGAGCCCCGCCAGACGGGCGTACTCCGTCATCACCTTCTCGCTGATCCTGAACTTGGCGTTGGACTTGAGCACATCGGTGGACTGCACCATGAACGTCTGGTTCTCCACAATTTCGGCGGGCGTTGGCGGCTTGATGCGCGCATCGTCCAGGGAGTAGTGCTCCGCGTGGCGCACCATCTTCTTCACCTTCCCGAGGGCGAAGTCCAGGGTGGTGCTGGATATGTTGCCACTCTCGCTGATCATCTCCACCGGCTGGTGCTCCTTCACGTAGAGCAGCAGCGACCGCGCCTGCGTCTGCTGGTAGTCCTCAATGAAGGCCATGCGCTCCTCCAGGTTGTTCCCGCCCAGCCGGTAGAAGCGCGGGTGGCTCATCCCGCAGACGCCGTCCTCGCGATACCAGCGCTCCTGCTCGGCGCAGCCCACGAGGCCCACCTTGGTGGAGAAGTCCAGGAACTGGCTGCGGCGCACCCGGTTCCGGAAGGGCCGCACCTCCGCGCACAGATCCCGCTGGCCCTTGCCCTGCCAGATGAAGAACGCCGGGAAGTGGTTGATCATCTTGGAGATGACCACCGCCTCGTAGTCGTTGCCGCGACGGGCGTGGTCCAGCAGGGCGTCCTCGGACATGCTCTGCAGCTTGGCGTGCCGGGAGGCCGGCAGCTTCTCCAGCCAGCCCCTCCGCATCAGAGCCCGTCTTACCGTGTGGTAGTTTCCGTACACGGTGAAGATCCGCCGGTTGCGGTACGCGTCGATCACACGGGTTCGGTAGACATTGCGCATCTGGCGCTTTTGGGCGTCCGGCGCCATCGGTGAACTGGGCGTGGTCCTGGTCGTCGGGTTGGCGGCACGGGCGCGGGCCAGCAGGTTGCTGATGCTGTCGGGACGGAAGTGGCTGGCCGCCATACTGCTGGTGCCCAGCGAGCTGGAACCGCCGCCCAACGATCCGAAGGTCGCGGCATAGGGACTTCCACTCATGCTGTTGTTGTTGTGGCTGCTCAGGGGCTTCGGCACGGAGCACTGCTTGCACAGCTGGACCAGCTCCGCATCCAGGTTGTGGATGAGCGACTGGATCTTGGAGACGGGGTTGTAGTAGCGGTTGCGGTTCCCGCTGAATCCCGTCGGCGTGGTGCTCTGTGTCATACTGCTGGCTGCTGCTCCCGTTCCCCGCCCTCAACTGCGACGGTTCAGTCCTGCGGCCTTCTCCTTTCAATATCCGTGTCCCGGGGTGTCCTTGTCCAGCGAACGTACCCCTTCTCCCGAAAAGGGCTCGTGGTTGGTCAGTGGGCTAGTTGCCAAAGCAGTCAGTTGCTCCGTGCAATTACGTGGAATTTTGAAGCAGGAGCCAAACAGTTTCTAACAGTATCGCATTTACTAACGAAAAGTCTTGATTGACTTAAAATACATTTCTTCGCAGAGACAATCAAATTTAAGACCAAAAAAAGGAAACGAGTGTAAAACTGAAGGTAACACACTTAAATCAAAGCTTGCTACTTTCTCAGCTCTGTAAAAAATATCAAAAAATGTCAAGTCGGGTGACAAATCGATGCAGTGGGTTATCCTTGACTGCTTAATACATTAACTCGGTCATTGCAAATCTGTTCAGTAAACTCAGCCTCAGCAACAAGATGTTGCTGTATAAGTCGATTGTAGTTCCTTCAGACTCAAATGTCATGAGGGTCCAAAGAGTGCAAAACCGGGCGCTACTGACGATTGCGAATGCACCGTGGTATGTAAGAAACGAGGTCCTAGCTAGCGATCTTCACATCCCCACGGTGAGAGAGGAGATCAACATGCATTCTACCCGTTACAATGACTGAAAGGAAAGCTAACTTCGGGCGGAGTCGAAGTTGATATACCCTTGCAGAATACTCTGTAAATTATATTCTCCAAAATTATTCATATGATGCATTCTTAATACTCATAAAAAATCCCAACTTCCTAACTTTAAAAACACCAAAGTTATGGCATATTCAATCGTTCAGTTATATGGCAGGATATATTCGGCCGATCCTTATGAAATTTGGTAGTTCGGATTGATTGGTCAAATATAAAACCCATAGAAAATCCCAACTTCCCAACTTTACAAACACCAAAGTTATGGCATTTCCGATCAATCAGTTATATGGCAGCTATAAGATATAGTCGGCCCATCCCGGCCGTTCCGACTTATATGTCTGTCCGTCTGTCTGTTTCTACGCGAACTAGTCTCTCAGTTTTAAAGATATCGAATTGAAACTTTCGCCTTCTTTCCTTTGCACGCAGTATATATTACTTCTATTAGAACGCTTTTAATCGATTGAACAGTAGTGTTCAAAGATTCAGAGAGATGTAATTTCTATCCCAACTGTTTGGGGGCAATCCAGATCCTCCAATCTAGTAGCTTTGCCTGCTCACTTTGAATTTTCCTGGATGACAGTTGTGGCCATTTGCCCAGCAGCTCCGGAATATCGAATTTGTTCGCAGTTTAAGAGTTCAGGTTGTGCAAGAGTTCAGATGCCTAAGGAGAAGAGCAGCAAGGCGAAGGACGGGGCTGAGCCACCCACAAAGCGGCAGAGGAAGGATCGCCGGGAGCGCAAGGAGCGCAAGAATGGCAAGGAGGTAATCCCCGCCGGAGGAGGAGAAGGAGAAGGAGGAGGAGGAGGAGCTGGTCCAAGGGTGAGGAACAGGTCGTCCACCCCCTCGTTCGCCACGGAGAGCGAGTCCAGCTACTCGGACTCCAGCTTCACCTCCACCACATCCTTCAGCTTCTCCAGCTCCACCAGCAGCAGCTCCTCGTCCAGCGACAGCGATGAGGAGCCGGAGGGCTCCACCAGGAAGCCGGATGGCCCGAAGCCCTCCTGCTGCCGCCATCGGCACTATCACCGCCATCGGCGCCACCACCACTCCTCGCGCCACCCGCACCGCCGATGTGGGCGTGGCAGTTGCCACCATCGCTCCGCACACGGCCGCTCCACGAAGCGCTCCTCCAGGAAGGGGCGTCGCGGCGCCACCCACTCCTCCACCAAGGCGCCACTTGTGATCAAGGAGGAGGCCCCAGCCGCGCAGGCCATCCTGATACCGGATCCCATTCCCCTGCCCGTGCCGGCTCCCATTCCGGCCGTCCTCGCCACGCATCCACATCCGCAACCGCATCCGCAGCCTGTGCCGGCTCCCGCTCTAGCCCCTGCTCCTGCTCCTGCCCCTGTTCCTGCTCCTGGTCATGCTCTTGGTCCGGTGGCCAAGCCAGCTCCCCAAACGGTGCCCATGGAGCATCATCACCGCAAGACGCGCGTGCGCAGCTCCGGTTCCGGCTTGCAGAACCTCATCCCGGCCACCAGCAGCCACAACCAGGCCGTCTTCCAGTCGAATACCGTCACCGTCACCAAGAGCACCGCCACTCCCACTGCCGCTCCAACCGCCATAACCATGCCCAGTGATGACCAGACGATGGGCAATTCCTCTGAAGGCAAAATCAAGGTCGGCGGTGCCCGATCCTCCGGCACGAAGATACCCCTTGCCAATGCCATGGCCAGCAAGTCCGCCAACCAGGTCAAGACCACGGTGGCCTGCTCCTCTTCGAAAGCTCTGGCAAAGCCTGTTAATCCCAATTCGAGCCACTCCAATGTCAACCCCCCCACCGGCACCAAGAATCCGGAGACCTGCAAGATTAGGACTTCCAACAATGAGCGACCGCGTCGTGGACCTACCACGCCCACTGGTCCGGCACCAAAGCGTCAGTGGGATGATGAGCGGAGTGATGGCTACCAGTGGAAACAGCGGCGCAATCGTAGTTTCGAAGGATCAGGAGGAGGCGGAGGAGGGGGAGACAGTGGAGGAATCAGAGTAGAACGAAGAGGAGAAGGAGGTGATGGAGGTGGTGGAGGAACCGACACCGAGGACAGCCAAGTGGCCTACCGCAACGGCAAGCCCACCATCAGATTCCGGCAGCCCGTCCGCATTGTGCGTCTCCACATCAAGGGACTCACCCGCCAGGTGACCAAGGAGCACATCACCGAGATCTTCGGCCACTTTGGCGCCCTCACCGCCGTCGACTTTCCCATGGACCGCTACCAGAGGCGCCAGGGGCGTGACTACGCCTTCGTGGAGTACGCCCGTCCCGAGGACTGCGCCTGCGCCATCAAGCACATGAACGGCGGCCTGATCGACGGCAAGCGGGTCACGGTGTCTGCCTTCCAGGAGCGCATGCTGAAGGCTCCGTGGAGCCACTACCGCCGCTACTCGCCGGTGAATCGCCGCCAGCGCCACAACTTGCCGTCCCACTCTCGCTCACGCTCCCACTCCCTATCGCGCTTCCTGTCCCGCTCCCGTTCGCCGAACTTCTCCCGATCCCGCACCCGTTCCCGCTCACGTTCCCGCTCGCGTTACAATCGACGCTACCGCACCCCCTCCCGATCACGCTTTTCACACGGTCGCTCGTCGCCGCATTACCAACGCACCGCATCACGTTCGCCTTAGGCAGGTCGCTCTGTGGCCGAGGACGCACTGTAGGAAGAGCCATTTAGATGACAGCGAAGTACAGCCAGTCCCATACAAATAAAGACTCCATGCAACAAAATGTGGTTGGGGATTTGTTTTTTTGGGGCCCTTAAAAGGCCCGAAGACAATCTCCCTATTTCAAAAACAAACAAGAAAGGAAAGCTAACTTCGGGTGGAGCCGAAGTTAATATACCCTTGCAGAATATTCTGAAAATTGTATTGGTTGGTGAAAAAAACCCATAAAAAATCTCAAATTTCTAACTTTAAAAACACCAAAGTTTTGACATTTCCGATCGTTCAGTTATATGGCAGCTATAGGATATAGTCAGCCGATCTTTATTTTGGTAGATCGGATTGATTGGCCAAAAATAAAACCCATAGAAAATCCCAACTTTCTAACTATACAAACATCAAAGTTATGGCTTTTCCGATCAATCAGTTGTATGACAGCTATAGGATATAGTCGGCCGATCCCGGCCGTTCCGATTTATATACTGCGTGCAAAGGAAAGAAGGTGCAAAGTTTCAATTCGATATCTTTAAAACTTTGCGTATAAACAGACAGACGGACAGACAGACGGACAGACGGACATGGCTATATCAACTCAGGAGGTGATCCTGATCAAGAATATATATACTTTATAGGGTCGGAGATGTCTCCTTCTTTGCGTTGCACACTTTTGACCAAAATTATAATACCCTCTGCAAGGGTATAAAAATGCAAATCTGTTCGATCAGGACAGAGGGCTAAATTTAAAATTCAGGAAGACTGGCCATTGCTAGTTTATACCACAATTTAAAAAGCATCGCTTTAAAAAAGCATCGACTATAGATCGTTTCCATCGATCGCTTTAGGCCCGAAACCTGATCCCACCTGATTTTGAGGATTTGCCCAATTTCAGAGCTCTAGCTCGATTTGTATTCTCGCTGAATTTCCACTTTGTGTTGAATTGATTCATTCATCAGACATCAATCAACCCATTTCCTCGAAATAATTTTCTCTCAAATAATACAGATTTTTTTTAAGGAAAGGCTCGAAACATTATCGTGTGGTTGCTTTTTTGTAATAAATTTTAATTTGTAGTTATATTTTCATCATTTGTTTTTGTGGTTTGCTTGTTTTGTTTTTTAATATATATTGTACATATAAAAAACTCCTAAGCGGAATTTTTACCTAATTTGCTTGTATAGCATTCAATTTTCATGTTCACAATATTGGTATAAATATATTTACATATGTGTATGGTAATCAATTTTATATTTATATTACGCATTTAGTTTAGTTTAGTTACGCTCGTTTTTCAACTCATTTTAGTGGAATTTTCAACAAAAGTCAACAATTAAACCAATATTTGTTCAAATTAACTTACATATTTTGGATTAGTAGTTAGTCAATTTAGGTTACACATCATAAATATTTGCTTTACTCTTGTATTTACTTAGGTAATGCTACAGTTACATTCATAAATAAGTTCTCAGTTTTTAGAGCTTTTATAAGTTTCTTTACGCGTTTGTTTTTTAATTTTGCTAATACAGTTGAAATAATTTCATGAAGTATTTTCTTGTTAGTTTTTTTTATAATATATATTTTAGTTTTATAAATTAATTTAAGTATATCGTATTCATTTTAATGTTTTTTTTTATTTTCTATTTCAACTTAAAAACAAGCGTTAGTTGCAAATTTGGTTTTTGTACAAATAAGTAAAAACATCAACTTAATGTACATAAGACCCCAAAAACCAACATTGTTAGATGCTGTGGATGTTTCTTTGTGTACGTGTTGTTATGTGGCAGTTTGTGTGCTTTAACATATATTGGACAAATAAGTACTTGCGAAACTTAAACAGAGTGGTTAGTTTAAACTTTAAAGGGATTAAACAGAAGAGAAAGATTTGGTTCATGACTCAATTTGCTGCGCTTGCAAGAAAAGTTAAGTAACAACGTAAGGTAATTTGGAAAGGGATTTGTATTTTTATGTTTTCAAAAACAATGGATATGCTTTTAGATTTTGTGAATAGATCGTTACAAATATTTAAAGATGTTATTCGCTATTGAAAATCGACTTCCCTCATGACACTGAGCAAAGAAATTCTTTTAATAAGGGCTTAAGCAAAGGCTAAGATTTTGAGTTTTGGTTTAGGTTTAGTTCGCCTTTAAAGCTTTTTCGATTACTTAATGACCTCGTATATATAAGTATGTAAATAGTTGATTTCAATGGGCGCTTGCGACTTCTCCAAGGTTCCTTCCCTTTTCTTCACTTCACACTTAATACTTTCTTGTTAGTTACACGTATGTTTCATAATGTTTTAATAATTAGATTTATTATGATATATAAATCGTATATATATGCAGTTGTTACTCTATATATGTATGCCTGATTGTTGTGCATGTTGTTCAGTTTATAAACTCAATTGGAACGCTGTCTCTGACTTCTACGAAAAACTAAACAGAAACACTATAATGTCATATGTAAAGCGTATGTTAGTGGTTTTAATTTAAAGAAATTACGATTGGATTAAATTAAAAACTGTACAAAATGCCATAAAATTATATAACAAACAAGTTTGGTCACGAATTTGGTTCGAAGCACGCTATCATCTCTGTCCATCTCTGCCTTATCCAAAACAAAATACTGTTAGTCTATTGCAAGCCCAATTACACTATATAAAAAAATACAATAATAATTTTACAATCGAAAACTGATTAGCTTCTATAACTTGTACACGCCTGGCAGCAGCAGCGACTTTGCGCCAATGCAACTACGTATGTCCTATGTAGAGTATGTGCTATGTCTTGTATACATTGTCTTGTTATGGATTATGTGACTATGCGTGTATTTATATATATTAAATATGTGGATTAGACGTGCATCATGCTGGGGAGTCTCTTGCGTTGCGTCTTTCTTGTTAGAGTTTTTGTGGCTTAGTTGCTGCTCGCATTTCTATCCTTCTCTTTTAGTTCTGCTTGTCGTTACTGTTGCGGTTTAGGAAACGTTGCCTCTGGTCTTTACGTTCTTATTGTTGTAGGTTGCTTTTGCTTTATGTTCCTTAAGGTAGTATTCACTCATCCACCGAAGACGTTGGAGGACTGTAACTGCATCAAGAAGCGCTGCGCTGCTCGTTCTCCGGCCTGCGATCTGTGGCGATCTGCAGAAGATTATTGAACTCGGTATCGAGTATTTGGCGAGCCTACCCAGAAAAATAATTATTAGTTATTAACCTAAAAAGTAGCGTTTGTCTGGCTCACCTGAGCATTTTGTGTGGGTATTTGGAGGGCCAACCCCATAGCATTGGCATCGAATCCCTCGTCTAGGGCCATTAGTCCTCCATGCACTCCCGATTCGAGCAAGTTATTGGCATATTCCTGTAAAAAGTCGTTGTTTAAATTGATTTCCATCGAAGACTGATCATCCTGGCTGTGACACTCACCTTCAATCCGATGCTGCCCACCCACCGTATGACCCTCTCGTTGCTCCAGACGAGCACATCGCACAGACCGTTTTCACTCATCTTGCGCCTGTGCTCCAGCTCCGTGCGATCATAGTTAAGGCGCTTGAGCATCGATATGCCGTACTGCAGGCTGGTGCGATGGAAGCTGTCTACCATTTTGAGCTGACCGCGCAAGTCCTTCTTGGTGAGATGGTCCAGCATGCGGGCATCGACCAGACACTCCATGAAGGTTGTGCGATATTGTGGCAGGCCCAGACCAGGCAACCAATAGTTTCCAATCCACTCATGGTTCATATCGCCTGCAGAAAAAGAGGGGACAATAATTTTAAGTTTAAAACAATTTTTTAGTTTCATAAAAATTGATAGTTTAATTAAGCTGAAAGGCTTTTTTATTTTAACTTAAAAAGATTTTTTCAATTTAAAATTAAAAGGTTGAAACTTTTAACTTAAACGTGTTTTGATTTTACCATTCTCCCTGCAAATTATGAAGTCTTACCAAATGCCAAGGTTGTCCGTGAGGTTTGTGGCGCCGAGGGAGAGGTCAGTGAAACCATTTCCTGAATGGCCAGGCGCAGCTTGGAGCCGGTGCAAGGGATTGCTGATGCCTGTCGAAGAAAAAGGTTACTCATCGAAAGCCATGAAGACACCCAGGATCCTCACCGATTTCCCGCTGAATTTCCGTGTCGCTTAGCGCACTCATGATGGCCCCGGACTTGACGTTGGCCCGACAGGCGGCCACATACCAGGCGGGCATGCCCACCCACAGCTCCAACCAGGCCACGATGGTGGGGCCGTTCCAGAGGGCAAATGGAGTGCCCGCCTTCATAGCCTCGCCCAGCAAATCATTGCGATAGTCGTGCTCCCTGAAAAAAATAAATCATGTTAGCGTACATCTTTAGATTAAGCAATATCAGCTTTATGCTCACTTCTTCTGCCTGCCGTAGTCAACACTGCTTATTTTTGATCCTTGGGAGCTGGCTATTCGGGGCATCATGCCCCCAGTCATGCTCATAGCATCGTAGTTGGAGTCCACCTCGCTCAGTCCGATCGACAGGTTGCCGATGGACATCATGCTGGGCGAGCCGTCAGGCAATGTATCCTTCACGCCTTTGACCTTCTCCTTTTTGCTGAAGAACCTTCCCAGCGAGGACTTGATGCCCTTTTTCTTCTGCACAGCAGCAGCTGCCGCATCCCTGGACACGCCGGAGGTCGGCGTCTGCAGCATGGACATGGAGCCCATGGTGTTGTAGTGGCGCAACGACTCCTGGCTGCCGTAACGGGAGCTAAGCGGTGACAGCCCGTAACTGTGGCTGCTCAGCGGCATGTGACCCCCACTGTGATTGGGCGCCACCGGGGCACTGGGATTGAGGCCAATCGAACGGCGCCTCAGCTCCTCTTGGCTGTGGGCCAGGGCTTGGGCCACACGCTCCAGGCGCATGGAGCGGGCGGTCAGTGGAGAAGCAGCTCCACCGGAGCTTGAATCACCTGTGGTAGACATGCCGCCATGGAGCTCCTCGCGGGACGCATCACTGGACAGTACGGGCAAGTTGAGCTGACATGAAAGCGAAAGTATTATAGTTAATAATAGAGCAGGCAGATATTACTAACAAGAAAGGAAAGCTAACTTCGGGCGGAGCCGAAGTTGATATACCCTTGCAGAATACTCTGTAAATTATATTCTCCAAAATTATTCATATGATGCATTCTTAATACTCATAAAAAATCCCAACTTCCTAACTTTAAAAACACCAAAGTTATGACATTTCCAATCGTTCAGTTATATGGCAGCTATAGGATATAATCGGCCGATCCTTATGAAATTTGGTAGGTTGGCTGGCCAAATATAACACCCATAGAAAATGCCGACTTCCTAACTTTACAAACACCAAAGTTATGGCATTTCCGATCAATCAGTTATATGGCAGCTATAGGATATAGTCGGCCGATCCTTATGAAATTCGGCATGTCGGATTGATTAGCCAAATATAAAACCCATAGAAAATCCCAACATTCTAACTTTACAAACACCAAAGTTATGGCATTTCCGATCAATCAGTTATATGGAAGCTATAGGATATAGTCGGCCGATCCTTATGAAATTCGGCATGTCGGATTGATTAGCCAAATACAAAACCCATAGAAAATCCCAACTTCCTAACTTTACAAACACCAAAGTTATGGCATTTCCGATCGTTCAGTTATATTTTTTTTAAGGAAAGGCTCGAAACATTATCGTGTGGTTGCTTTTTTGTAATAAATTTTAATTTGTAGTTATATTTTCATCATTTGTTTTTGTGGTTTGCTTGTTTTGTTTTTTAATATATATTGTACATATAAAAAACTCCTAAGCGGAATTTTTACCTAATTTGCTTGTATAGCATTCAATTTTCATGTTCACAATATTGGTATAAATATATTTACATATGTGTATGGTAATCAATTTTATATTTATATTACGCATTTAGTTTAGTTTAGTTACGCTCGTTTTTCAACTCATTTTAGTGGAATTTTCAACAAAAGTCAACAATTAAACCAATATTTGTTCAAATTAACTTACATATTTTGGATTAGTAGTTAGTCAATTTAGGTTACACATCATAAATATTTGCTTTACTCTTGTATTTACTTAGGTAATGCTACAGTTACATTCATAAATAAGTTCTCAGTTTTTAGAGCTTTTATAAGTTTCTTTACGCGTTTGTTTTTTAATTTTGCTAATACAGTTGAAATAATTTCATGAAGTATTTTCTTGTTAGTTTTTTTTTAATATATATTTTAGTTTTATAAATTAATTTAAGTATATCGTATTCATTTTAATGTTTTTTTTATTTTCTATTTCAACTTAAAAACAAGCGTTAGTTGCAAATTTGGTTTTTGTACAAATAAGTAAAAACATCAACTTAATGTACATAAGACCCCAAAAACCAACATTGTTAGATGCTGTGGATGTTTCTTTGTGTACGTGTTGTTATGTGGCAGTTTGTGTGCTTTAACATATATTGGACAAATAAGTACTTGCGAAACTTAAACAGAGTGGTTAGTTTAAACTTTAAAGGGATTAAACAGAAGAGAAAGATTTGGTTCATGACTCAATTTGCTGCGCTTGCAAGAAAAGTTAAGTAACAACGTAAGGTAATTTGGAAAGGGATTTGTATTTTTATGTTTTCAAAAACAATGGATATGCTTTTAGATTTTGTGAATAGATCGTTACAAATATTTAAAGATGTTATTCGCTATTGAAAATCGACTTCCCTCATGACACTGAGCAAAGAAATTCTTTTAATAAGGGCTTAAGCAAAGGCTAAGATTTTGAGTTTTGGTTTAGGTTTAGTTCGCCTTTAAAGCTTTTTCGATTACTTAATGACCTCGTATATATAAGTATGTAAATAGTTGATTTCAATGGGCGCTTGCGACTTCTCCAAGGTTCCTTCCCTTTTCTTCACTTCACACTTAATACTTTCTTGTTAGTTACACGTATGTTTCATAATGTTTTAATAATTAGATTTATTATGATATATAAATCGTATATATATGCAGTTGTTACTCTATATATGTATGCCTGATTGTTGTGCATGTTGTTCAGTTTATAAACTCAATTGGAACGCTGTCTCTGACTTCTACGAAAAACTAAACAGAAACACTATAATGTCATATGTAAAGCGTATGTTAGTGGTTTTAATTTAAAGAAATTACGATTGGATTAAATTAAAAACTGTACAAAATGCCATAAAATTATATAACAAACAAGTTTGGTCACGAATTTGGTTCGAAGCACGCTATCATCTCTGTCCATCTCTGCCTTATCCAAAACAAAATACTGTTAGTCTATTGCAAGCCCAATTACACTATATAAAAAAATACAATAATAATTTTACAATCGAAAACTGATTAGCTTCTATAACTTGTACACGCCTGGCAGCAGCAGCGACTTTGCGCCAATGCAACTACGTATGTCCTATGTAGAGTATGTGCTATGTCTTGTATACATTGTCTTGTTATGGATTATGTGACTATGCGTGTATTTATATATATTAAATATGTGGATTAGACGTGCATCATGCTGGGGAGTCTCTTGCGTTGCGTCTTTCTTGTTAGAGTTTTTGTGGCTTAGTTGCTGCTCGCATTTCTATCCTTCTCTTTTAGTTCTGCTTGTCGTTACTGTTGCGGTTTAGGAAACGTTGCCTCTGGTCTTTACGTTCTTATTGTTGTAGGTTGCTTTTGCTTTATGTTCCTTAAGGTAGTATTCACTCATCCACCGAAGACGTTGGAGGACTGTAACTGCATCAAGAAGCGCTGCGCTGCTCGTTCTCCGGCCTGCGATCTGTGGCGATCTGCAGAAGATTATTGAACTCGGTATCGAGTATTTGGCGAGCCTACCCAGAAAAATAATTATTAGTTATTAACCTAAAAAGTAGCGTTTGTCTGGCTCACCTGAGCATTTTGTGTGGGTATTTGGAGGGCCAACCCCATAGCATTGGCATCGAATCCCTCGTCTAGGGCCATTAGTCCTCCATGCACTCCCGATTCGAGCAAGTTATTGGCATATTCCTGTAAAAAGTCGTTGTTTAAATTGATTTCCATCGAAGACTGATCATCCTGGCTGTGACACTCACCTTCAATCCGATGCTGCCCACCCACCGTATGACCCTCTCGTTGCTCCAGACGAGCACATCGCACAGACCGTTTTCACTCATCTTGCGCCTGTGCTCCAGCTCCGTGCGATCATAGTTAAGGCGCTTGAGCATCGATATGCCGTACTGCAGGCTGGTGCGATGGAAGCTGTCTACCATTTTGAGCTGACCGCGCAAGTCCTTCTTGGTGAGATGGTCCAGCATGCGGGCATCGACCAGACACTCCATGAAGGTTGTGCGATATTGTGGCAGGCCCAGACCAGGCAACCAATAGTTTCCAATCCACTCATGGTTCATATCGCCTGCAGAAAAAGAGGGGACAATAATTTTAAGTTTAAAACAATTTTTTAGTTTCATAAAAATTGATAGTTTAATTAAGCTGAAAGGCTTTTTTATTTTAACTTAAAAAGATTTTTTCAATTTAAAATTAAAAGGTTGAAACTTTTAACTTAAACGTGTTTTGATTTTACCATTCTCCCTGCAAATTATGAAGTCTTACCAAATGCCAAGGTTGTCCGTGAGGTTTGTGGCGCCGAGGGAGAGGTCAGTGAAACCATTTCCTGAATGGCCAGGCGCAGCTTGAGCCGGTGCAAGGGATTGCTGATGCCTGTCGAAGAAAAAGGTTACTCATCGAAAGCCATGAAGACACCCAGGATCCTCACCGATTTCCCGCTGAATTTCCGTGTCGCTTAGCGCACTCATGATGGCCCCGGACTTGACGTTGGCCCGACAGGCGGCCACATACCAGGCGGGCATGCCCACCCACAGCTCCAACCAGGCCACGATGGTGGGGCCGTTCCAGAGGGCAAATGGAGTGCCCGCCTTCATAGCCTCGCCCAGCAAATCATTGCGATAGTCGTGCTCCCTGAAAAAATAAATCATGTTAGCGTACATCTTTAGATTAAGCAATATCAGCTTTATGCTCACTTCTTCTGCCTGCCGTAGTCAACACTGCTTATTTTTGATCCTTGGGAGCTGGCTATTCGGGGCATCATGCCCCCAGTCATGCTCATAGCATCGTAGTTGGAGTCCACCTCGCTCAGTCCGATCGACAGGTTGCCGATGGACATCATGCTGGGCGAGCCGTCAGGCAATGTATCCTTCACGCCTTTGACCTTCTCCTTTTTGCTGAAGAACCTTCCCAGCGAGGACTTGATGCCCTTTTTCTTCTGCACAGCAGCAGCTGCCGCATCCCTGGACACGCCGGAGGTCGGCGTCTGCAGCATGGACATGGAGCCCATGGTGTTGTAGTGGCGCAACGACTCCTGGCTGCCGTAACGGGAGCTAAGCGGTGACAGCCCGTAACTGTGGCTGCTCAGCGGCATGTGACCCCCACTGTGATTGGGCGCCACCGGGGCACTGGGATTGAGGCCAATCGAACGGCGCCTCAGCTCCTCTTGGCTGTGGGCCAGGGCTTGGGCCACACGCTCCAGGCGCATGGAGCGGGCGGTCAGTGGAGAAGCAGCTCCACCGGAGCTTGAATCACCTGTGGTAGACATGCCGCCATGGAGCTCCTCGCGGGACGCATCACTGGACAGTACGGGCAAGTTGAGCTGACATGAAAGCGAAAGTATTATAGTTAATAATAGAGCAGGCAGATATTACTAACAAGAAAGGAAAGCTAACTTCGGGCGGAGCCGAAGTTGATATACCCTTGCAGAATACTCTGTAAATTATATTCTCCAAAATTATTCATATGATGCATTCTTAATACTCATAAAAAATCCCAACTTCCTAACTTTAAAAACACCAAAGTTATGACATTTCCAATCGTTCAGTTATATGGCAGCTATAGGATATAATCGGCCGATCCTTATGAAATTTGGTAGGTTGGCTGGCCAAATATAACACCCATAGAAAATGCCGACTTCCTAACTTTACAAACACCAAAGTTATGGCATTTCCGATCAATCAGTTATATGGCAGCTATAGGATATAGTCGGCCGATCCTTATGAAATTCGGCATGTCGGATTGATTAGCCAAATATAAAACCCATAGAAAATCCCAACATTCTAACTTTACAAACACCAAAGTTATGGCATTTCCGATCAATCAGTTATATGGAAGCTATAGGATATAGTCGGCCGATCCTTATGAAATTCGGCATGTCGGATTGATTAGCCAAATACAAAACCCATAGAAAATCCCAACTTCCTAACTTTACAAACACCAAAGTTATGGCATTTCCGATCGTTCAGTTATATGGCAGCTATAGGATATAGTCGGCCGATCCCGGCCGTTCCGACTTATATACTGCGTGCAAAGGAAAGAAGGGTGTGTGCAAAGTTTCAATTCGATATCTTTAAAACTGAGAGACTAGTTCGCGTAGAAACAGACAGACGGACAGACAGACGGACAGACGGACAGACGGACAGACGGACAGACGGACATGGCTATATCAACTCAGGAGGTGATCCTGATCAAGAATATATATACTTTATAGGGTCGGAGATGTCTCCTTCACTGCGTTGCACACTTTTGACCAAAATTATAATACCCTCTGCAAGGGTATAAAAACAATGAAGCTATGTCGATTTTGCAGCAAAATACATTTTTTTTAAATATATATTTTTTTTAATTTTTTGATTTTTTTATGAGAGCTATATGAGCTACTATATACTTAAAAAAAATTTTTTTTCCGAATGTTGCTATGGGAGCTATATGATATAGTCGCCCGATCCGTCTCGTTCCGACTTATATACTACCTGCAATAGAAAGACAACTTTTGGGAAATTTTCAATAGCTTTAAAACTAAGGGACTAGAAACGGAAAGAAGGACACACGGAAATGGCAAGATCGACTCTCCTGGTGAAGCTGATCAAGAATATATACACTTTATAGGGTCAGAAATGTCTCCTGCTTTGCAAACTTTTAATACCCTCTGCAAGGGTATACCCAATTATACTATTATATTATATATACACAATTAAGCCACTCACCGTATGATACTTTTGCATGAAATCCCTCTGCGGGCTGTTTGGCGTGCTCCGTCCACTCATGGGCGGACTTTGCCTGTCCATGGAGCGACCGCGGGACAGCAGGTTGACGTGCTCCAGACTGCCCACACGCGACTCCAGCTCTTCGGCCCGCGCCTCCGTCGACTGCTTCTCCTCCTGGATCAAGCGAATCTCGTTGTTGATGGCGTCCAACTGCTCCTGCAGCATCATGGCCAGTGTCTGGGCATCCGTGTGACCCGACGGAGACATCATGTCCGCCGTGGCCGCCGCGTATAGGACATCCGCCTCATCGCAATCCGCAGCACTAGCCACCAGCTCGTAGGCCTGTTGCTGGGCGTGCGCCGCCTGCTGGAGCTTCTCCCACTCCTGCTCGGCCATCGAGCGAACCAGGGCGTTCTCCTCGGACAGGCGCTGTTTGCTCTGGCGCCGCAGCGAGTGCGTCTCAAAGCTGGCGTGCGAGTTGCTCCGGCTGAAGGCTCCACTTGGGTCCACTACGCTGCTTGGCGAGAGGCTCCGGGTGAGCGCCTCCGTCTGCTGGATGTTGTAGGCGATCTCCTGCTGCAGCAGCTGGCGCTTAAAGTTCTCTATCTCCAGCCGCGTCTTCGACAGTTCTTTCATGATTTCGCTCTTCTCGTGGTGCAGTTCCTCGGCCACTTTGCGCGCCTTTTCCAGCTCCTGGGTGAGGGCATTCTTCTCGTCCAGCGCATGCATGCGCTCCTTCAGGTGCACCTGCAGCCGCTCGTTGGACTCCGAGAGCAGTTTGTCCACCGTGGAGGAGAGCCGCAGGTTGTGCTCCTCGTTCATCTTGAGACGCTGGTTCAGTCTTACCACCTCGCCAGTCTTCTCGTCCAGGTTTGTTTCGAGTCCCCGGATGCGGTCCTCCGCTGAACCGTGTCTTTCTTGAGCCTGCAAATGGTTCGAGCCAGCGAGTTTAATGAGCTTGTTCACGAGGTTCAATCAGTGGCAGTGAGAAATGTTAGTTTGGGTTTTAGTAATGAAAGCTAAAAGTGAGTGATCCCTCATGTATACCAACAATAAATTCTGATGAATTTAATAAGACTTTTAGTCAATGAAAAATATAATTTAAGCTACAAGAAAATGGCTGAGCAATTCAAGGGGATGAAATGGCCAAATTGTAAATTTCAAAAAAGTCTAAAGTCTTCGCAATTATTGCAAGGAATTTTACATTTAAACTTTACATAGAATGGTAATAAGCTAAGTTAACTTAAAACAATTTACACATATGTACACATAATGTCCTAATCAAACAGTGAAACAAGGCACAGTTTAAATGGTCATTAGAAAGTATTCATAATTGGCATACAGAGGGGATTTGGTCTGATTTTGATTGGGTTTCGAGTGCGTGAGAGTGAAAGTTGCAGTACAGAAAGAGAAACAGTAGATATAGATCATAGAGACAGACTTGTTGTTGAAGTTTTTGGTGTAGGTTTCTTGTGTTGGATAGTACGCAAAAGAAAAGAGCATTACACAAAATAGAGTTCAAGTTGTACGGGATAATAATTGTTGATACTTGTCATATGGAACCTGTCCGGCGCGCATATTAGTTCGAGTGCATACCTTGTTTCCTACCTTAGTCAATGCCTCCATGCGTGCCTTTAGCTGCTCCTCCATGTCAGGCTGCAGCTTGGCGTGCTGGGCGAGCTTCTGCTCTGAGAGCTCCAGCTTCTCCTCGATGGCCCCGATCTTCTCCTCGTGCAGCTGATTCGGTTTCGGAATCGGCATTGACATTGTGGCATGGAGTGTTGAGGTTCGTGTTTGGGGCGGATGTGTTCGATTAGTTGACGGGGGATTGGTTGCGTATGCAAATGCAATTGATTAGTCACGCTTGAGGGAACTTAATGAGAGAGAAGGCTTGGGCGCAATTAAAAGTAGAGTGGTTCGAATTTAAGTCACAGGAGCAGATGTAGCTCTTCAAAACATTTTAAGAACTAATTTGCAAAACTTTTACAAATAACATTGCTTTAAACATATATATTTAATCTTTAAAATTTTCAACAAACTTTTACTTTTGAAAATTATCGATCAATCTGATTAACAATAACATATGTATAGGAAGGTTACTTTAATATTTAATCCCGTTTCTGTGACAACAAAAATCGATCCTCTGTACATACAAGTTAATATAATTTGCCAGCCTTGACCGTAAACCCAGTGATAATTATCTTTTTTTTACCCACCTTGAGCTGCGCCTCCTTGTGCCGAAGCTCCTGCTCTAGTTTTTCGTTGAGATCATGCAACGATGTGGACTCCCTTTGAGCATTCAGGTAGCGCTTCTCCAGTGTGGTAATGCGCTCCTCCTGAATTTAAACAGGTTTAAAAACATCTATGACAATATGCTTTGCATTATCCTCTCACCTGATCCTCTTTTTGGGCCACATTTTCGCGCAAATCTCGCTGCAGCTTGGCGCACTGGTCCTGGGCTTTACAGTGATCTTTTTGCACTCGCGACATGTTTTCCTCCAACTCGCTGATCTTGTTGTTCAGATCTGACACCCGCCGCTGCCATTGCGAGAGTTCCGAGGTCTTAAGAAAAAAAAGGACGATTAACACCTCGATAGCAGATGCAGACTCTGAAGTGCCCCTTTGACCCTCACCTGCTTCTCGATGATCGTTTGCAGTTCATGGGTCTTGGCCGCGTAGTCGTTTAGCTCATTCGTCTCGCCATTGACTCCGCCAGATCCGGCCACGCCCGCCATCTAGTGTTCCAGAGAAAAGAGTACATTTAAAATCGTCTTGGTTGAATGCATTTTGTGAGATAAGCGCACCTTCTCTTTGAGGCCGTTCTCCGCGCCTCCACCTCCGGCGGTGCCAGAGGCACTCCCCGCTCCGCCGCCACTGCCCACGCCTGCAGGCACCACACCAGCCTTGTACTGGGCCAGCTCCTCCTTGGCGGAGCTGAGTTCCTCCTCCATCATGTTATTCTTCTCAATGGAGAGCCGCAGCCGCTCGCGCACCTTCTCGTCCAGCGCCTTGTGGTGCTCGAACAGCGACTTGAGCGCCTTGAGCACCTCCACCTCGCTGGAGACACCACTTTGGGCGGCGGCCTGTCGCTTTACAACGGTCATTCGCAGGGAACGCTCATGGCGGGAAACCAAGCACTCCAGGTGCTCCAAGAGAAGCTAGAATAATCAGATTTGGACAGTGTAATAGCTTGAAGATCCAGCTAAATAAATATTTATCATATTAATTGGTAATGAGTGGTAAGGAATAGAGCGCAATCCTGTAGCAAACTCTCTAATCCTTCCATTTTGCATACCCTAGGTAATTTCCATTTATGTGTTTGTTACTCTGTGATGAGTATTTTTGTCAGACCTGCAATTTTGTCTATAGATTCTTATGCTTAAATTAATTTATGTTTAAATGTATAGTAGTTTTTAAAAGTCTCGTTTATATATGCACAAAAAAACACAAATAGACATCTCACACATACAGAAACATGGATGTGACTGAAATACACATTGAATGTGTATATAAACTTTTGTAAGAGTGAACATTTAAAATTCCGCAAACAGTCCCAATCAAATTAGATTTTAATCGCAAGTTTAAAATAAAATCTTTAAATACTGCATATAAAAAGTATACAACACTTCTGTTGTAATAACGTATTCTAGGCGACCAGAAAAATAATTTTAAAGTAGGAAGAGTATTAAATTCACTGGGGTGCTCATGGTCTGCTTATGAAAGTGTAAACTATTTGGAGAAAAGGACAATAGGTGCAAAAATATTTTGGTGAAAAACACCGAAGACCTGAATACCAAAATCGTTTATGAATTTCGCAAAAGTTCACAGATATATGGATAATAGTCGCTATTAACATTTTTTTATAATACCTTTCGGGCAAATTAATTTTGTATACATTTAGCTTGTACATTCTTTGAATGCTAACTTTTTCATATGGGAGCACCTCCGTAAAATAATGAACATGTTGTAGAGTCTTACCCTGGTATTGTTGCGCTCTGCCTTGAGCTCCCCGATCTCCTCGTCCCGCTCCAACAGGGTCTCCCGCGCCTGCGTCAGCTCCTTGGTGAGGGTGGCGAACTCCTGGAAACACAAGGATCAGATGGTTAGAAGCCCTCGGCATGTATACGCAGACCCAATTCACCTGCGGCAGATTGGCATTGATCTGGCGCTGCAGGCTATCCCGCTCCTTCTCCACGTCGTGCAGCTTGTTCTCCGTCTCGCCGAGCCGCTCCTGCGCCTCCCTTAGGCTGTCCATCAACTTGTCCCGCTCGTCCAGCATGGAGACCATCAACTGCTCGAAGTTGGCGTCCTCCCCGCTGAACTGCGAGGAGCGCTGCGAGATGCTGTCCTCGGATATCGTGGGCATTACGTCGCACATCATGTTCCACATTATTTAGTTGGGGCCGCCAGACTGTGCGAAGAAAGGCAAAGAGACGTTAAAGATTATATATATTTTCTAAATTCAAAAACATGTGATCCTCATGGTTTTTTCTCAGTTTTAATCCTGCTTTTAGGTGCGAAAAACAAGCCTAAGATTGTCAAATACTTTAAGTTTTATAATTATCCTTTTAAATTATGTACCTAATTTTTAAATTTCCTTGTCCCTTATTTATTATGGGGTACAAAAAGTAAGCTCAAAACATGTTTTAGTGGAATCCGTCTGTAATGTAAATTAAAATTTGTTGGGTGATATTACAATAGTAATAGTTTTTGTGGACGTTGACTCTTTTTCACATTCAGTTATCGCAGGATATGAAAATTCGACACAGTAAGATGTCAACATTTGGTAGAGCTTATTTTTAAAATAATTCACATTTTAGGCAAATGGGAAAATGTGTGCCAGTGGAGTCCGGCTGTTACATACACATACACTGAAACACAAGTTCGCTCGCTATTACAATTGGAATGCCCAGCATAGTGGGAGAAACATGTCTAATGAGACTTATCATAGGCGCCGCATTGATAACAAGTTTTCTACACCAACACTCACGCACACTAGCACATGCACGGCATACACACTCACACGCACACTCACACTCACACAGCACTTTTTCTCTTTCGCATAACTGGCATATTTTTTGTGCCTAGGTGTGTCGGTGTCGCATTTTGCAACCACTAATGCCCGAAACAGGGTTAAAACGGCAGCAGGTGCGAGTTTATTACGAATTTGTTTCTGTTTAAATGGCTTTATCACCATAAAATTCCGTTTTGAGGGACGGCGTTTGTGCGAAAAAAAAGCTGCGAGAAAAGAGCTCCACACTTCCCAATCCGCTGTAAAACGTACCCCGATCGATCACACGGCGGCTGGGCAGCAGCAGCAACAACAACTCTGGCCGCGTTTTAGCCTTCGCATAGGTCTCCCGGCTGCTTTTAATTAAATAAACCAAATTCCAAAGAGGTTTTTTTCCCCAATTTACGATTGTAAAGAAACTAGAGATGGAATTGCCCGATTGGTCTGGCAGCGCTTGTCGTAAAAACTCTGTTAGCTCTTTAATCGATTAAAAAACGGCGAGGGCTGCCATCTCGCCAAAAAGGTCTGGCAATACTGACATGTAAATAACATTTTTTGAGCTCATGCTAAAATCGTTCTTAGCAGTTACTTAATATTTAAATTTTAACGTGCATATCGAAAACAATATTACATTATCCTAGACGATATACATATAAACAACGAAAAATTTTTACATAGACTTTAAAGGCCTGTTCAGACAAGGGCACATCTGCATGAAAGTCCAAATTTCGAATAAATGCCCGTTTTAATTATAGCAAACTCTGCATCACCGATTATTGTGCTACATTTATCGAAAAAAAAACTGTTGGGACCCTGTATATTTGACGTATGTAGGTAATATCATCCTGTGCTTATTTGAAATGCCTGAAATTTTAAAAGCCTTTAATGAACAGTGCTCGAAAATATTATTATAAAAGATAAATCAATGAAGTCACTTTTATTTTACAAAAAAATAATGATTCTATCAAAAAATATATATATATATTTTTTAATATCAGCATATTAGAAGAAGAAAAATAGCCTTAAAGTTTAACATGCTTGCTGTGCCAATAATTAAGTTTGGCTCTTTCTGCAGGTATTTTGCTGCCATAGAAATCAACATAGCTTCATTGTTTTTAGTAATATTAGCATATAAATCGAAATGTAGTCATTTTGTAATAACTGCAAGGGAATATAAACTTCAGCTTGACGAAGTTTGCTTCCTTTCTTGCTTAAGGCTAACTTTGGCAAGCCACAAGGAGAGCGCAAATTACAATAGTTTCAAGAATTTATATTTTACTCTAGGCGAAATGTCAGCATATAACCCCGTATGTTTAGTATGAGATTTGTATGGAAGCTACAGGTTATAGTCAGGGATAGGTTTTAAACACTAAAAAAAAACTTATTTTGGTCAAAAAATACGATTGCGAAATTTTAAGTCTCTAGATTGTAAGCTGAGCCTGAAAACGGTTTAAAAACATACGAACCGGCGGACATAGCTATATCAACACGTCTAGTCATGCTGATAAATAAATATATTGTAAAGATGTCCTTCTTCACTGCGTCACAAATATTTGAAGAATTTTAGTATACTCTCTGCAAGAGTATAAACAGGGCTAGCAATTTGGCCTGCTGGTCTTGATTACGATTTTCTACTTCAAACGATGGTACTTAAACAAATATACGAATTTTGCTAATTTAGGGCTTGCGAGCTCATCTTAAAATATAGAAACTAAAGAATCGGAATCGTGCAAAAGCACTGATTTGTAAAAAATTGTATTATTCACAAAAAATATTATAATATAAATATATTTTATTTAATAAATAAATCATTTTCATAATAATTTAAATTATACTTAAGAGTGAAATAGAATTTTATATAACGGAAATAAACGATTTCCTTTTAATTCTCTACTCTCCCCTAGACAATATTATTTGAAAGTGTATTATGGAATATAACTTTTATATTTATTTTGGTAAATTCTCTTGAAAAGTATCAAAAAAAGGCTAGATAGCCATCACCGGTTTTTGAGTCAAGATAGCTTGCAATATTTTAGTACATTTTCCAGACTCAAACGGTATATTTAAACAAGAAAGGCGCGGTCACACTGGTTTTGCAGGCGTTTGTGTTTTATTTTTTTTAATCGTGAAATTAAACAGTATAAGCAACTAGCATAGGTTTAAACCGTTGCCAAACCACCGAGCTAGCGTCGAAGCCAACGAATACAATGGGGTAAGACCGGTGGTAGGTGTAAGACCGGCCCATACAAACCGTTTTTGGTGTGGGAAAAATCGACGCCGTACTAGCTGACATCTCGCCTGTGTTGTTGTTGCTGGCGTTCTGTGTGTAGCGGGCGGCGTAAATATGTACATAAACACACACGCACACGCGTGGGCAGGCCAATTATGTGGGTGTAAAGGTGTGCAGGTGTGCGTGTGTTTTCCGCTTAAGAACCAAAAAATCAAAAGCAAGGCTGCCGAAAGGCTTAGCACATAATGCAATTTAGTCGGCGGTCGCCAGTCACCAGCGATAACGGAAAGACACCAGAGCTCAGCGGACAATGTCGGCGGATGGGTAATAGATAAGATAGATAAAGGCACTGCCGATCTGAACGGGAATTGCAGAACCCCAATAAATCAATCGCGAATTCCTCAGTACAAAAGGGACAAACAGGACGGTGTGGATCTCCTAAAGAAGTTACTCAACCAAATCAGACCGCGAGTTTTTCAGAGCTAAAAAAGCAACCAAAATACTCCTCACTAACGTAGTTGCCAGTTTAAAGCCTTAGGTGAATTCGATGGCCTTAATAATTCAAAGCCTCAAATCAAAAATAAGTCGACAAGTCTTTAAACCAAAGGAATTAGCAATCGGTAACAAATCGAGTAGATCCAGCTTTGAAAGTGGCTTAAAATAACGTAAAACAAATCAAAAATTAGTCACGTTTATTTTAAATAAACACTATTAAAAGCTCTGTTTCATCGTCATCATGGATAATTAATTAATGTTAATGTTTTAGCATGAAGCCGAGATAATGGCCCAAACATTTTATATTTTGTTAAGACGCTCATCATCCGGTCCCTTACTACCTGTCGTCTACTTACCGAAATGGAATTTTTAATTAATTACACCCCCGCCATTACAATCCTTTTATGACCCACAGCGAACAACCAATTTTCACCTGCCAGGCGCACGTCTTCCACATCGATCCGAAGACGAAGCGCACTTGGATCACGGCTAGCATGAAGGCGGTCAACGTGAGCTTTTTCTATGACAGCTCGAGGAACCTTTACCGCATCATCAGCGTCGAGGGCACAAAGGCGGTGATAAACTCGACGATCACGCCCAACATGACCTTCACCCAGACCTCCCAGAAGTTCGGCCAGTGGAGCGATGTACGGGCAAACACGGTGTACGGCTTGGGATTCGCTTCCGAGGCGGAGCTTACCAAGGTGGGTGTCGAATCTGTTTACCATCGTCTTCGTGACTGATACCTCTTCTTTCACAGTTTGTGGAGAAGTTCCAAGAGGTCAAGGAGGCAACCAAGAATGCCATGAAGTCGGCCAACGGCTCTAATGCCGTCACGCCCACCACCTCGGCCAATACGTCGCCCATTTCAGGGCGTGCTGTGGGCTCCATGCAGAACGACAACACAGCCATAGATCCGCACACAGTGGAGCCGCCCAACCTGAGCAACACGAATACACAGAACGCCAATCCGGACAGTCCCTCCCACAAGTTGCTGAACACCAGCGATGTCAAGTCGGACATCGGATCGGCCACGCCCTCGCCGCAGCCCACTTCAGGCGGACCTGCAGGTGGTGGCGGCGGGGTAGTGACCATCTCATCGGGCGGCAGCATTGTGGGCATGCACACGGGTCCGGGAGCCGGGGCCACCGCAGAACAGCAGCTCAAGTACGAGAACGAGCGCCTGAAAATGGCCCTGGCACAAAGGTGAGTGACGAATATATAGTCCTAAGATCTGGAGTAAAAGGTTCTTTGTTGCTTTTCAGCTGCGCCAATGCCAAGAAATGGGAAATTGAGCTGGCTACCCTGAAGAACAACAACATTCGCCTTACCAGCGCTCTTCAGGTAAGCTAATCGCTTCACAAAAAAATCTAAGCAACAGCTAAATTATACCCACCAGTTTTGTCTACTAGATCAATGATTTTATGCCGAATTGTATAAATCCTTGCAATTATAGGAAAATTGTATAGTCATACACCTATTCCATCACTTCCTTCTTATTAAAGTGTTTAATACCCTGTTCAATTTCTTTCTGTTTTTATAACTTAGTTTTTGAAAGTTTTAAGTTTTATCTAAATAGATTTCTAACTAAGAGCCTAGTTTTCGTAAAAACAGACAATCAGATATAGCTAGATCCACTCGGCTGATCCTGAACATGAACATACATTTAAATACCCTCTGCAAGGGTGTAAAATACAATTTTACCCAAAAATATTTATTTTGGATTAATAAAAAGACACATTTTCTTCTTGACCATAAGGAATCAACTGCCAATGTGGACGAATGGAAGCGCCAGCTACACACTTACAAGGAGGAGAATATTCGCCTCAAGAGGGATATGGAGCAGATTTGCGTGGGCGGTGTCGGTGGGGGAGCTGCAACCGGAGGAGGAGGTGCCGCGGACGATGAGTTACGTCGTGAAGTGGCTACACTCAAGGCGCGGACCGAACAACTGCAGAAGGAACTCTTGCAACAGGAAATTGAGCTTAAGTCGGCCAACCTTAGTCTTCGCGAAAAGTCCAATGACCAGACGGTGAGCAAATCCAAAGCCATGACTGTTGACGAAGGTTCATTTTTTATGGTAAAATAGTTCGGATTAAATAACTATATCCTATGCCAAACTTTTATTGTTTTAAGAGACTCTTTTAAATTTTGTTAAAAAATTAGATGGCAAATCAATATATTTGCTAATAATTTTTGTTGGTGATTAAATTTCGCTTTCTTTTCCATATTTACCTTCGTTCTGAGAAAATAATTAAATTATTTTTCCAGCTGGCCAAGCTGAGCGAGTTAAACGTGGTGTTCGCCAAGCAACTTTCGGAGCTATATGGAGTGCAGAAGGATATGGAGAGTGTTATACAACTAGCAAAGTGCACTTGAGACACAGAGTTGGTGGTTATGCGAAAGGTATGGTGTATAAAACCTTTGACTATCGTTGTGCTAATTGATCTCCATTTCAGGTTTCAGCGCAGGAACAGACTACAATGATAAACACTACAACGACATCATCGACAACAACAGGAAGTACGACTAGTAAACGATATTTAAGCAACTTTCCAACGGCCGAGGCCGAGAGCACGCTCTCCAATGTCACCTCGATCCACACCCAGCTTCAGTCGTCGCTCTACGAGACCCAGAATACGGCTCAGCTGAAGGCCTTAGACAAGCACTCAGCCCTGCTCCAGGAGCTGCATCAGCGGCAGGCGGCTCCAAGGCGCCTCTCCGCCTCCGCTGAAGCGACTGCTGCAGCAGCGGCCGGTTCTGGTGGGGCCAAAACTGCCACCATACTCGTTTCCAAATCAAAAACCAAAACTGGTCTGCCCCTGTTGCTGAAGAATTCCATTAACAATTAGAAAAAATTCAAGAGAAAGGTGACCAGACAGAGAACTTAGTCTGTGGCATTTTTGTAATCTTTATATTGGTAGTTTGTATACAAGGACGGCGCTAAGAGAGAAACGTCGTACTCCCTCAATCCCTCCCATCCTTTCTCATTTTGGGCCGATATTTGTCATTTGTGTGTCGTAACGACTTTTGGTATCTTCGAATCGAAAACAGAATAATCCTATGCCCAGTATTTTCGTCAAAATTGTTCGTGTCCTTGTGGCACTTTGGTAGATCTTAATCGATTGATTCTCGTGCGCATTGAAGTGCAATATACATGTATCTCTAGTATATAAATGTAATGATGATATTATGTGCTCTATACACTTTCAGCTAATTGTTAATTAATTTTTAATAAGAGCTTGCTAACGAATACTCCCCGAAACTCATTTCCCAAAGAAAAATCAAAGCATTTCTATCGAACCAGTGTCACAAAGATTATTTGTAAATGTGCTTGAACTTTTTATAGTATTTTTAGAAAGAACCTTTTGTATTCTATAAATCATAGGTGTAAAATTTAAATATTTATTTATTGAATTGTATTTCGACCACATCCGATTTCGATGCCCCATCACTAGGCTCCCATTTATTGCAGTTATGCACTGATTTACTAACATTCTATATATGATATTTATAAACATAAAAAATAACATATGCATAACTAACAATGACTTAGACGAAGAACACATTAAGAAACCAATATTGAATATAAAGCTAAAATAAAGTGAACTAAGAGAAAATTTTATAAATGGAACGAAGTCCAAGTAAAACACGAGACTAGCAAAGTAAATTTAAACAAAAACCAGTCAAGTATGTGCATCAGTGGACAACTAGTTTAATGCATTAACAAATTATTAAAATTAATTTATATGTATCGAATCGAATAAAAATCGCAAATCGAAAGAAACCAGCAAATAATACTTAACAGTACACAATCTCCAAAACACAAACACCCACTAAACGAAATGGTTATGAAGCGGTAATTTCGAACGTTTGCGGTTATATTCAAGCCATATTGTTATGCAATCGCTGCATAAATTACCCAGTTGAGAACAAATAAGAATTAATAACGAAAATGAAATGTTGAACATACAAATTTAGCAGTTAAAAGTAAACAACAAATGAAAATATACATAAATAAATATATGAAATAAATTAAAGTCAAATTCTAAGACATTTTTATTTTAGTTCAAATGAATTTAGGCTTAGGAATTATTTTAGGCATTCGCTAACAGTTGTGTTAGTACCTTTAATTTCCAGCATAGTACCATCATAATTTATTTGTGGATTATATTATCTAAGTAAAGTGGAAAAAAGAAAACAAGAAATCTTCTTGAATGACAATATTAGACACTGACACTTTAGAAATTTTATTCTTATTTAAAAAATTCATATACCATTTATTGTTTTATTAAACTTATATTATATTTTATCTAGACAAATAATGATTTGTACAACTCTGACTTGGAGCTCTCCGTCCAGTCGCTACCTTCATTGGGCGCCATGAAGTTGATGAGTTTGTTGTGAACCACGTACCTGAAGTAACATTTAAAAGGCAACCATTGAAACATAAAATAGCATAACTTTAATTTCATTTACATACCGCAGTTTTCGGCCCTTGCTGGCCCTGGTGTCCACCTTCTTCTTCATCTTCTGGCGCAGCTTTTGCAGCTCTACGAATTGCTTGGTAATCTCACTCATGTTGGACGAGGAGCTGGCCTTGTACTCGATGAGCTCTCGAAGCTGCTGGTGGTAGAAGTCGCTGTCGTCGTAGATGTGCTTCAAAGGTTGCACCGGCTCGTTTTCTTGCTGCTCCGCCTGATTACTCTTTGGCGTCTGCGACTTTTCCACGAGCGCCTCCCGATTTGCCAGAGCGCTGTCGATCTTCTTGATGATGTCGTAGTCCTCCTGTAAGGACTTGCGCTTCACACCTGCTCCGGGGGTCAGGAGTTTGGTGCGATCGTCCCACTTCAGCAGAACTTCATTGCGGTATCCGGTCATCTGCTGGAAATTGTTGTGCAGTACAGAACCAAACCGTTTCGCGGGTATTTCCGAATCCTCTGAAGGCTGCTTTCGTTTCACTGATTTTCTCATCTCCGAGTTTTGCTGGTGGAGCGCCGACTGAAGGGCCAGAAGTTGCTGCAATAGCTTGGATGAGCGCTCCTGGGCCTCGCTTAGCACCGATTGAAGCTCATCATTGTGGGAACCCATTTTCTGCAATGTCTCCGGTCCAGGCAACTGATTAGCCTTGCTTGTGAACTTCTGAGTGTTGATCCTCAGCTCAAGGAGACGCTCCCAAATGCGAAGTTGGTTTTGGACGCACAGTCCTTTTTGGATTTCAGCCTGGTGGTTGGTTTTGGACATTACATCCGAGGGTTTAATGGTGTCTTCCTCTGCTTCTATATCTTCATCGTCATCGTTGTCGTCATCATCATTCTCGTCCTCTGTTTGACTATCTTGACTGCCAGATTCAGAGTCGTAATCCTCCTCTTCGTTTTCACTTTCTTTAGATTCGGAATCTCCAGTAGAACCTTTTGGTTGCTCTTTAAAGGAAGCCATAGCTTCCTCATCCTCTTCTTCACTGGACTCCTCTGGATCTTCAGCCTCTCCAGCTTTTAATTTTAACTTAAAGTCAGCCAAATCCTCATCATCTTCCTCCTCATCGCTATCCTCATAGGACAGCTCCTGGTCCTGGTCCTCATCCTCCTCATCGTCCAGTTCCCTGCGACTGCTGATCTTGCCCTTGTACCGCTCACTCTGCTCCGAGAGCAGCTTGACGTTCCTCTTCCGAAAGTCGGTGCTCCGAGCATCCGGCAGGTCGTACTCCTCCTCGAAGTCCACCAGACGGGGCCCAGTGGCCACGTCAAAGTCCGAATCCTCCGCACTGTCGCTCTCGTTCGGATGGGCCAGGAGTTTGCTGACCTTTTCGGCCACCGTTTGAGGCTCTTTCTTTGATTTGCGCAGCATTTCTTTAAAGTTTCATTTATAATTTGAAAGTGAAAGACCTAGTTTCACCACATGGGACTGGACAGAGCGGTGTGACCATTGTCGCAGATTTAAAAAATACCTCTTCAGAAAGAAATACCATATTTTGGGAAGAGAATTGTAACGTTTGGGTATTTTTTAAAAGTCAGCTGTTCGAGTATAGGCATTTCTACAGAAATTTCCCAAAAATGTATAAATTGTTCGTAATTAATATTAATAATTGCAAGATACTATTTTTTGTTAAACAATTTGCATATCAATTTGTTTACTTATGGAGGAAATATATTTATGACATATATTTATAACAAATTTTTTTTCTTTTTTTAAAATAAAACATAATTTTTTTGAGTTGTATTTGCTTGATTCAAAACATACACATGCAAGAAAAAGTATGCGTACAAACATGTCCCGCAACTTTGGAGTTAAAAAAAACATGTTGAAAAAAATCTTACAAATTTAATTTTTATTTTAACAGATAGTACATTTATTTACCTCTCGTTTGATGTAACTTTTAAATTTCTAACACTTATACTTTTCCCGATATTAAGAAAAATGTACAAAATGCAAAAAATGCAAAATTGCAGTTTTTTCATTGATAACTGATAATCAAAGTTTAATTAATAGTTTGTAATCAAATCTGGCATATTTATGTTGTAACCAGACGTTATTTTTATGATGGGAAAAAATATAAAAGAAATTGACCATGATTTGAGGAAAGTCATAGTAAAACTACGTGATAAAAGGAAAACTATTCGGGAAATTGGTGGGATAGTTGGCAGATCACACAAAGAGTCCTTGAAAATTTTAATTTATCGGGTTCCTGTGGGTCAAAACCCCGCTCTGGTAGACCACCAAACTTTCTGAGCGTGGGAGGAGAAGCGTTTTGAAGACAATAAAAATAAATCCAAGCACAACAACCTCCCAAATGGCAAAGGATATTAAGGACATGTATAATAACGATCATCATGGAAAAAAAGTTTGCAAAATTTTGAAGAATGAAGACTAAACAGCTGTACTGCCCGGAAGAAATTACTCATATCATAAGTCAACAAAATCAAACGAATGGAATTCTCCAGAAAATGCAATAATAAGCCCCAGGAATTCTGGAAAAAAGTGATTTTTAGCAACGAATGCAAGTTTTGCATATTCGGGATAAAGGTCCGTAAGCTTGTGTGGCGAAAGAATGGTACAGCCCTCGACATCCAAAACCGTGCCCCAACCGTTAAGCACGGTGGTGGTGGCATTATGGTTTGGGTATGTTTGGCGGCCAGTGGAGTTGGAAATCTTGTTTGCATTGAGTCCACAACGGATCACATGATGTATATCAACATCCTAAAAGAAAATTTACATCAAAGAGTCACGAAACTGGGACTGGAGGATGACTTTTGGTTCCAACAGGACAACGACCTAAAGCATTGTGCCATAAATACGAAGCCTTGGGTGCTCTATAATGTGAAAAATCGGTTAAATTCGCCACCGCAGTCCCCAGATCTCAATCCCATTGAGCATTTGTGGGAGCTCCAGGAGCGCAGGATCCGCCAGCACACCATTACATTAAAGGATATGCTAAAAAAAAGTGATGGTCTAGTAATGGAATAAAATATCGGTGGAGGACACTACGAGATTGGTCCAGTCAATGCCAAATCGGTTGGCTGAATTCCTAAAACGAAAGGGGTACCTGACTTCGTATAAAATTCAAGTCCTTTTGCCAAAAATATGGAGTTTCCTTTTGATTTTTGTCTTTGTACGCATACTTTTTCTGATGCAAAATCAGGCCATTTTGTACATTTTTGTGAATATTAGGAAAATTATAAAGTGTAGGAAGGGTTAAGATACATCAAACGAAAGGTAAATAAATGTACTATCTGTTAAAATAAAAATTAAATTTGTAAGATTTTTTTCAAAAGGTTTTTTTAAGCTCTAAAGTTGCGGGACATGTTTGTACGCATACTTTTTCTTGCATGTGTATGTATGTATATGGAACCAAAATAGAAATATTTTTAGGTTTGTACAATAAAAAAAAATTAACAAAAAAATTAAGTCCATTTTGGACTTAGTCTAGTCTAAAAAATGCTTAAATTTATTTTGATTCCTTTCCTCTTAAGAACTTAAATAAATTGATACAAATTGATTTGTATTTAATTTTCCGAAAATCCAAAATCGCTTAGTACCAACTTCAAGTAGGGGGTCGGTACCTAAATCTATTAACTGTAGGTCTTTTTCACTGTAAGCTTTTTCATGTTCACTAAACGTCTCAAGGAACTTATTGAGTTTGTTGATGGTTGAAATTGTAGTGCTGGGGCAAATTGTTCTAGGATATAAGAGGGAGGTCTTGTTTCACAAAATTACCAATGTTTCGCTAGAAAGGATTATCGCCCTTTTAGCTCCTGAGGGCGCTTCCGAGCTGTTATGGGGGTATTTTGAAAACTTTATCAACCTTAATGTGAATAATTAATTCGAAGATTCCTCACCAAACTGCAAAGTGCAACTGTCCCATCTTATAAGTCTGCTGTTAACCCACGTCCCATCTACTCCTTTTACCTCAGGAATAAAGCTTCCTTTAACTAAAGAAATGAATAAAAAAGGCAAAAAGGCGTCCTATGTATGTCCGTTGTGACCGGAATTATTGCTAGTGTCAAACCGAGCTAAAAAAGTCTAGAAATTCTAAGACGAAATTAAGTGGGCTACCCACGCTTCCACATGTCACCCTCTTTGGAGGTTAGCCAGGCGATATAAAGGACAGGCTGCTTCAAGCAAAACAGATGGAGTTGGGCTACGTCACCCTATGATCGGGTTAAAGTGTTTGGCCGCACCTTAAGGAACTTTACACCTTTCACCACTGTTTCTCTCCATTCAGAATGCAGGGCTTCCCTTCAGGAAGCCCAGTGCACTATGGGGTTTTTGACCACTTTATGTGGCATTTAGTCATTTTTTAAAAGTGCTCTAATTAAAAAAAAAAAAATTGGAGTGCATTAACAGAACATCAAACTGTTATGCCTCATACTCAAAATGTTAATACTTAACAGCATATGTTAGCATAACAGCTGTAAAGTCAGCTGTTGCATCCAAAAGCACCAGCGCTAAGTTTGCAATTTTTTCAAAGCGTTCTTTGAAATTAATTTATTCGTGTAAAACACCATTTGAAAAGAAAAAAACAAATGGAAACTGATCTCACAGGCTTGTACTATATGTTAAATGTATTAATTGTTTAAATTATGTGTGTTTATACTAATATTTTGTCATTTTATAAATGCACCTTAAGCTGAATTTTGAGGAACAAATTTCAACTTTGGGAAGAGTTTTGAAATAGAAGTTTGCATTAGTTTTCATTGCGTCCAAGTGTATGTTGTAGCCTTGTCAATTCTGAGCAAAAATCTGTTAGTCTTATTGTGCACTTTTCCGCACTATTGGTGCAATTTGAATTTTTCTTAGATAACCTCACATTCTCCAACGCCGACTTGGTTGCTGTTTGGAATAGCGAGAAGGGCCGGCGTGAGCAAGAAAAGGCTATACAATGTTTGATGAACAAATTATTTATAATATGAGGATCATTTTGATATGTTTGTCCTGTCAGTTGCCCGTCAATTTGGACAAATTCGAATCATTTTTCCTACAAACTGGCGAATTGTTAGTCGATATGTATCCGTGGCTGCCGATGAGTTTTGAGTTTGATGGAATTTTTTCTTTTTGCTTTTGTTGCACTTTTTATCATCCACTTTTATAGGCATGGAGCAACAAATTTCAGTTCCTTAAATTTCATTAATTTTTTTTTAGTTTTAACCGATCGTTCCTATGGGATCTATAGGATATTGTTTCCTGATCCAAACGATTTTCACACTATATGTGCCTAGGGACAAACAATGACGATTGGTAAAATTTCATGTCGATATCTCCAAAACTGACCGAGTTATTAATTAATGCCACAAAAACAGGCCAAAAACCCCATAGTGCAGTGGTACACCAAGAGGCTTGAAAATGAATCGTCTAAATCCATTTGCGCCCGGTAAATGATCTTATTAACAATAGGTCATTAGGTAAATCGGCGCTGATAGTTGAATACGGCACTGAAATCGGCTACAATCACTAAGATCTTCCGGACGAAATAGATAATCGTAAACCTCCCTCTTACCAACGTGTATCAGGCTTTGCCTCTTTTTCAGTTCGACTTTAGACTTTATTCTGGACGGCTTAAAGGACTTTCTGGTGCGGCGTAATTGAACGTTCATCAGAGCTTTGAACGAGTCTAAAACGAACGCCTCCTTTTCAAAGGCAAGAAATAATTAATTCCTCAAATGATTCTTTCTCAGAAGAACTGCTCTTCCTGATTTGTGCTGGGGTTCCGCAATGCTTACCTCGGACGACATCGAAATACTTTCCAGAGGAAGAATCTTTTATGCAGCCACGTTGGGATCCAGGAGTATTCGTTGTCCTCTGAGCTTGAGGTACGTCAAAGGAACATTATTCTTCGTCACTCATGCCCTGGAGTGCTGCTAAACTGCAATTTTTAGGATCAATAAAGCCCAATAATAACTGACAGGAGAATAACTTTCAGAGAACACATAAATCAAGTTGCGGCTAAAGTTTAGACATGAACAAAATTATTAAAAACTTCTCCCTAACAGCCCTTTTTATAACCTTGCAGAGGGTATTATAATTTCAGTTAAAAGTTTGCAACGCAGTGAAGGAGACATTTCCGACCCTTTAAAGTATATATATTCTTGATCAGCATCACCAGGGGAGTCGATCTACCCATGTCCGTCCTTTTCTACACAACCTATCGAAGTACCCTTGAAACATTACATATCCATTAAAAACAAAAAACATCGGGTTTTCGAAAGGACAAAGCCTTAAACCTTTGTTAATTAATTAGATAATATATATTTTGGAATAATGAAAGCGACGTTGCTGCATCCTTAAGCCGACTAGTTAGCACTAGTTTACTAAAAACAGTCTGTTTCACGACAACTTTAAATATCAATATTAAAAACGTTACGGTGCATAATTTACGGCATAAGCTTCAAGAAACTTTGCAAATATATAAATGAAAATTACTCGTCGCA